CAGAACATTCAAGACGACGCTAGAGCGAGGGTGTGACACCATCCCATGCTACATCCCGAAGTACGGCGACGTGAGTGATGTGCATATGCCATGGGCGTACGCGTCTATTGTTGACCCCAAATACTTTCCCAAGGGTGCCAACCTTGAGCAGGTGGATGTGATGCAGCTTGGCAAGAGCGTCAATTTCTGCGTTGCTCCTTTTGACGGTGCTCCACTATGCAAGATTGGCGACGATCGCTCGGTATTTGCTACGAAAGATCAAGCAAACCAGCTATCTCACAACCTATGCAGAGTCCTTCGGCACAAAATCGGCAATTGCCGAGGAAGTGTTTTCAGATGCGATGAAGGTGGATGGGTCGACATCGACGCAGTCATTGACGACCGCAACAACGACATATTCCCGCCTTCAACTTCGAGAGCAAAACGATACATGGGCATCATGGAAGTGATCAAGTGGCAGGAGTCCGGACACAAGAAATCGAGATTTCAGGTCCTGCCAGCAAGGTTTCCAAGCATCATGAACCCGAATGACATGAGGGCGGCCAGGGAGGAGATGAACAATGCTGGCCTGGATCGGGATGACATCGACAGGATGTTCAACAGATGCGATGGATGGTACAGGCCTTGGTGCATCCGAGTCACAACTGGTCACAGTGATTTTGGATTCATGAGCTCATCCGCACTGGCAAATAGGTATTCCGCAAGAATGGGTGATTCTCTCGGAGGAGCATTCCATGTGACGTATGTGGAGAACCTGCCAAGCATCGTACGCTGTGGGCTAGTCCCCGGCGGGATCGATGGCGGAAACAGGCTAGCATTGCACTTCGGGGCATTCGCTCCATGGGATGACTCTCAATGAGATGAACGTAGCAACGAAGGTAACGCTACGAAACGTAAGGTCGGGGGATCCGATTGCGATCATCTACATTCCCAGTGCAACCCTCGCGCGGTATGGAGCTGGAGTCGCGGCAAATGGGACATCTATGGTATTTGACGTGATCCCGTTCTATGAGGTCAAGTCCATTTGGATTGGCAAAAGCAACGGAGGGAAACGCCTGGAGTACGGGGACATCAAGCGAGCGTACTCAAAATGTGTGGAAAACGAGATCTGTCCGGGTTTCGTCAACTCATCCCAGGAATCGGCTGCGATGTTCCTCCAGAACGTCGCGAAGATCAACGAGAGGATGCCTGAGACCGAGGCAGGTGCCGACAATCTGCACTACATCAAAGACATGGTTGATCGTGCATGCGAACTCTTTAAGGAAAACAAGTTGGAGGAGTTTGATGCGCAGACCAACGAGGTCAGGGACGAGATCAGCAAAGTCGTCATCCTGAATGACGAGACATGGGAAGGACTGAGGTGCCGGATATGTCCGTCGTGTGCGACCGCGATTCCCACATGCTTCTGTGTGTGTCTGGAATGTGGAGCGCAATTGATCTCTACCGGGAGATTCTACATCCACATCAGTTCCGACGACGATGAGGACAACCAAAGGCCCAATGTCTCGGGTGATGCCAGGCGCGCACAAGACGAAGCCAACCTTGATGCGGCAGCACAGGAAGAGGATGATGAGGCAGAAGACGTTCCTGAAGAAGACGACATGGACACGCAAGGATACACGTCCGGCTACATGTCTGAGGAGGAAGATGGCGGTTGGCAATACCGCGACAATGACTTGGCATCACGGGATATCATAAATACCCAGCGGATGGCGATTTGCCTTGATGAGCCGCGCGAAGCTCAATACATGGCGGGATTCATCGCACTGCAGATGTCAAAGATGTGGGAAATGTTCGAAGGTGGTGAAGAGAGAACGGTCAATGCCGCGCTCGAAGGGAAGCTAGGCTGCCCTTACCACAACTTCTTCAAGAAGTACCCCAACATGACTGAGCACGATCAGGAAGGGATCCTTTTACCATCAACGGTACTGAAGATTTCTCAATCCGAGAATGTTCGGACAAGGATCTTCCGGTCGGCTGAGGAGCGTGAAGAATACATTCGTATGATGGTGTGCAAGTGCGAGGGACTATACATATTCTACAAGCTGTGGATTGCAGCAAGAATCCTCGACGTCACCAAGGACGAAATGAAGCTCCTGGTCAAGGATCGCGTGCACCCGGTGGGTGATATTATTTACAGATGCTTCTCCCTGGCTTTCAACTGTAAATACATATCGTTTGTAAGGGATGGCTTGAACCTTGGCAAATATGGTTATTCGGTCAATGTGAGCGCCATTATTGCAGCCATCGACCCGAATAAATGCGACACACCTCTGCTGGATTGGTGCCTACGAAAGGGGCATTGGATACCAGAAGATCATAACAAGAAGTGTGTCCGGGCGCGAGAAGCCCAAAAGAATTTGGACGAAGAGTTCCGTCGACGTACCCACCGACTGTCCATTGGGGACAAGTATGCGTGATGCAGATGTTGATTGCGGCACGATGTGGGCTAGTCCCCATCTGTTGCTTGCGTCTCATCAATGTTATTGCGATGGAACGACTCTACATCATGATATGATTTCATGCGTCCAAGATGAATGGATGTGTATACATTTACATATTCCGACGACTATGACATTCCGGATATTCATGGATGGAACTATTACCTCATGGATGATTCTTTTTCATTACATATATTATTCATGGTACCTGGAATGGCTATGTTTTGCATTGATTGCTCACCAATATTTCTTTGCCGGTGATATGCAGATTGCTTACGAGCAGGCGCTTCTGTTGAACTTCCATGGCCAACCCATTTGTGGATGACGGCTGCGCGATGCGCAAATGCGGCAGCTGGGATGTTCAATGGTTGTAAAATGACGTGACGATAGTGTATACATTACACCTGCATATGGGAATGTGCTACGATTTGCGGATGCATGTTTCATTTTCAATCGAACCCGGCAGGTTTCACAATGAATGAACGGTGTAGCGATAGCAAGTGAAAGAGTGTTCGACACAGTTTCGTAGCTGAAGCCGTGGCCAGTGGAACGTTTTGTGGTGTTTGGACCGCATGATGAACAATGCGACCCAAATGGGGGATGTTAAAACCCTCCTGGCCCCGTGCCTAAATTGGGAAGCTGTTCTGAGGTCCGTGTATGTGTTGCTTACAAGGTTCCATTGATTGCCATTTGGCTCAAGTCACAAGTGAGGTTCAAGATCTTATGTGTAGCTGCGTTCATACGTGATCGGCAATTGAGAGCGGAAAACACTTCGCTTGCGCTGCATTTGTCAGGACCACTGTTGTAACTATTATTCCTTCTCCCTTACAACATTTACACGGGTTCGGCTATAACGGTTTGACCGTATACACCTTTCTACGTGGTTGGTATTACAGCTGGAGGGTTCGGTGGACAGCGTCCCACGGGACGTCACCTTGCCGTCTCTTGACACGTCGTCATTGCAAGGAGTCACAAGGAGTCATGCAAGGAGTCAGGAGTCATTGCAAGGAGTCATTGCAAGGAGTCATTGCAAGGAGTCATTGCAAGGAGTCATTGCAAGGAGTCATTGCAAGGAGTCATTGCAAGGAGTCATTGCAAGGAGTCATTGCAAGGAGTCATGAGAGTCATTGCAAGTTGCAAGGAGCCAAGTGCATGGAGTCAAGTGCAAGTTGCAAGTGCAAGGAGCCAAGTGCAAGTTGCAAGTGCAAGGAGCCAAGTGCAAGTTGCAAGTGCAAGGAGTCAAGTATTGACTTGAGAGGAGTTAAAATCTCTTCTTAGGGCAGCGGGGTAGTGCCGACGACACAACACGCAAATCGACCCTCTGCGGGGATCGGCGTGGTCGAGGTGCAAAAACTCGAGGTTTTTTTTGCGATTTTTAACATGCTCGCGCGACCCTCTGCGGGGATCGGCGTGGTCGAGGTGCAAAAACTCGAGGTTTTTTGGGCATCGGCGTGGTCGGTGCAAAAACTCGAGGTTTTTTGCGACTTTTGTTGTTCGAACTGGTCCTCGAGAGTTGTCTCGTGGTTCGCGCGCCTGCTCCCGGGACCGGCGGGTCGCGGGTTCGATTCCTCCCTGGTCCGCAGGTGGGCGTCGCAAGATGCAACTTGCATAAAGCAACTTGCGCAGAGCAAGTTGCACAGAGCAACTTGCGCAGACTAACTTGCACCGACCAGTTTGCGCAGAGCGCCTTGCCTAGAGCAACTTGCGCAGAGCAACTTACGCAGAGCAACTTGCACAGAGCAACTTGCACAGAGCAGCTTGCACAGAGCAACTTGCAGGGAGCGCAATTTGCACAGAGCAACTTGCAGGGAGCCACTTGCAGGGACCAACTTGCCGGAGCAACTTGCGCGGAGCAACTTGCGCGAGCAACTTGCACAGTGCAACTTGCGTAGAGCAACTTGCGCAGACCAACTTGCACCGACCAGTTTGCGCAGAGCACCTTGCCTGGTGCTGTCTCGCGCTTGCTTCACGAATGCTTCGTGTAGGGAAAAAGAACGCATCCTGCAGCGTTGGGCCGACCTCGCTTGCGATGTTATGCTTTCGGGCCAACCGTGGTCTAGTTTCTTTGTTTGTTTGTTTGTTTGCTTATTTATTTTCTATTTTTGTTATTTATTTAATTATTTATTTATGTATGTATTTGTTTTGGGTTTTTTGTGCTGATACCAACATGGTAGTTGTCCTTCTAGCTTTGCTTTCGAAACCGCAAAACGGGCACCCTCAAAAAACAGACGCGCACCTAATTTCCCGTAGGCTGTCCGTTTTGGGTAGCCATTTCGATCCAAGGTTGCGCAGAGATGATCACCTGCTTCCTGCCAAAGTGCACACCCTTGTTCATGTCATACCCCTTGGCTTCCCAATGATTTTTGGGGCAGGGATTTGGTAGCAACCACAAAGGTGTCCAAACCTGGATTGTTGAATCCTGGGCTTTGGAGGAATGAAGTAGATACAGCCCCTGGCCCCAATTCTGCTGAAACACCCTGTGTGTTTTCAGATGTTTTCAGGCTTTCCTTTTCACCTCACAGTAGTTGCTTGATGTCCAACACTTGCTCGGCTCCGCAGGCTGCAGTGCGGCTGCTCAAGAAGGCGGCCCGCGGAATTGTCGGGTTGGCGGGGAGGGCGGAGGGTGACGAACTTGGGTTCGGGGCTCTTGGTCTGGGCGTGTCGGTTTGAGGGAGCGCTGCTTGTTTGTCCCCATCCGGCCCTGACGTTGGTGTAAATTCTGCCCCGCGGGCGCTTCCATTTGTATTTCGGATGGTTTTCCCGAACGCGTAGCGAAGGGTTCCCGTTGGCAAAGGTGTCTTGGGGGAAAGGACGTGTTTGCGAGACGCGCCGGTGCGGCCTCAAGCTTTCGCAAGCGCTCACGTGGGATTCCTGCGAAGCGCGGCGCTTCTTGAAGCGCTGAATTCGTTGCGCCTGTCCGTCGTGTTCGCGTTGCCCGCGCGTCGTAAACTTGTCGAAGTCGAAGTTGGATCTCCGTGACAGGCACGGTGCTTTGGACGATTTTGAGTTCGTGGCAAGCTCACTCTGGCGCGGCGCTTTATGAAGCCTTTGTCTGAATGTCGTGGCAGACGCAAAAAATTGGAGCGCCGAATTCGCAGCGAGCGAAATGCTTTGGCGCGAAAGCGTCAGCAATTGGTTTGGAGCTCGGGGCGCGGATTTCGTGGCAGTTCAAGCATGAGAAGAGACGTGACGAGCCACAGACTGCCGGAAGACGTGACGAGAAAAGCGTTGCAACAGTGAGCGATGACTCCACGAGATACGCGACGAGAAGAGATGTAATGAGACGCGTGAGGAAAGTTACAAAGTAAGACACGCGCGAGAGATGCGGCGAGAGACGCGGCGAGAGACGCGGCGAGAGACGTTGCCTGAGATGCGACAAGAGACGCGAGGGGAGACACAGCGATAGGCGTGATGAGAGAGGTGCCGAGATACGAGACGTGACAGGAGACACGTCGACATACGCGACGAGCGTTGTGACGGGAGACATGAAGGTGCGAGACCTGCCCTGTGACGTGCCGAGAGACGCGTCGTTTGACGACGTGGCGAAAGCGTCGCGCGTGATAGAGACGTAACGTGTAGCGCGACGAGAGACGGAACGTAAGACGTGACAAGGGGCGTGACGGCAGACATGACTAAGAGATACGTGGACGCGAGGAGAGACGATATGTGACAAGTGACGTGAGAAGAAACGTGACCCGTCATGATTGCTGTCTTCAGATAAGATAGAGAGATGGACAGATCGGTAGATGGGTGGATACGGGAATAGACCGGTAGCCCGGTATGTAGCCAGATAAGTTGGTAGGTAGGTAGGTGGATGCTAGGCAAGTCAACACATAGACAGACAGATAGAGATGTAGATGCGCGGATAGAGACATTGAGTGTATAGGTCGGTAGGTACATTGACGCACAGGGCCCCTTAAACAGAGAATTCCTTTCTCTTAAAAAGCATCTTCAATGACAGCGAGAAACAAGACGGGACGCAGAAGAAATGGACACGAAGAAAGAACCACAAGGTTATAAAAGGGGAAGAAGGGAAGAGAAAAGGAATGAGAGAAAAGGAATGAGAGAAAGAAAGAAAGAAAGAAAGAAAGAAAGAAAGAAAGAAAGAAAGAAAGAAAGAAAGAAAGAAAGAAAGAAAGACAGACAGACAGACAGACAGACAGAAAGAAAGAAAGAAAGAGAGGAAGGAAGGAAGGAAGGAAGGAAGGAAGGAAGGAAGGAAGGAAGGAAGGAAGGAAGGAAGGAAGGAAGGAAGGAAGGAAGGAAGGAAGGAAGGAAGGGAGGGAGGGAGGGAGGGAGGGAGGAAGGAACAAGGGAAGGAAGGAAGGAAGGAAGAAAGAAAGAAAAAAAAGAAAGAAAGAAAGAAAGAAAGACAGAAAGAAAGAAATGAAGAAAGAAAGCAAGAAAAGCAGAAAGAAAGACAGGAAGAAAGAAAGGGAGAAAGAAAGAGGAAGGAAGGAGGGAAGGAAGGAAGGAAAAAAGGGAAGGAAAGGGAAGGAAAGGGAAGGAAAGGGAAGGAAAGGGAAGGAAAGGGAAGGAAAGGGAACGGAAGGCAAGAAAAGAACAGATGAGCAACAAAAAGTAAGACGAGGAAACACATGAACGATGACAAACAACAAGAAGAGAAAAGAACGACCAAAAGACGGAGACAGAGAACTATGTTTTACAACTTCCGCCCACCCCTACTGGTACAACACAGACACATATATAGATATTTGTACATATTTATCTGCCTGGACCTGCATGGCAGAAACGTCCACCCTTTCGCGACAAGTTGCCTTTAGTAGAAAAGCACGCGTTTGTTGCCTGCAATTGTTGCCAATTTGGGCGTTAAGCGCAATCTTCGAACCTACAGGTCAAAATTCCCGACCAACAGGAGGAAAACCGAGGCGCGCCACCTATGGACCGCGGGCTTTTTTGACTTGCATTCCCGGAAGGCTCATATATATATATATATATATGTATATACATTGTTTCTATGTCTGTTTCTATATATATATACATATATGTGTATCTGAAGGTTCTTTGTATGCGGGGGCCCCACTTACAGAACACGCTTGCCTTACATGCGACGGGGCGGCCGGGTATGAGACCCATCTTGCGCAAGGACGAAGAGACGGAGCACGCGCTTCTGATGAAGGTCCAAGAGTTGGCGCCTTGGTGCAATACACCCTGCAGATTAATATTGAACCTTCAAAACCTTTGTCCTTAGTGGACCCTTTTTTGGAACCTTTGGGTTTACATGTTTATTTGATGGGGCTGCGTTTCTTTGTTGTCACAGCCGAGGTGAACGCCACCTTCTGGGGCTGGGGCGGCCACGGCGCAAAGACCCGCACCCGCGACCGCGGCGCCGAGCCCGTAGCCAAGGCGCTCAAGGCCTGACGATGCCCCACGTGTTTGTGCGTGTCGGCGGTGGGGGTTTGCAAATGTTGGGTTTGTAGGTTTTTCTGGTTGTAATGTATAATGTTGCTTTGGCAACTGGGGTTTCTCTCTTTATTCTGTTTGGTTTTCCTACAGGCAGGCACGCACCCTTGTTTGTTCTTTTTCCTTGATGTGTTTTTGCTTGGTGGGGGTTCTTCGTGGATCGTTTTTTGATGTTTGCCCCCCCAATGATTGCAGAAGCTGTGATCGTTTTCGTCCTTTGCAGGGATCACATCGCAGTTGGTTTCAAATGTGTTACTCGGCTTGAGGGATAAGTTCCCATGTTTGCGACATACCCCCCTGTCAATGCGTAGTCCGAGGTTAGAAGGGACAGCCATTGATCGGTGCGGCAAAAGTTGCCCTTGTTTCTTTACCATGGCCCCTAATCCTGGTACGCTGTTTAGTCTTTTGCTTCTTTGGTCCTGTACCATGGGGTGTATGAGAGTCTTCTTTGCGGGCATGTGCACCAGGGGGAGGCCATTCATGTCCCTTGAAAAGGAGTGAAAGGAGGCTACCCAAAACACGTCTCCCGGTATGTCAGAACGCTCACGTCCCCTCCACATTTGTGCGCCGCCTCTGTATTCAAGGTGATCTCCACTACCCCCCCAATTCCTGGATACCCTGAGATTGTCCTGAGACTAAGTGGTCTCCGATCTTTTGCTAGGTGATGAGCGTGATCTACGTGCAGAATGCCGAGGCCGTTGTAGCGCTTTCGTAATGGGATCAAGCGGCACTGCGCGCAAAGTAGAAAGGGGGTCCCAACAAGGAAAGCCGTGTTAAGCTCAGTTGTACAAAATCGGTTCATCCTTCTGGCCTTCCTGAGCGCGCGACGCAGGTAATTTGGGTTTGGATGTGGCACCCTGATGATGTGAGGTTGCGGGGCCCAGCACATTGTAGAAGAGACCATTAGTAAAATTAGGAGGAGAGTGGACTTGCCTTATGCCTCGCCCTCCACTTTGGGCCTCTTTGCGGACAGTGACAGTGCTTAAATGGAAGAAAGCACATCAACAATTCGGAGGGATGTGCATTAGCAGAGACCCCAAAGTGGGTGTGCCCTGCAAAGCAACCCCAAAGGAATACCAACTTCAAGAAAGTCTCCCCCGCAGGTTTGGGCGTTGTTTCTCTTGCATCGGTGTTTCTCTGGATGGGACTTGTGTTTCTCTGGATGGGACTTCATGTAACTCTCATCAAGGGAGTCAAGAGAGCGAATATTGGTTTGCCTCGAAATCAGGAGGTTCTTTGTGGATGGGGGCTTGGGGGACCAAATGTTGTATGAATTACTTTGAACCCATGAATCCTTGTTGGGTTCCCCGTTTCTTGATTCTAGGGGCAAGCATGGAGAAGAACCCACCAGAGGAGGTCTAAGCGATAGGTGTTGAAGCCATGGCGTAAAGAAGGCGGGGTTGGCACACCCCCGTGCACGAGCCTTAACAAAACAAAGACAAACAACAGCTGGTGGATTTCTGGAAGCGCCCTGGCCTTTGATTTTAACGCAATTTGGCCCAATTCAACCGCCCTCCCTTTCGCCAAACATCTCCCCGCGCCTCCCCCCCCCCCCCCCCGGGGAACCAACGAGTGGCAAGGTCTACGTGAACTACCGCTCCCGTCGCGCGGAGATCGCCAATGCCATGCAGCCCTCGATGCCCTGTGGGGACACGTGGGATGTGAAGACTGCCAAGGTGCCATTGGTCAGCGGGCGCCTCAAGGCGGGGTGTTGTTCTGTTTGGTGCTGGCTGGCTGCCTGGCTGGCTGGCTGGTTGGTTGGTTGGTTGGTTGGTTGGTTGGTCCAAGCCTGTCCGGAGAAGGGTCGCGTAATATATGTTGTTGTTTTTTGTGTTTGTTTCTTTTCTTTCCGGGTCTAGGTGCTTGGGTGAATTGGTTGATTCACTTTTCTTGGTCCAAATGCGGGGTTGGAATGTCCAGATGAGGTTTCATATTTTGTCTGCCCTGAGGCATGAGATGGTTTTGTTGGAGGAGATCCCAGTTTTGCCGGAGAACTGCCGTTTCTCATTGCTCCCCTTGGTGGGTACGGGTATACAGAAGGAAGCACGAAACGGCCCGACTCGTTTTTTGTCAGGAGAACCCAGTGGACCCCATGCTCAATGAGCACTACTTGTGGCACGGCTGTAGGCCCGAGGGTGCGGAGGGCATCACCGATGCCAACTTCGACCTGGAACGCCTGGGGCCCAGACGCCCGAGCACGTGCGCGGACTGGGCGTCTGCATGAGGGGGGTCGACCCTCAGGCCGCTCTTTTTTGGATCTTGGGGAGAAAGGGAGCCGAATGCGAAAGGAAACGCATCTTGTTTTTGATATTTCCCTTTCATATATTTGTTCCCCAACCCCAACAGCTTGGTTTCTTTCGCGGGGTGGTGCCCTTGCCCGAGCCAGGCGCTGGCTCGGCCTATGGCTCCCTCTTCGGGCCGGGCATCTACCTGGCGGAGAGCTGCAGCTCGGTGGCGAAGAAATCCGGCGGATCGGTCGTGTGATCGGTCGCCGCGGTCCCTCCACTTTTTGGGCGGGTCCCGGGCGGGAGGCAAATGGAGGCAAGAGGACGGTCACCGATTTTGGTAGGGATCTCTTCTTGAAATTAGTTTAAAGTTTGAGGCTTACTGATGGACCAGAATCAAGAATGTTATTGTGGCTTGCGGGCAAGAGCTGAGATTGTGGATCAGCTTTGTGTGGGAAACCGCAGGGAAGCCAACCACTCGGCCAGACCTTGGGCCCGGCCCCGGTTGGATCAGCTTCAAGGATTCTCAAAGAGGACAGCCATTTGCCATGTTCTCGCCCTTTTCCCGTTTGGCCTACTTTGGTCCAGGTTCCAAAAGTGGAACCTTTTTTCTTCTAGACCCTTTGGGGTCTTTCCAGTGGCGAGGCAACCAGATGTTTAACCACCCCCCGAATCAGGGTTCATCAAAACAATTTCGACCCGGGTTGGGTGTGAACTGAACCAAACCAGCTCCCTCTTGCGAGGAGTGGCTAAAGCAAGCAAAGTTCCCATCCCCCCCGCATGGGCTGGGCAGGACCCAAACGGTTGGCGCAACGGACAGGCAGAGACGGGAAACTTCATGGATGGCACCCGAGTCAGCCCATGGCAAACTCAATTGGGTAAAAGGAGCTTACCCAAGTTTTTGACGGGGAGGCCTTAATTCGAAGCGAAGGAATTCGTGCAGGATTTTGTTGAACATTCTTGGGATCTTCGTCATTTTTAGCACTTTTGTATCTGTGGGACCCTGCAGGACAGCTCCCATCTACTTATTACTTGGCTGTCAACTTGTCTCCCCACCTGGCAACAATATGGAGATTCAAAGCCCTTTGACTTCATCCTAGAGTCCTGCGAGTCTTTATGGCACTTGACTTGCAAGAATAGCATAGTTACACAAACCAACACATCAGCAACTTGTCAAGCATTCAACGTCTCAGAAGCTTATCCGAGGCATGAAGGCGGACGAGTACACGACCGCAGACCTGCGGGGCTACTTCCCTTTGCTCCTGTGCCGTGTTGTCCTCGGACGCGCGGCTGCACCAAGCGGGCAGGATGGGAGAGGTCCAGCTTGCCTGACAAGAGGATTCCACGCTCAAAATCCATGCCCGGCTGCTAGGTTCCTACACAAAAAAGGTAAATCAGCATGAACCAGCCACCGAAAGGGCAAGGGGATAAGTTGATGGATTGAGGGAGCCGTTGAAATATTGCCACGTCTTCGCCTTGTTTGAATGTCACAGGCGCAAGCGCGCTGCCTTCCGGTTCCAAATTGGCACCAGCTGTTGGGGATACTGGGGAGACTGACCTCGAAAATGTGCTACGAAAAACGATTATTCTGTCATTTCCTGGGGTTTCTTGGGAGAAAGCAACACGTGTGTGGGTTTGAGGGGGAATCTTTGGCTTATCCTAGACTTTTTGCGGGGTTAAGAACCCAAGGGCCCAGAACAAGCCGAGAAACTCCGTCTGGGCAAGCAAATTCCGACAGCAATCTCCAGTAGGCTCCGCATGTTCCTCGCCAACTCGGGAGTCAGCCACGCCAGCAAAGCTGGAGCGGCAAAGCTGTGGTAGGCCCTCGGTCCTTCCAGCCCCAAAGGAAGGCGGGGGCCCGGAGACCCGACACTGTTTTTTTTCTCTTTTTTTTCTGCGCTCCACTTCGTCGATGTTGAGAGGGGTTTTATGTAAGCAGCATACCCAACTTTATGTGGATGTGCGAACCGTTCAAACGCACCTGGGCAAGCTATGGCGACTTCAGCTGAGGGTAAAACCTCAAAAGCCAACTCACCCAAGATCCTCTTAGGGGGGTTCCCTTATTTCCACCTCACAAAAGGGGGGTTCTCCATCCAACTCGCTAGGGAACGTCAACTACTGCGACCACGTGTCCCCGGTGTCGGTGAGCTCCGAGCTGGTGGCTTCCTGCAAGCCGAGCGGCAGCCACCACTCCGTGCTGGGGGACCGGGAGAAGGCGAAGTCGTTTGAAGTCGTTGGAAGTCGGATCGACAGCGGGGGCGAACCGGGGGGTGGTTGGGTTCGTTTTTTTTTTTTTTTTTCTCGGGGTTCTGTCGAAGATTTCCAGGGGTTGATTGCTTCTAGGGGATGATTCTCTAGGCAGGGGTTCTAGATCGCCATTTTAAGCACAACAACGAACATGTCTTGAAGCAGAGGGGAAGTGGTGAACCCCCGCCCCACCCGCCGGAGATCATTCTGGTTGTCTAGCTGAGTCCTCGCCCCCACCTCCAAACACACCTCCAGTTTTGGTCTACCTTAGTCCTCCCAAGCAGGCTCTTTTTTCAGAGGGGGCTTTGATTCGAGCACTCGGTTATAGATTCACGCCATGGCAGGCTGAAGAGTTATTGTTCATGGCAAAAGCTTCAACTCCATAGAATGACCCGAGTTTGATGAACCCCGTTTGTACATGAGGCACATGGCCTTTGCGTTGTTTTACTTGCCTGGAGGAACCCCTCCCACCGAGAGGTTTGAGCTCCCTAGTTGGTCCATGTCATGTTCGCACGGCCTGCCTTCCCTTTCATTTGTATGAAGGTTCACGGGACCTTCCGCGAGTTCATCGCACCTCGGCCTGGCGCAGCCATGTCTTGCCTTAAAAACTTTTGATGGCCTGCATCTAACTGGGTAAGTGGGGGGCGCGACAAATAGAACAACAATGAAACATATCTATTCAATAAAATTCGATCAGTGGAGATTGAACATTATGGCTTATGTTGTCGCTCAGCTAAGAGGCATGCAGCCGGGCGCAAGCAAATATGGGGAGGGATAGCTTCTCACAACAGTCCAGGAAGCCAACAAACCCCGAAGAAACGGCCGGATTGGCTTCTTCTGAGAAGAGCTTGCTCAGGTCTTCGACAATCACCAGGTCTATCCCGAGTACATTGTTTGGTACCGCCGGGAGTTCTGAGCCCCCGGTGAGCTCCGCAACTGTTTTCGCCCAAAGGCAGGCGGAAGTGAACGATCCGAATCGCCATGAACGGGACATAAATGAACACGTAGGCCACTTCAGATGGCTGGTTTCCTGTGAGTCTAGTTCGACACCATGCCAATCGTGTTCCTTTGCCTCATGTTCCGATGCACGTATGCAACAAACACTGTTATCAACATGTCGATCTACACGTTGTTCTGGTTATAACTGCATATGCTGCATATAACTTCCGCCGAATCCCGAAGCTAGCTTTGGTCTCACTTCAAAAGTGCGCCGCGGAACCCAAATCGAGTCAGCTTTGAGGGGAGCAGTGAGCCTTGGCAGGCCGAAGGTGAACCGATTCTGGCGATTCAATGGGCAAGGAATGGCTTGATATGCGAGGCGTGCAAAGAGCAAGTCCAAGTTAATGTGCTGCTGGCACGTGCCAACACAACACCCAAGAATGGCAGATGGAGTGACAGACACGTGCAGGCTTTAACTGTTGCCCGCGATGAGGACACAAACACCGACCTCATCGCATACTAGATGCATTGGCGTTGTCACGGGGTAGGGGCGGTCCTGCCCCATTGCCTTGGCGCTTGCAACGTGGCATCCTCTTGTCCCACTTGTTCAGTGGCTTGTGTTTAGTGGGCCGCTGCAATGGCCTCCCTAGTGTTGCAAGAGCTAACAACGATTAGCAGGACCCACCCGCCGCCCCTGTAAAGCACTCGTTCCCCTCCCCCCCACCCCCATTTTGTTGGGCTTGGTTTGGATGAGGCTCGGCAGTTCTGTAGAGCTGGATGGTCTTGTGGCAGGCTGCCATTTGACATGAAAGAGGCTTAGGCGACTGACGATGTGAAACACGTCAGGAATGAAAAGAGGCTCCAGTCACTAGCCAGTGGGTTTCCGTGCCCGACCATGTCGCCAAGCGATCTGGCAGGCACGAAGGTGTGAGAACACGAGCGTCATTTGTGGGGTCGCTGGGAAAGGGAGCGCGCCACTGGTAAGATCCCCAAGTTGGGTCAGTGAAACCAGCTACCCCTTGCCGGAGAACCATTTTTGCCAGAGTGCTATATTTCAACGCCTTCAGTTTGACAACGGGCAGCCCAAAATACAAGTCGATGATAGTTGGGCAGCTTGTGGCCCGAAATCCAGTCGCCGAAACGCATGGACACTGGAACATCCGCGGCACATCCTGGTCTATTGCAGGTGGTCGCAACATGTTGGGTTGACGGGGGGGGTTGGCCCGGGGTGGGGTGGGGTGGGGTGGGGTGGGGTGGGGTGGGGTGGGGTGGTGTGGGGATGATAGTGTTCATGAGATGAGAGGTGACCGCTCTTTGGGGTGGGGTGGGGTGGGGTGGGGTGGGGATGATAGCGTTCATGAGATGAGAGGTGACCGCTCTTTGGGGTGGGGTGGGGTGGGGGGTGGGGTGGGGATGATAGCGTTCATGAGAGGAGAGGCGACCGCTCTTTGGGGTGGGGTGGGGTGGGGTGGGGACGATAGCGTTCATGACATGACAGGTGACCGCTCTTTGGGGTGGGGTGGGGTGGGGTGGGGTGGGGCGGGTTTGGGTGGGGATGATAGCGCTCATGAGATGAGAGGTGACCGCTCTTGGGGTGGGGTGGGGTGGGGACGATAGCGTTCATGTTCGGCCGGGGTGATGTAATGCAGGATTGCTTTGTAACGTGCTCGCACCTTCTTGAGTGCTCAGGCAGATGGAGTCTGCAGGTTTAGCTTTGGTCAAACTACTTCGTTTGGCAAAGGTATATGCTCTACACGAGAGGCATGTACGTATATATATATACATATATCGATATATATATATATGTCTATTTATATGTATGTAGATATATATATATATATCTATATCTATTTATATATACACACATATATACATATATATATATATATATCTATATATATATATACATGTATACGTCCGCTGATTAAAAAAAACGTGGAACTGTCACGGCAGCGTACTCCAGTTGTTATCTCGGGTACGCGAAGTGGCAGGGTTTGGTAAGCGACATTCCTGGGAGGCATGCTTGAAAATGCAGTGATTCGTGGCACATTTGAGCACCTGTTCAATGCGATGCACTTTCAACTCGCCATCGTCCCGGGCCAACCCCCCCCGGCAACCCAACATGTTGCAACCATGTTGCAATTCTGAGGTCAGTTTGGTTGAACACTGCATTTGCCTCCGCCGAGTTCTCATTTTTTTCCTCATTTGCCAGTGACAAAGGGTACCTAGGTGAATCAGATCGACGCGCCTCGGCGGCGTTTTTTTTTTGGGCTCAGCATTGCTAGCTTCTGGACCTTGGCCGCTTGGCCACCAGCCTGGGCCTAAAGGGGGCGGGTGGGTGGGATCGTTTCAGGTTCGGATCCCTTTGAAGGAAGCCGAGCCTTGGTTTTTGGGCTTGGTTTTGACAGGTTGGCGTGTGTGTGTGTGCCACAGCCTGAGACCAAAGGCCTTTTTTCAATCCGCAGGGGGACAGAGAGGACGGTGTTGGTCTCTGTCCAACGAAGCCACCACACCGATCCTGGGAAAACGTACCTGCGAGGTTTTTTTTGGTAATTCATACCTCCGTGCACTGGCTAGCGCGACTTGGCACAATGAGCCGCTACAACCTGTACCTACACCTACTCCTCACGGGGAGCTTTTCACAGTGTGTGTGTGTGTGTGCGTGTGTGTGCGTGTGTGTGTGTGTAGCTGGTAGGTGTTGGGCGGCGCTTTTCGAAGTGCTTTGATCCCCGTCTAGGATCTCTTTGGGCGTCTTTGGGTACGATTTTGCGCTGTAGGTTTGACTCACGGACCATTGTGAAAACTGCTTTTTGGGGGCGCTGCAATGGCAACCCAGGATCAGAGAAAGAGGGTTGTTTCACATCAAGGCTTTCTCCTCATGACAGCTGGTGGCTTGCCAGGTTAACCTGTGGTCAATTGCTAGGATGTCCACGTGAGGCCGCAGCCAGCGGCGCGCGGCAGGGAGGATGGCTCGCTGTGTGGGGGTGGACCTAGGGGTGGACTGCGCCCGGGGCCTCAGCAGGAAACACACAGAATTTGCCGTGGGCCCAGGGCCCAGTTTTTTTTTTAAATATATCAAAAGGCCCGTGATACATAGGATGATTACTGGGGCAAAGGGCCAAACAGATGATATGAAGCGTTACCCATGCTCATTCGAGGGGCTAGGAAGCAGTTCTCATTTCCCTCCTTTTTGTATTTTGAGTGGATCCCTTGTTTCGCTTGGCGGGGCTTTGGGCGGCTGAACAAACGCTGTGGTTTTCCTTCGGCTTGGAGTCTGGCTGGAGTGGAGCAACCGCTTTGAGCGCTCGGAGTTTGCTGGGCACCGGCCCTTCTCGGCGTGGAGCCTTGTGTGAATCACAGGCTGAGTATGGTTTCTGGGGAGGTTTAACCGGTTCTTAATGAAGCGCGGCAAAGGTTTATCCATTCTTTGGCTATGCATGGTTCCAACTCAGTCCAAGATCAACCTGCCAACCTGTTGATCCTTTTGGCCGTCATGAAAAAGTGAAGGTCCCAAAAAGGCAGTCACCGGCGGGCTCCTGCGTTTGGCCTCTTGAGTTGCCATTGCCTTCCTTCGGACTGGAAGCGTGCGCGTGCAGAGTAAAGCTTCCCGGCTCAAGGTCCAAATGTGAACCAAGCCAAGAAAGGGCAACAACGCAAAGGGATTGATGACATCTCCAGCTTTCCGAATCAGATGCGATCTGATTCGAACTGCTGATTCGATCTGCTTTGCGAGGTAGTGGCATCCTCCTCGGTGGAGGCCCGCGGCAACTGATGGGCAGGAGGCCTATGAATTTTGATGAGCCGGTTTTGGGCATACTGTTGGGCAGTCATTTCGAGCCGCTTGACTGGAAAATGGCGGGCCTGGGGCTAGCCAATGCTTGATTTTGTATTGCCAATTCGAAAATACTATTGCAATTTAGCCTCTGAGCTGGGAAGAGCTTGGTCGACTCAACAACGCTTTGAACGCAAATGCCTAAGGCTTTGATCTAGGATTGTCCCCGCCCCCCCAAAAGACTCTTGACTTTGAAGAAAGGGGCGCCTGTGGGCAACCTCCTTGTGGCTATTTGGGTTTGTCTTGTTTAATTCCTGCTTTATCTTAAGTTTGGTTCGGGCCCCTTTTGAGGTCGAAGCTACGGAGCGCCTTTGACCCCATTGCACCCCTCAAAACATTGCTTCCATGGAAATCCCGTGAGATTGATTCCCACCCTTGGTGCTTCCCCTAGCCGGGTACCTGACCCTTACGCCGAAAAACCCTCTGCCAGGAGAAGGCGGCCATCACCATTAACACCAACGACGTGTCGGGCCGCAACACCCCAGGCTTCGTCTCCTTCGACAGCAAGCTGCGGCACGTGGGCGCGCGGCCCCTAGTGTTTGGCTTGGGCGGAGCATGTGTCACAAGAAGCCAGCTAAGAAAAGACATATCCAGGAAATCCTTGTTTTGGTGGGTAGCCGGTTTCTATGAATCTTCATTGTTCAGCTCACCCAAGTTTCTGGACTTAAAACTCACTCAGGCAGTGCGTTCGGGCCTCGCAGGATTCCCTTCGGGGTGCTGGTAGAAGACGGAACCTGGTTAGGAAAGGCAAAGCGAGGGATGGGGTCAAGATGGCTCCAGCCTGTTCTTAGAAGTTAAGTTCCCCGGGGTAAAAGCCTTGACGCCAGGCAATCTGTCAACACCCAAGAGCCATGGCACCATGGATGGCTGAAGCATCAGCTTTTAGGCCCATTCAAGGGGTGATGTTCAAAGGGGGGATCTCATGTTTTGCCAAAGTAGTGCAGCAGGACCCATGACAAGACCCATATTTCTGAACTCCTTTTTGTTTTGTTATTCGAAGGGTTTTTACACATTTCCTCGCAAGGTGAACGCCCATGGGCGGCTGATGGTGGCGCCCAAACAGACACTGAGCCACCTGGCGCTGGCTCTTTCCCCAGAAAGCCTGCAGAAGAGGAAGGAGGCCTACCAGTGGCTCCTCGCTGAGCCAAGAAGGGAGGGGCTGGGTTGCAGACGGATGGCTGTGGCTAATAAAATGCTACCCAAAATTGCCCCTTGGTAAACTGCGTAACCCTGGCTCTTTAATTTTTAATTTTGAGCCGCACACAGATAACTCCGAATGGTCCCCTTTGAACAGGAAGCAAGTTTAGCTTGCTGGTTTTCAGTAGGGAATCAACCGGAGTCTCGGGCAACCTAGGGATTCCCTTAAAAGAAACCACAGGGGATGGTTCGTGGGGGTCATTCTCTCATTCCCTGCTGAGAACCAAAGTAGGTTGTTCAAACAAGAATTGGTTCGCGATGGCTTAGCAAGAGGTTGCCCAACCCTGTCACAGTGGGAAGCCGGTGCGTCCTGTTTAAGCAGGGATCCGGATCACTTTTTCGGGGAAACAACCCCGAAGCCGTCTTGCGCACAGACCCTCACAGGCCTATGATGCGTATGGCGCCCGGTGCTCCTCAAGAACTGAAGGGGCTAGAGAAACGTAGATACGCACATATCATATCACTTACTTTTGCACATGTTGTATGCGCAAAATCGCAGGTTTCCGCTGAAACCACCAGGGCAAAATTAAAATGTTGTTCGCTTGCACCAAACCCCCTCTTCATACCAGGACTTTGACCAACCGCCATTTTTTGCTTTGTCCAGCCACTTTGCCGTTCCGAGGCTTTTTCCTTTCCAGGAGGACCCGCGCTTCGCATCGTATGGTTTTGACCGCCTGGGCGGCCGAGAATCCACTTCGATTTGTCTTGAATGATGAACGCGCTTTTGCTTTGGTAAATGATCATAACCTTGCTCAGTGTTTGCTGCAAGGATGCATCCGACCAGGGGGCATTAAGCCTCATTCATTTCGCGCCAGTTCAGAAATCAAAAGCCCACTTGGGTGTGTCTCTTTTTGAGTGTACATAGCCGTTTTGTGTGTGTTTTTTACAAGGCCCCAAAGGAGAACCCAGCGTTTTTGGGGGTTCCGCGAATCCCATCTTGACAAAGCCATGGCTCCAAATCCAGGACGGGCAGCTAGGCCCCGTGAGCTTCGATGGGGAGGAGTTTGCGGTTCGGCCCTGCGGGCCTTTGGGGGTCGAAAGCTCAGACCATTTACTGCTGGCTTTTGGGGCTCCAAGGGGATGTCAGACGGGTCAGACGGTTGTGGTTTCATTTGAGGGTATACTAAGTTTGCGTTGGTTACAAGGGGAGGCAAAAGGACACCAAGCGTGTGGGGGGCTCCTCGGTTTGAGCCTGGGGGTTGCCTAAGTTAGCACTGTCCTTTATCCTACCACTTGACATGGGCAATGTTGACCTTGGATTTATCGACCTCTCGGATGAAAATTGTGGGGGGGATCATCCAAATGTGACGGAGTGCCTTCACACTGAAACAGCCAGGGGCAAAGGGGGTCTCAAAAGATGTGGCCCCAAAGAGAAGAGTTCATAGCAGATTCACTAGAGGGGCGAGCTCGGACCCATGGAGGTCGCTTACTTCATTCAGGTGAAGCGTCCCTGATCTCAGGAAACTTGCCCCTAAAACACTAGACCATCATCGTCAATTCTCACGGTTGGCCCCCTCAAATGGAACTCAGCCACATGCTTTCCCGTACTTAGCAACTGGAAGTTTTCAGGAAATGCGGGCATGACTCCCTACAAGCCATCCCTCCTCTCCGCTGCATTCTCTGAGAAGCCAGGGGGCTGGGGAACCGCCGCGTGGATGTTTCGAGGTGCTGCTGCGGACCCTGAGCGGCTATGCGACCGGGTCCGAGAAGCCGCAGCAGCTGCGGCTTGCTCCTAAAGAAAAACTGCGGAAATTCACGAGCGATCTAGTGGGGAGAGGGGGTGAAACGAGCGATCTATGGAGGCCCTTTTTTCCTGAGCTCCTTTAGGTCAGGCGCACACATTGTAAGACTTGCCGCAGTGGCTGCGGTAAAGATCAAGAGCCCCAAGAGTGCTCAGATTCAATGCAAGCCAGGAGGTACAGCCCTGGTCATTTGGCGCCGGGACGCGACAGAGACATGGGATCCTTTACTTTACCCAAGTCACGGAGGAGCCATTCGGCGCCTGGATTTCTGAATGGGGGCCCTGAGGTTTAGAAGAATTTGAGGGAGGCTCCTCAGTTGTCAGGTTTCAGTTTAGCGGGAGGTGTGCAGTCGCAAACTTTACGCTCGGCACCTGCCGAGGCATCGGATTGTTTCACGCCAGAAGCCGCACACAAAAGACGGAGATCCGCAATCTCCATCAATGGCAGCATTGGAAGCATCATCCCCACTGTCAGGGAAGCATTCAGCCAGCGAGTTGTCCTCCAAGGCATGAATTTCTCGCAGGTTTCTCAAACTTTGCTCCTGGCTTGAACTCATTCTCAGGTGTTGCTCTGGTGGATTGCGGGCCACGGTTTCCAATGAGTTTGGTGGCCGCAGAGCGCTTTCCGATTTCCCCGCTGCCAGGTGCGTGGCGGTGCCGGACTACTTCACCGACAGCGAGCTGGCGGTGGTTTTGGATGCCCTGCACCTGGCGGGCCTCAAGGAGAATGCCTCGCTGCTGCGGCACTCCGCGGCGATCGCGGCGGCCTTTGTGCACAGCCAAGGCCGGGAATCATATTTGTCTTCGTTCTTGTTTCTAAGATGGCTATAAGGGAAAGTGGCCATTGTATTGAAGGATAAAGCCTCGGGTGAACAAAAGAGCAGTTTTTGTTCTTCTTCTGGATGGGGCCCTTTTTTGCGAATAGTTTCTAAGATGGTTTCCACTACCCTCAGACAACTATCGGGACGTACAACCACTGTATTGCCGCTAAATCACAGGTTGCCGCAGTGTTGTAGTGGCTTGGGGTAGTGGAAGCCGTCTTCGATTTGTTGCATGGTTGAGGGGGGAACAGAAGAGGGGTCCTGGAATCCAACAGCACAGTTTGGCAGTCGGTTGTGTGGGTGTATGCTCTCTGGGTGTGCGGAAGCACGGCTGCTTGTGCTGGCTAAAAGGGCCTCACCTTTTGCAAGCCCAGATGCCTGTTTTTTTTTGGCAGTCCCTTAAAAAAAACAGCGATTAAAGGGAATACCCTAAAACACAACGCGATGAGCAATCCTCAAAAGGCGGAAGTTAGCTGGCCTTTGGCGTTGTTCTTGGGGAACTCCGAAATGGAGCACTTCTCCTTTGGCTTCCCTGAAACAAATCAATCAAAACATACAAACTCGAGGAAAACATGTTCAAATGGCTTGCAGTGGCCCCATGGCAGAACTTTCAGGCGGCAACCTTTTGCCGGAGGGCACTGACGAGCGAACGGTGGGCTTCGTAGACATCGGCTCCTCCCATGGCACAGTGTCAGTGGTCAAGTTCGTTCGGCCCCTTGGATCCAGGGGGTCAACTGGGGAGGGGGCGACGGCTCGGTGGCTTCGAGTTGGTAGCTGTCAGTTGCAGTTATTGGGTACGCTCACCTAATGTCCATTCAATAAATAGGAGCTGCCTCCTAGATTCCCATATTAAACGGCTCGACATGGGACGGGCAGAACGTTCAAGTACCTGCCCCAACTGCATGAATGAGCCTGAGTTCTGGAACAAGCCTCCTTAGCCCGCGTAACGACATGTTTCAAGGTCCCGGCATTGTGCTCAAGTGCTCAACCCACCGGCACCTCGATCCGGAGGCGGTTCTGAGTTGACAACCCAATATCTTGGGCCCAAGCCTTTTGGTTCAAGTCAAGAGTCATCATTTTGGCGGCATCAGGTGCTCAGGAAATCCGACAAGACCTGCAGACAGTCAAGGATTTATGGGCACCTAGCCACGACCCCAAAACACGAAATCATGCGTCCGTGTTCCCCTCGGCACGCAGCTAGCACGCAGTGATATTACTGTAGCCCCCAGTTCCATCCAGATGTTTCACCTAATTCCATCCAGATGTTTCAGCCAATATCCTTTTTTCCATGGATTGTGCAGCTTGGCATCGCCAGCCAGGGCATGTTCGGTCGCCCTTGATGTTTGACTTCGATTGGTGGCAAATTCAAAGTTGGCAAGCAATGGGGCACAGTCCGGGCTGGCCATGCGGCTTCCCTACTATTCCGAACCTCGGAATCGTGGACCCAAGGGCGAACAATTTCAAGTCCCCCGTTTTGTTCAGGCCAATTACCATTGACAACATCTTTGGCTTAGCCCTGGTCAACCTGAGCCCTTTTTGCAAAGGACATGGGCATGTGGGAGCCTGGCCAAGGTACAGGACACCTCTAAATCATGGTGGTAAATATTCAGGCGCAGCGATAAAGCGCAGCAATGGCCAGGAAGGAAGAGGGTGAGGTGGGAGCAGAGATCCTTTACAAGTGCAGCGAGGAGCCCTGGATGTGAGTGACATTCAGATTGTCTAAGTCTAGCCAAGCTTCTTTCCTTACCAACCGCAAGGCAACGTGGAAGAACCGCACCAGGAGACTATGGGCGTGCAGGCCATGGTGAACTGTTTGCTGAAAGAGGCGGTCTCTCGCATTGAGCAGAAGCACAAGTGCAAGGCGCTGGAATATGCCTTGGCAGGCTGAAGAGAATCCATGTGCACTGCTGCTCAATTCGCAGTGTGGATTGTCAGAGCGATCCCTAGTCTCAGTTGCCCAAAGCTGACCTTTTAACCTTTTGGTTTTCCAGTTTTGGTCCATTTTTGGTCATGGCCCCAAAAGGTTAACCTTTTATTTCTGGGTCCTTTGGGCAAGTGAGTAGTAGAAACGTTTTGCAGCCGAACAATGAGGTTTCTTTGCTTGTCCCTGAAATTATGAGGTGTCCTACACTGGGGCGCCCCGTTTTGGATGGCTAAAAGAGGCCCAGAAAGGACACCACATGTGGCAAATCCTGCCCTGCAGCTCGAATCTTCGTCAGGTGAAGCTGGGCACAAAGTGGGGCCTGCGTTTGGCCAACGAAGTGGTCATGGCCTCAGCGAACTTCCGAACCGGAAGGTGGAGACATCTGTGTGGGGGGGGGGGGGTTTTGCTTCCCGGGTGGTTTCGCTCAAGCCCCCCAAAAGGGTATGCTTCCCTTGCGACAGCTATCCTACTTAAGGCCCTTATATCCTTGAAACAGCCATCGGATATCCTTGAAACAGCCATCGGTCAGCTCATCAACGGCTGAAATATGCCAAGGAAGCCCAAAACCAACAGAGGTCTTAAACCCGCGGACGAACGTGCTGCGGGGGCGCCTCTTTGACCCAACTTTCGGTTGCCCAGATGCATGCCCTGAAGCACCTCAGCATGCTGCCGGACGCCGAGATCAGCGCCTTGGTTGGGGCCATGGACCCTTATGTTCCGACGTGTCGTTCCCAAGTTTGCAAAAACCGGACCCCCTCCCTCCGCAAAGCACCTTCATCGTGGGTGAGCTTGGTCTACCCCCAGACGTATAATGTGCACTAAGGCAGCGGAGGGCGCGAGAGAAATGGAATCCTCAAGAGACCCCTGTCGAGTGCCATGTGGGATGCCCCGTGACTTTCGAGCAAGACTGATCCGGGGACCCCTTCGTGGTGATTTTTCTATCAGCGGCGGTTTGTCTAGTTAGAACTCCTTGAAAAGCTTTATCTGTTGAGGCGGCCAACTTTGAGCAACTTGCCTTCTGGTGGCTTGGAAACTCCTCCCAACAAATCCCAGTTACCGAGAAGCGAACTCCGTGCTTAATATTTCTCCACTTACTTTCAATCGGCGGCTGTCCCTTGGCTACGGAAAGTTGTATGCCGACATAGGGGGGGGGCTTTTCCCATGAGTCTCCATTTTGGTTTCCGCCTTGACGGGCGGTGCGGGCGAGCCGCCCATTCCCAAGGCTTGGAGGCCTTCCTGCCAGAGGGCCCCGAGGGCCCGGAGATCGACATCAAGGTCCCGGTGACTCGAAAGGCGGGGGCTTGCGCCTTTGAGCCGGCCTGGCGGCCTGGAACTCCAAAACCAGGAGTCCCTAGATGGCCATGATGTTTAAAACGGCAGCGTCGAAGATGAATCCCGACCCAATGTGCCTGGCGGAAAACCTAGCTCACTCTGACATGGGTCCTTTACGTGTGGATGCAAGTGTTGGAATTATTGTATCGTGCTAGCGGGAAGTATAGGGAACCCTGAAAGAAGGCCAGGCTTGGTGCTAGCAGAGCATTTTCAGAAGGTTTCCTTGATGGAATTACCCATTTTTGACTCTGCACTCCAACATGGAGCCCCAAACACCCTCAGCAGAGGAGGGGACCGTTTTGGGTTGCATGTTAAGTTTGCACGGGGAGTATCCCTTCCAGGCAGTCACGCAGGTTTTTCAGGTCTGAACAGACCCACTCCAACTTGATGCCTTGGAGTGGCTCAGTATGGGTTTTTGAATCAGTGCAGAGTTAGTGAAATCCAGTGACAACTAGTGAACACTAGCTTTCCCACTTTACGAGTGTTAACTAAGCTTCACGATTTTGTTTCTCAAAATTACAAGTTGTTCACTACTATTGGACTTAAGATCAGCGACCCACTAGTGAGCGTTAGTGAGAATTTGCGATGTTTAGCGAGTTGCACTTTTGCACTTGACTAGTTTCAAATAGAGCAAAGCAGCAACATTCACAAAGTTTGACTAACATTCACAACTTGTTCACACATGTTCGCTAACATTGCTTCACTGACTATACGTTTGAGGATTGGTAAACACATTGTGAAATTTGGTGGGCATTAGACTTTCTCGGCTCCACACTTGACGGTTTCATCATAATTTACTTTTGGATATTGGTATTAGCCAAGCGGTGAACTTCATTGAAGTTTAGTGACATAAGTATTTTGTTTATGGTTCCCTAGTCACGCTTGCTTGACCATGTTCACTAAATTTGCAAAAAAAAAAAAAAAAACGAAACAACATGCCCAACATACACCAGTTGTTCACTATTTGTGGATTGTAACGTTAGTATGTCTGTGCATGTGTATGTGCATGCAGGTGTGCAAGCACAGATTGAATTGCTGACTTGTTTGATTTTGTTTGGTAAAGCCCTACTGCACTCCCCTGAAAACACAGTATGTGTCAAAACAGGGGGAGTTCCAGAAATGGTGGTTTTCCAGTTGGTGTCCTTTGCCCTCAAACAAAACACGCAGAGGGCCGGAAAAAAAATGCGGGGCAAAACCATCGCCAGGTCTTCGAGACCTGCGCGGAGGCCGTGCTGAAGCGGCTCAAGGAGGCCGTGGTTCAGCGGGTTGGGGACACATGGGCCAGCCACCCAAATGGGTGTGGCTCAAAATTAGAGAGCTAGGGTTACGCAGGTTTTAGTCTTGGGTTCCATTTACCAAGGGGCCGTTTTAGTACATGTTTTTGAGCCACAGCCAAATGAGTGTCTGTTTTTAGGGCCCAATGGTGACTTCCTTTTGGTCGCCTTTTAAAACGCAAACAAAGGGGGATAGCCGCCGCCTCACCAAAAAAAACACCCAACTGAGTTCTGTTTGGCAAAGCCTCCAACTCAATCCAACGAATCGAATTATGAAGCAACCACCCTCCGAATCAATCCGCGGGGGTCGGGTCTTGGATTTCCGATTGAACATCCAACCAAAAACAACTTTGATGTATATGCCTTTGCACGGGTCCTGTCCTCCCTGGCCGCCATCGCACGGAAGGAGGGGCTAGCTTGCTCCTTATTATTTATTGGGCATCACCTTTTGTTTGCCATGGTTACTTGGGTGTTTTTCTTTGGGTGGTGTTTCCTTGCGGCAAAGTATTTTCAATCCGCCAGGTCGAGGTCTAGCCCTGATGCCCTTAGGGTGTACAGGCAGGAAACTTCCTTTTTGGGGATGGTCTAGACGCTGCCTCAAGCGCTTTTTTGGTATAATGCTTAGGTTGGAAATGTGGGAACTCTGGCCCTGCTTGCTTTTTAGTTGTTTGGGGAATGAACCATATGAAAGCTGGGGGCCTATGGATGGATACTTGTATGGTTGTTCACTGTGAAAAGAACCTGCCATGTACAAGGCCACAGGTGTAATGATACACATAGGTATTGGTTATCTTGTTTGGAGCCATCATGGGTATACCCGTTGACCGGGTATGTAGCGAAAGGGAAAAGCTTGCATTTCGGGGTTGTCTGGTGAGGCGACTCCCGCCCCGCCCCCCAACAGCTTGGGTTTCCCTTTTAGACAGCCTTACGAAGGCAACCCTCCAAAACCTATGATCGCCTTGGTCCTGAAGTGGGAACAAGGCGAGACTGGCCGGCTTTTGTTTGGTCCTTTGCTTCTTTTTTGCTCCACTTTTTGTTTGTTCTTTCTTCCTCCTTTTGCTTTCCCCTTTTCCTGTTTTTCCTGATGTGAGCCGCAATTTAAACCCGGGTGGACCACACGGAGCATTTGGCTTCAGGTGCTAGCGGCGGCCATGGAGTTTAAGCCCGAGGCCTTTGAGCTGGTCGGGGGCGGCGGCCGAATCCCTGCCGTGCAGACCTTGGCACCTCGCGGGAAATGACTTGGGGCTTGGGCAGGGCCTCGAGGGTTGGTCCAGGGTGGGTTCGGTTGAGGGCGACTTTGGGGGATTAGTGTTGGTTGAGGATGGGATTGGGTGGAGTGTGGTGAAGAACTGCCCCCAAAACCCGTGCTAAACCCAGCAAACAATCACCAAGACACCGCAAACAACGTGTCATGTGTAAAATGGAGGCCAACACCAATACTCCAACACCACCCACTGCAAACCACTACCCGCTCTGAGATCTATATGGTAGATGTGTGCCCATGTGCTGTTCCAGTCCAGGGCTAGTTAGATGGCTATGTAGCATGGATCATACAAGCACCTATCCCCCTCCCTCACTAAACAACCGTACCCTGGACAACCTAAGCACCTACCTCCCCCCCAAGAAGAGAGCGTATGTGACATGTGAATATGCAGTGTTTCAGCTTGTATTTGACTTGTTTTTTTCACTTTTCACTAACTAACATGGATAGTCTTTAAAGGACATTCTGGTCAGTTGCTTCTGTGAGTGGGTGAGAGGACATCGAAATCCGTGAGTACATTTTGTCAGGTTCTCAAAATAACTTTCCGGGGGGTGGTTTCTTGTCAAACCATAAGCAGTTTTGAGGATGTCACTTTCATTGACCCAGGGAAACACATGGCTCGCACCTTTTGGGAGAGGAGGACAAGAACGAGCCAGTTCCCTTTGTCTAGTCCCCATACGAACATGTACGTACCCATAAAGGTCACGCGCCCTCCCTCCGCCTATTTTTTTCACGGGGCAGCCAATCAAGATCAGCCTTGGGTTTGCCCCAATGTTGGTGGAGCAGAGGAAATACATGCGTTCGTGAGAGGCTTAAACGCAAGCCATGCTTAAAGAATCACCTGTGATTATTTAGGGGAGGTCAGTTTTTCTTTTCGGACGCAACCTATTGAGGATTCCAGGAAGGAAGCCCCCTGAGGAATGTGGGAGCCCCAGCTGCGTGGCACCCAGCCGCGTACCCTGAGGTGAAGGAGGCAGCGCTTGAAGCGCCGGTGCGCTTCGGCCTGGACGGGGCGGGGTGCGTGGCCCAGGGCGCGGCCGCCCATGCGGCTGGGAAGCGGGTGCTGGAGCCTCTGGACGTGCCCATGGCAGGCGCCCGGGTTTCCTTGCCTGTCTGTTTTTGGCATTTTTTTGAGGGGGGAGTGGAAGGGGTAGACAAAATGTGAGAGAACATTTGTTTTCCGCTTTTTTGGTTCCCTGTTCTTGCTTCCCCTGTAGGAACGGACTTGCTTGGGCCAACTTATCCGGACTGGCAGTTGCAACTCGTTACAATTGGGCAGGTCACGTTTCACAGCCAGTTGACGACAGCTCAGCATCCCTCAGCAGTTGGTTGGCATGCGTGCCTTACGAGCCATTGCATAACATAGATCTGGTTGTTTTATGGCAAGCTCACCTCGAAATATCGCGAACTCAGCATGATGAAGGTCCTTTGCTTTGGATCTCTAATTGAGGTTCCGAAGCAATGTTTGAATCTACAGACAGGTGAAAGGGACTCAGCAAAAAGAGCTGTCTTGTTCCCCGAGCGGGCTGGTCTCACGTGTCTCACGTGAGCCGTCCGTGAGCCGATCGTGCGCCGATCGGGGCGCACTTTGGCTCCTCGAAGACGCGGCTGGGTGGGCTGGGTGGGCTGGCCCCGTTCAGGCCTTGCCACTGAGGAGCTGGAAAGGATAGGGGAGAAGGAGGCGAAGATTGAGGCAACTCATAGCGAGGAGCTGCTGCCCGCCTGCATGTGATGCATGCCTTGGGTCGAATTCGGATTGGTTGGATCGGTTTGGTAAGATTAGGGGGGCTTTGGTTGATTTGGGGGTCATTTTCTCAGTTTGGAGGGCTAGTGTTATTGTTCAACCAACTTTGGGGGTTGGTTTATTTTGGGCAAGTTGGGTTAGTTTGACAAGTTTGGGACTTGGCTTTGTTTGGTTGATTTGAACCTCTGCGGGTTCTGTCGAGCAGATATCCCCATTTGCTCGCACGCGCGGGCCCCGACTCAGGCAACGGCTGGAGAAGAAAAATGCCTTAGAGTCGTACGTGTACCAAGTCAGAGATTGGCTGATGCTCGGCTGCCTCATGCCTCGTTTGTCATTTGTGGTTTCTTCCCGTTTCGGGTGGGTGCCACCGCGCGTTTTTCATTTTGAACACGTGACAAGCTCAGGATATACTTGTTGACTATCCCCCCCAAGGTAGACACAAACACGAGGAGTGGTTGATTGGGGCCGTTTCTGAAGTAAAACACGCATGGAGCAACAAATTCTGTGTCCGACTCATTGCCAAGGTGCCTTAAGCCCATTAGGGGGATCCACGTTTGTCGAGCCCTTGGAGCCATTTCCGGAATTCCTAAGTTCTGCAAGGGCCAGATGCACGTGCTGTGCTCGTCATGGGTTTCACTTTTCAAAGCTGGCATGAGACAACACAATGTTCAACACTGCACAACCGCAGCTCGCTGAGGAATGGCAAGGACGGATCGCTGCTGAATCCCGAGGTGGTTTCCCCTTACCTGGACAAAGTCGTGCTGTGGTGCCCCGGATTTCCTAAATTTCACAACACCTTTTTTTTAAAGCTTTCGTGGGTGTCGCTATGGGGGGTTTGTTCGGCGCAAGTTCTGGGTTCAGCGTTGTTGGTGAGAGAGGTTGTTTGAGGAAGTCAAGCACTTGATTCAGGAAGTTGCGCATGTGCGCGACGCGTGCAGGATGTGGCTCGTGCAATAGCCAGATACCATGCTATGGATAGATAGATCGATAGACGCGATAGATGGATAGATAGATCGATGAGTACAGAGTCAGCAGCATTTTCGCAGTGCCAAACTGCAGTTTCCTTTCACTTGTCTGCACTGTAGGTCCAATGCTCACGGGCTTGCTTGGCAATCAACCTTAGCTTGGGCCACGTACAGCCAGGCAACATGTTACAGCTCTGATTACATTTCTCTTTGCTGGAGATCGATCGATGCAAAAATGAGACAGGCAGACAGACAGACAGACAGACAGACAGATTGATAGATAGGCCACAAGGGACGCGACGTGCTTCGCCTACTGGCTTTAGTCGCAGATGAAAGCGTTTTCCCGTAGTCGCAGGGCACAATTTCTCTTTGTCACAGGTTAAAGTCTTTCCTTAGTTGCAGGGTGATTTTTTTCCTTTGCCGCAGGGTAAAAGTTTTTTATCCCTTATTTGCAGGGTAAAAGTTGTTCCCCCGCCTAGTCGCAGGGTAATTCTAGTCGCAGGGTTCAAGTTTTTCCCTCAGTACTTAGTTGTAGAGTTTGATTATTTCAGTACCTTTCCTTAGTCCCAGGCTTCGGTTATTGTGCTTTTACTCAGTCACATTGTTTTTGTTTTGGGGGGGCGTCAGCATCTTCTGCTGATATTTTGCGCTTTTGGTCTTATTGACAGGGCCAATGCCTTGAGAACACGGTCTACGTATCCCCCCTACCTTAAAAATAAAATTGAGCGGGGGGGTTACGTCAATAAAATAAAATGTTTTTGGGCTTAAACGCCCCCCGGAGCCCTACCCCAGCCGCCCCAAACACACCGCCCTGCATGCTTCTCCCGCTCGCTGGGCCCGGGCGCGCGCTCCGTGCGTTCCTTCTCAGTTGGTTGTAACGCCAACAGTTCGGCCCCCAAAGTGCAAGGGCATCGCCAAGCAGATCGCGAGATGTGTGGTTGCGCATAGCAGCGCGCATCAGCGCGCAATATCGCATAAAATCGCGCAATTAGAAGGAGTGTCTCGAAAGCAATGAAGCCACCAGAAATCTGCCACGCAACTGCAAACTGCCGGAATTCTGCATAACCCGGCGCGCAGGGTCCTACGCCGGGGCTTGCACCTGCACGCTCAACCGTGGGGCCCAGCGCGCCGGGCCCTTGTGACCCGGCAAGCTCTCAGATGCGTGGCACGGCGCCCCGGGCGGTCCGCTGCGTGAGCCCAACTTGAACATCCCGCCCAGCAGCGTTCATCAAGGTTTCGAGCGCGGCTGACACACTACACATTCAATCAAGTTTATCAAGTTGAAGCATGTTCGCGCCGGCCAGCGCTTGGCGTTCTTTCAACCGACGCAAACAATTGTGGAAGCGCTGCGTCCTTCCCCGTTTCAGCCAAGTGACCTGAAGCCTTCTTTTTCACCCGCCAAGAGCAGGTTCCAGGACACTTGCAAAAACCCAAGGTAGACGAAGCGCTGAGCTGACTGAGATGTGGCCCACGCGCCTGCGGCACATCTCTCTTTCATAGGATCTCCGGCAGCAGCTTGTTGAGAGCGCAGTATCGCCTCATGTCGCAAGTAGTTTGGCTTGCTTTGAACGAATTGGTAAACAGGGAGGAGGGCCAGCCCCTTGCCCCCTGTGGATCCCCATCTTGGCGCAGCGCGCAGTGGAGCAGCAAAAGCAGATTCCCGAATTTGCATTTTCATCCAATTGCGGAACTGCAGCTTTCAGAAAGGCGCGCTTCCCCGAAACTGCCTATTTTCATTTAGTCTGCTTACCGCCACGGGCGGTAAGCAGACTAAACGCTCGGATCAAAGGATTTCAGCCAATATCCAGCCCTCGGATGGTTTAGTCTGCTTACCGCCATCGTCGGTAAGCAGGCTAAATTAAAAGAAGCAGTTTCGCGAAACTGCCTTTTTTGGCTAGTTGCAGCTCTGCGCATCATGACGCATCTGGTTTGCATTCTTTCTTAGCGTGGCAGAAGAGCAAAGAATAAAAAGAGAAGGAGATGATTGGGTAAGAACAGAGAATTGGTGAGAAAGAAGAAGGCAGGCGCGCTGCCCCAAGGTGGGAGCACACAGAGGGCAAGGAGCTGGCCCTCCGCCTTGTTTACCAATTCGCAGAAAGCAAGCCAAACCACTTGAGACATGAGGCGTTACTGCGCTCTCAACAGCAGCCGAGATCCTATGAAAGAGAGATGCGCCGCAGGCGCGTGGGCCACATCTCAGTCAGCTCAGTGCTTCGTCTACCTCGGGTTTTTGCAAGTGTCCTGGAACCTGCTCTTGGCGGGTGAAAAAGAAGGCTTCAGGTCACTTGGCTGAAACGGGGGTCGGACGCAGCGCTTCCGCAATTGTTCTCAGAACGTCAAACACTGGGTTAGTGTGTGTCAGCCGCGCCTGAAACCTTGCTGTGATGGGTGGGATGTTCAAGTTGGGCTCACGCAGCGGACGGCCCGGGGCGCCGTGCCACGCATCTGAGAGCTTGCCGGGTCACGGCGCGCCGGTTCACAAGGCCCAGCGCGCCATTTCACAAGGCCCGGCGTAGGGCCCGGCGCGCCGGTTCACAAGGCCCGGCGCGCCGGTTCACAAGGCCCAGCGTGCCATTTCACAAGGCCCGGCGTAGGGCCCGCCGCGCCGGTTCACAAGGCCCAGCGCGCCATTTCACAAGGCCCGGCGTAGGACCCGGCGCGCCGGTTCACAAGGCCCGGCGCGCCGGTTCACAAGCCCAGCGTGCCATTTCACAAGGCCCGGCGTAGGGCCCGCCGCGCCGGTTCACAAGGCCCAGCGCGCCATTTCACAAGGCCCGGCGTAGCCGGCGTGCCGGGTCGCGCAGTTGTGTGTGCTAGGTGACAAGGTCCAGCGAAGGACCCGGCACGCCGGGTCACGGTTGTGGCACGTCCGGTCCCGCAATTGAGCGTGCCGGGCCAAAATGCCCGGCGAAGGAGGCTGTGCCAGGTGACTCGATTGTCCGTGTTGCAGGTCACAGGGCCTTGAAAAAATAGAATGACCACCCCCTACGTCGATTGAAAAATAAAATCCCCCCCCCCCCCCCTACGTCCCTTGCGCTACAGCAGGGGGGATGTCTACGTTGTTCGTTGAGGAATTTTGGAGTTTCCCTCGGTATAAAATATGCGACAACCAAGTAGAATCACGTCAAAATTGTACATGACTAGTTTCTGACCGTTGTTTTTCAAAGTTTTACTACGAGGGGCAACCCGAAATTCCTCAAGAACAACGTAGACCCTGTTTTTAAGGTTTTGCGCTTGTCGCTAAGCTCAGTTCAAAGCAGCCGAAATCGATAGATGTTTGTTGGTCTTTCTCTGCGGGTGTCAGTCAGCAAAGCCGGCGGGTTTCAAGGGCAAGGTCAATGTACACAAACTTCATCAATTGCATCAAGATGCTGCTGCTGCGAGCCTCAAGCAAAACCCTGGACCCCAAACCTGGGTAGATGCGGGCTAGTAAGGGATACTCCCAACCATAAATGGGTGCAACCTGGACTTGGGTTCAACATGTTCATGATTGGACATGTTTGCACTGGGTTTTTGATTAGCCTTCAACCCACCAATTTCTCTAAGTACAATGGAGCCACAAAAAACAGGTGCACCGATATGTTGCTTGAATGTTCAGGCGCCTTTTTTTGAGCTTGGTTAGGTGCCCATTTGCCAACGCTTAGTAGCAGGCTCGAGCCAAGGTTGCAAAATTCAACACCCGGATTCACCTCCAAATGTTCTGTGGATTGGTGGTCAGGCCGTGTCAGGGTTCCCCATGTTTGGCCTTTGAGTTTCGAATGGAGAGTCAGCTTTCCTTGGGTGAGGCGTTGTCTGAAGGAGATGATTACTGACTTTCTGGAAAGGCGATTGGACAAATCCGTCTGGGGTGACTCGCGAAAGGTTCGGCTTTGAGAGGTGCACGCGATACCGAGAGAAGTGATGCAACGATGCACAAGGATGCCATCCAGCTTGTGCGCATTCGCAGGAATGTGCTCACCACAAGTAGGTTTGAACTTGTTGAAGCCAACATCCCATTGTGGACCAGAATCAATTTTATGAACACTTGTCGTCATTAAATCAAGTCCATTTCCAGTGCTAGCTTGTTTCCTGTCGGATCACCATTGGCACTCTGCTTGACGGCTTGGCGCCTCGCACTGCGGACAAAGGTTCGAAGATGCCAATATGGCGGAGGAGGACACACCGTTCCAAACCTATTCTGACAAGCTGCAGGAGGTGGAAGACTTTGTCAAGAAGGACCCGTGACTCCGTGGCTCTTGATGCCTTTTGGGGGCCTTACTTGCTGGGGGGGCGGCATGTTAATCCGTTCATCCCAGTTTAGAGGTTTAGAGGATCAGCCGATCAGCCTATTATCCAGGTCACGCATTCCCACCCAAGCAGTGCATGGAATGATATCACTTGCAACATTGGCCCCTTCCCATGTATTTGTTCTTTATGCGTATGAGGGAAATTATGTATGCAGGCCAGGCAATGGTTTGTCCTGATTGAAGGGGTGGTCATGCAACAAGCTTGCGCTTGGGGCAACCTGTTTTGCAGCCTGGTTGCCATGGGGAGATTTTGAAGGGCATGACTCCCTGATTTGTGTCACGCGCCGGGGAATTGGGGGCTCAGAACTGCTTGGCAGGACGTCCCCCGCCCCCCACCTGTCACCCCCAGCTTCCAAGGCCGTAGCTTTCCGCTTTTGCTCTGGCTGGCACAAAGGGAATGATGCTCGCTGGGTTCGGGGCTGATTCCTTCCAGCTAGGGGTGGGGAAGAGCCCGGCCGAGGAGGGCGCGGCCTATTTCGAGAAGAAGGCAAAGGCACCTTGGCAGCGATGTTGCGGTCGCATTCCCCGACAGAACGTAGACGTATCGCTTGTTTGGGAGTCCACCTTTTTGTGACTTGTTGTTCGGGTTCTGTGAGCTTCCAGGGGGACCCTGCACTGCACTGTCTAGGAGAAGGGCATTCCCTTGTTCGTACCCATAGCTGGCGGCCTCCGCTGCGGGAGAATTTCGGATGCTTCGCACTCATCCGAAGCCCAGGACTTCGAAGAGCAGGAGAAGGAGATCGAAGCATCCGCCGCGGCGGAAAGGGAAAGGAGGAAGGAGCTGGGGATGGACTTCGACAAGGCCTGCCATGGATCCTTGCAAACCTGATGCCATGGATCCCTGGAGGCTGTTGCTCCATGGCTGTTGTTTTCCAGCAGTTCTTTCTCCGGTTGTGTTTTGGGATGTTTTGGGATGTTTTGGGCTTGTTTCCAAAGGAGCCTACACGGAAACCAATTTGTTTTTTTTGTTTTTTTCATGTGAAGAAGCCCATGTAGTCCTTTGCGTGCACTGCTCGCAATGACCCGCTTTCTACTTGGGCACGACCGGCGCGCGCCATGTAGGACGAGCGGGTCATGAAGAAGGAGGACCGCATTCGGCTGGCACAGAAGAACAAGGACGAAGGAAACGCTTCTTGTCCTCTACGCAACGGCCAAAGTTTCGGTAAGGGCTTGTTCTCTTTTCGGATGGCATCCGTATCCTTTCTTTGACTTGTTTTGTGTGTTTGTTTGAAGGGCAGCTGAGGGGAAGCCATCCATTTTGGGTTTCTTCCCCGCTCGGCTCCGTGGGTTTCCAGGCTCGCCGCTATCCGTAGGCCCGCGTTTCTAGGCTTCGCAGGTAGGAGATCGCCGCCTTCGGCGGGTACACACGCACCGAAAGGCCACGTCTCTCTCTCTCTCTCTCTCTCTCTCTCTCTTTGGGTGGGTGGGTGGGCGTGTAATCTGAGGACATGTTCAAGGCCCAGAAGTTCGACGATGCGCCACGGCTGATAGGGGGGGAGCTGGCCAGTCCTTATGCACAGGCTTGCTTCGTTGCAGGGAACCTGGATCTGCTTTTGACTGTTGTGAATGGTGGGTGCACGGTTTACAAGGGCCAGAACCCCAAGAACAAAATAGTAGTAATATACTAAGATTTTAAAGCGGTGGGACAAAGCTGGGGTAGCGCCAGCATGAGGAATACAGGTGCTTTTAGCATCACCCAGGCTTGCCCAGTTCCTTATTTCAGACTGGATGGTTCGACGAGTGTGTGTTTTCCAAGTACGGGTTTTGGAGTTGTCTGAGTAACCCACAAGGATTCCGCTTGTTTTTGTTCCGATGATTTCGAGGACTTTTGGGCTGCTTATTAATATTGTTTGAACCATTGGCGCCTTCTGGCAGGCGGTGCGGAGATACAAGAAGGCCATAGAGCATGCTGCTCGGACAGAACTTGTCCGGCTGACAACCTGTCTTTTTGGGGTGGGGGGCCTGGGGAAGGAAACCTTGTCCTGGGATGCCCATGCAAGCCTAGAAAATCGGTTTGGCGTCTTCCACCCTATGTGGTTCGGACCTGCTTATCTTTATTTCACAAAGGTGCGTGAGCTTGTGATGGCCGCAACATGTGAAACCGGAGGCAACAGGACCCCAGAATGGTTCTCCCCGGCTCTGCGGAGAAAGGTTCTCAGAGCTCTTGCAAGCTGTTCTAAGAAGGTGTCAAGAACCTTTTCTGTGGCATTTGGCAGCCTGGCCCCCTCCCTGAAAAACCTGGTGTGGCCCGCGCCATGTGTTCCGTGCCTTGTGGCAAATGGACTTCAAAAAAGCGACCTTTTCAATTTTGGCGGTTCAGGGCATGGCCAACAAAAAGCAGAACCCTTTACAGTGGAGATACATCCCGCGAGTGATGCCCACAATGTCCCCAACTATCCTCCCTCCACAGTTTGCAGAACCCTTCTAATGAACAGGGTCCCTTCTGAACCTTTCCTTTGTCCCTTAAAACAGAGTCATGCCCGCAGCTTGAGGTGACCCGGCCAGAGGTGGTCAGCAATCTGACGCCTGATGAGGCAGAGGAGGCCAAGAAGATCAAGGCCAGCATTTCTTGATGGGGGGAAAACCAAGCTCACCATGTTCTCTACTTGTGCGGGTTCATGTGTTTCTGGTTCTGAAAAAGTTGCAACTGTTTTTGCCTGAAGGACATCCTGCCTCACACAGGCACGCGAGTATGGTTTTGGAATACCCTCAACTGACTACCCCTCGCGGTCTGGCTGTGGTCTAAAGTGGTCGGACCATTCCCGTATGCCATTTCCCGATGACGATTTTGGCTAGTGTTGGCGCACGTTTTCTGCAGGCTCGCTTGATGGATCCCCCTAAACTTGCGTGCGAGCACTACTCATTGCAGTCAGGCTTTCAAGGAGCTCTGGTCCGCGCAATAAATAGTAATGGCATGTAAAGGGTCAGCACGCAGCGAGGGAATGCGCCAGGCATTACTTGTCATACCCGAATGTTGTGCATTCAGGTGCAGAATCAAACAGAATAAACCATGCCGGAATGACACAAGCAGTGCCGTACAAAAGGCCATTCACAATACTAATGCCATACGCACGGCATGTTTTGTTTGGTGCATGCAAACTTTTGTATAGTTTTCTTCCGTATGCTGCGAGATGCAGCGCTGAAATTGCAAGTGGTAGTTTGGGCGAGCGAGTACGGGACAACATGCGCGCTGCATTCACTACTCCCAAAGTTGAAGTCTTCGCTTTGTCGCAACAAGTTGACCTCACAAACAAACCCTTCAAAATCTTGCTGGGGATTGGTAGGGAGCATCGGCACGACGTATGCTTGGTATTTGTTAAGCTGTTCAAGGGGCGAACATGGCAATTTGTTTTCTTTTCATTGGCCTTCAGGTCAGTACAGAGTTCGGCGCTGTGCAGATGAAAGCTTGAGCCTGTGGCAAGTTGCAAGTGCGGCGAAAGCGCCGCTGAGCCGTGCTGACCTTCCCAAGCTTTGGATCCCCGCGGTCTCAGGGGTTCTCATATATTTCTAGGGGAAGCTTCCTCATTCTTTCCTGGGATCCTTCTCTTCAGGAAACCAGCAAAAACGCAGGGGAAACAGCTGGTTCTTGAAAATAACGATGATTCAAAAGAATGGGGAATCAACCGGTAGAATATTTGCTCGTCCGCGATCGCTCGCGCAGGTGTCGTGCCATCTGAATAGTGCCCAGTGCACCTTGGCAAACCAGATTCGGAGATTTCGGGAGAGGGGGTGCACGAAAGTCCACATAGGATCCTCGATCGGGTGGCTTCCGTGATGTATATTGCTGGCTTCGTGTTAGCTCACCTTTCAATATGGGATGATCGTTAGGCTGCCTTTGAACAGATCTTGCTTTGGCATGACCACGCCCTGCGAAAGAAGGATTCGCAGTTTGGAATTCGATCCGAAATGAGGCACTCCTTGTTGTGTCGATGTTGAGGGGGAGCATGAGGCGCGGTTCTAAATGTCCACACGCTGCAAGGAGGGTTGTGATGGCTAGAACAGGGTCTAACTCCAAATCAGGGTATCACAGTGGATGATGGACTAAGACCGTTTCGTCCCAAACTTGGGACATGATTGGCGCTGGGTCCAAGGTCTCTGAGACAAATTTGACCCGCCAGTCATATGGGCGCACTGATCCCTGATTTGATGCCTTGTTAGCTCCTCTTAGGCTCTCGGGTATGGTCCGGGGTCTGTTCTTGAAACCTTGTGAAAATTGAGGGGTAGGTAAGTTGAGGTTCAAGGGGCATTGGCAGTGGCCCACTTGCAGACAGTGCCCCTACGTCCAAGCCCCTTGTGAGGATATGCTTTGCCTCCTTTTTAAGCCCCTCAAGTGCATTCTTGGGTGTTTGGACCCTCTGGGTTTATGGATCTTTATGTCATTGATCCAATGCCCCAGGCTACATCAAGGCCGGCGAGGCCGCAACAGCACAGCAGGGCAAGAATGCGGCGGAGCCTTTCTTCAAGAAGGCGCCTGTTGTCAAAGTGCGGGGTAGGCAACGGACTACGGCGTGTGCGAGTGTTTTTTTGAGGATCCGGGTGCCCTTTGGTGGTGTGGTTGCAAAAATAATCCAAAGGGAAGGCCTTAATTTAGTGGGGCAGCCGACGAAAACAATACCACATCCTGGAGATTCCAATCCCGAGGAATTCCTAGGCGTTCTGGTTCTCAAGGCGTTTTAGGCGTTTTAGGCGTTTTGTGTTGTTGTTGCGCTTTTTTGTGGGCGGTTGCCCCTTTTTTTGCGGGCGTTTTGCGGCAATTTGCCGGCGTTTGCTGTTTCAAGGCGTTCGCGCAAAGTCAATGCCGAGAATTACTAGGAATTCCTTGACGTTTGAATCTCCAGGATGTTGTTTGGGCAAGAAATTGACAGTCCACAAAGGGCTGATGCCTTACGCATGATGAGCTCTTTAGCGGCTCTGTATATTTTTACTGTTGGAGACTTGCTTCCACTCATCCAGACAGGTTTGGAAGAGCAAGAGCTCCGACTGGGCAGAGAACGTGTATCTGTTTTTGTGTTTCTCTGCCATAGTTCGACGGAATATGCAACCTAGTCATTTTGCTTGTTTGGGACGTGTGGTCGTAGTTCCGTAGCTGTAGGCGATGTGGGAAGTAGGGCCATGGGCCACACTGCTTCGCTTGGTGGGTTGCCCCATCGCTAGATTGCTCCATCTACCATCCAGGCCAGTCATTCAGCAAAACGCACCTGGTCAGCAAACCATCAAGGGTTCGCGTTGTCTACTCGTCACTGGCTGCAACCTTGCTACCGTTGGGATGCTTGAAAGTTCTTCGCATTGCTCTGGCAGGCTCGGACCTCTTGTGATGATGTTCTGGCTGCTTGGCATCACGATCTGATCAGACGGAAAATCCTCAGTGCCAAGGTTGTTTCGCAAACCTGCAGGTATCTCCTAGGAAGCTACTTTCTCACGAGACTTTCTCACGAGATAAGCGGAACATTGGGGAGCTTCGTTTGCAGACATGACCCCCCAGAAAAGGTTTTTGACACCCTTCATGGGGTTCGATGGAAAGGTACCAGCTTGCCGTGGGTGGGCCCCCAGAAATGAGGGGGCTTCTTTTCCAGCGCCAGACTTGTACTTTACGACCTCAATTCTGCCCTCAATTTTGTATGGGGCTCACAAAACCGGTGAGTCAACGGTGTCTAGGAGCTGGATGCCGGCAGCATCAAGGCCATCTTCCGGCGGAGCCTATGCTACGAGAAGCGCCTCGACGAGCCTTTCTGGGATACAGTAGGGGGAAGCCGTTCTTGTCCAGCTCCTTATCACCGGTTTGTGTAGATCTTTGTGCCTTTGTTCTGGACCGGCTCACCTGGAGGTAAAGCGAGCTCATGATGAAGGTATATGAAGGTTCTTTACTTGGGGACCCCTTACTTCACGTTTTGGAAGTATTGAATTATTGTGGTTGTGGAATTGCAGATCTAGCTACATCTAATTCTCCACTACTATGGGGGGATCCGTCTGGTGACCATTAGGATGCCCTGCTTTGGGGGGAGAGAGGGGTGTTGGGTCGCTTTCATCTCCCCACCTTGGGCGCAGGCTTGGCGACCTAGAAGATGCCCTCAAGGACTGGGTGGGAGGCGGCCAGGTCAAGGGGTTTCGTGGATGGACCCGAAGAATTTTGTTCTCCGCATGCTTCCCCAACCGTGGGGCATATGTCATTTCTTACTGGGGAGGTTGGGGTAAAATGTAGGGAACACTGGACAACCAGCTGGCGGCGGGTTTCGGTTTGGGGCGAGGACATCAAGAAAGGTCTCGGGGTTTCTCCTGAAGACGCGGACCTCAAGAAGTCCCAAGACCGCTTGCAGAAGCTGCTGCCACTCGGAATAGAGGGTGGTCACGCAGTCAGGCTGTTAATGAGAACTCATACTGGGCTTGACTTGTTTTGTCAGCCCGACGTACGTGGCTATGAATACAAGTGGGACATGTCCCTGATGGCTGGATGTTAAAAAGTTAAGGTGCATGCAAATGATATGCACCAAAGCATCCCCAATTGAAGTCATACCGTTGTCATACCCATGTTGGTGACTAGGCGCAGGTCATAGGTTTCCCGTATTCAGGCGAGTCGCATATGAGACCCGGCCCTTGCTCGGCACATAACGAGCAAACATGGAGCCACGCGCCCAGGAACAAGCAGAAGGAGGGGCAGAAGAAGGTCTTTTCCAAGATGTTCGGCTGATTAGCGCCATTATTCTCGAAAACTGCGCTCAGCGCACAGCTGTGCTAATGCTGGCACCACTTCCGCCGGGGATTTTTGGGGAAGTGCGGGCCGTTCTTCCAAGCAGTGCCTCGCGTACGCGCGCCATGCTCTCTTTTGGTGCGGTGCCTCGTGAAGCGGCAGCGCACACTCGAGCTGGCAGGAGCCCAACGGCAGGCTTTGCGTCACAGAGTCGCCGCAAGAGGTGCAGTCTCCTTGAACATCCCATTTAAAACCGCTTGAATCTGGAAGCCGTCGAATGCCGCAGCAACTATTTGCGTACCATAGTGCGACATTGTTGAGGTGCTTGGCTTCCTTGTTATCGACAGCTTTTGAATCACACCTAGGAATTTCACTGCTGCTCCCTTGCGCCTTCAAGCTTGCCTCATTTTGCCCTCTCACCCTGCATGGAATTCAAAGTCAGCTCCTGGCGAAGCCTTGCCTGAGCGAAGAGACATAAGCCCTTCAGGGCCCCAAAAACCAGTCGCGCGCACAAAAAAAGCTGCTAGCTGAAGGCTGCCCGAGCACAGGGTCAAGAGCAAAACGCAGGCCGCAGTCGCAAGATGGTTGATGATGGCTCCCTGCTCTGGTCCAAGCTGCACTGCCCTCGAAGGTGTGCAACTTGAATGCTAGGGAGGACACTGCGTTGCCCTGTCAAATCACAGCTGCCTGCGGTCTGTCGGGTCCTGCTGTAATCAGGCATTGGCATAAGCGGTCGGAAAGGGCTTGCAGCGGCTGGCAGTGGCTGGAATGCTTCCTTGTCATGGGCTGGTCATGGCAAGGGTCAAGGTGCACGGCGGCATTCTGGCAATCTGTTTTGTCTAATTATGTGTTCCACCCTGCTCTGGTCCAAGCTGCGCTGCCCTGGAAGGTGTGCAACTTGAATGCTAGGGAGGACACTGCGTTGCCCTGTCAAATCACAGCTGCCTGCGGTCTGTCGGGTCCTGCTGTAATCAGGCATTGGCACAAGCGGTCGTAAAGGGCTTGCAGCGGCTGGCAGTGGCTGGCAGTGGGTGGCAGTGGCTGGCGTGCGGCCTTGTCATGGGCTTGTCATGGCAAGGGTCAAGGTGCACGGCGGCAGGTTGCCCTGTCAAATCACAGCTGCCTGCGGTCTGTCGGGTCCTGCTGTAATCAGGCATTGGCACAAGCGGTTAGAAAGGGCTTGCAGCGGCTGGCAGTGGCTGGCAGTCGGTGGCAGTGGGTGGCATGCGGCCTTGTCATGGGCTTGTCATGCCAAGGGTCAAGGTGCAAGGCGGCAGGCTGGCAAGCTGTTTGGTCTGGCTATGTGTTCCACCCTGCTCTGGTCCAAGCTGCGCTGCCCTGGAAGGTGTGCAACTTGAATGCTAGGGAGGACACTGCGTTGCCCTGTCAAATCACAGCTGCCTGCGACTGTCGGGTCCTGCTGTAATCAGGCATTGGCATAAGCGGTCAAAAAGGGCTTGCAGCGGCTAGCAGTGGCTTGCAGCGGCTGCAGTGGCTGGCAGTGGCTGGCATGCGGATTTGTCATGGTAAGGGTCAAGGTGCATGGCAGCAGATTGGCAAGCTGTTTTTTTAATGGGGTGTTCCGCCCTGCTCTGGTCCAAGCTGCGCTGCCCGGGAAGGTGTGCAACTTGAATGCTAGGGAGACACTGCCGCGGCTAGCAGCTGGCAAGCTGTTTTGTCTAACTATGTGTTCCACCCTGCTCTGGTCCAGGCTGCGCTGCCCTGGAAGGTGTGCAACTTGAATGCTAGGGAGGACACTGCGTTGTCCTGTCAAATCACAGCTGCCTGCAGTCTGTCAGGTCCTGCTGTAATCAGGCATCGGCAGCAGCGGTCAGAAAGGGCTTGCAGCGGCTGGCAGTGGCTGGCAGTAGGCGTCAGTGCCTGGCTTCCTGCCTTGTCATGGGCTGGTCATGGCAAGGGTCAAGGTGCACGGCTGCATTCTCGCAAGCTGTTTTGTCTAATTGTGGGTTCCGCCCTGCTCTGGTCCAAGCTGCACTGCCCTGGAGGGTGTGCAACTTGAATGCTAGGGAGGACACTTTGTTGCCCTGTCAAATCACAGCTGCCTGCGTTTTGTGCGGTCCTGCTGCAATCAGGCATTGGCACAAGCGGTCAGAAAGGGCTTGCAGCGGCTGGCAGTGGCTGGCATGCTTCCTTGTCATGGGCTGGTCATGGCAAGGGTCAAGGTGCACGGCGGCAGGCTGGCAAGCTGTTTTTGGTCTAACTATGTTCCACCCTGCTCTGGTCCAAGCTGCGCTGCCCTGGAAGGTGTGCAACTTGAATGCTAGGGAGGACACTGCGTTGCCCTGTCAAATCACAGCTGCCTGCAGTCTGTCAGGTCCTGCTGTAATCAGGCATCGGCAGAAGCGGTCAGAAAGGGCTTGCAGCGGCTGGCAGTGGCTGGCAGTAGGCGGCAGTGCCTGGCTTCCTGCCTTGTCATGGGCTGGTCATGGCAAGGGTCAAGGTGCACGGCTGCATTCTGGCAAGCTGTTTTGTCTAATTGTGTTCTGCCCTGCTCTGGTCCAAGCTGCACAGCCCTGGAGGGTGTGCAACTTGAATGCTGGGGAGGACACTGCGTTGCCCTGTCAAATCACAGCTGCCTGCGTTTTGTGCGGTCCTGCTGTAATCAGGCATTGGCACAAGCGGTCAGAAAGGGCTTGCAGCGGCTGGCAGTGGCTGGCATGCTGCCTTGTCATTGTAAGGGTCAAGGTGCACGGCGGCAGGCTGGCAAATTGTTTTGTAATTATGTGTTCCGCCCTGCTCTGGTCCAAGCTGCACTGCCCTGGAAGGTGTGCAACTTGAATGCTAGGGTGGACACTGTGTTGCCCTGTCAAATCACAGCTGCCTGCGGTCTGTCGGGTCCTGCTGTAATCAGGCATTGGCATAAGCGGTCAGAAAGGGCTTGCAGCGGCTGGCAGTGGCTGGCAGTGGGTGGGAGTGGGTGGCAGTGGCTGCCTTGTCATGGGCTGGTCATGGCAAGGGTCAAGGTGCACGGCGGCATTCTGGCAATCTGTTTTGTCTAATTATGTGTTCCACCCTGCTCTGGTCCAAGCTGCGCTGCCCTGGAAGGTGTGCAACTTGAATGCTAGGGAGGACACTGCGTTGCCCTGTCAAATCACAGCTGCCTGCGGTCTGTCGGGTCCTGCTGTAATCAGGCATGGCCACAATCGATCAGAAAGGGCTTGCAGCGGCTGGCAGTGGCTGGCTTGCTGCCTTGTCATGGTAAGGGTCAAGGTGCACGGCGGCAGGCTGGCAAAGTGTTTTTTATTTGGGTGTTCCGCCCTGCTCTGGTCCAAGCTGCACTGCCCTGGAAGGTGTGCAACTTGAATGCTAGGGTGGAGACTGTGTTGCCCTGTCAAATCACAGCGTCCTGCTGTAATCAGGCATTGGCATAAGCGGTCAGAAAGGGCTTGCAGCGGCGGGCAGTGGCTGGCATGCTGCCTTGTCATGGCAAGGGTCAAGATGCGCGGCGGCAGGCTGGCAAGCTGTTCTGTCTATTTTGCTCTGGTCCAAGCTGCGCTGCCCTGGAAGGTGTGCAACTTGAATGCTAGGGAGGACGCTGCGTTGCCCTGTCAAGTCACAGCTGCCTGCAGTCTGTCAGGTCCTGCTGTAATCAGGCATTGGCATAAGCGGTCAGAAAGGGCTTGCAGCGGCTGGCAGTGGCTGGCAGTGGGTGGGAGTGGGTGGCAGGCTGCCTTGTCATGGGCTTGTCATGCCAAGGGTCAAGGTGCACGACGGCAGGCTGGCAAGCTGTTCGGTCTAGTTATGTGTTCCACCCTGCTCTGGTCCAAGCTGCACTGCTCTGGAAGGTGTGCAACTTGAATGCTAGGGAGGACACTGCGTTGCCCTGTCAAATCACAGCTGCCTGCAGTCTGTCGGGTCCTGCTGTAATCAGGCATTGGCACAAGCGGTCAGAAAGGGCTTGCAGCGGCTGGCAGTGGCTGGCATGCTGCCTTGTCATTGTAAGGGTCAAGGTGCACGGCGGCAGGCTGGCAAATTGTTTTGTAATTATGTGTTCCGCCCTGCTCTGGTCCAAGCTGCACTGCCCTGGAAGGTGTGCAACTTGAATGCTAGGGTGGACACTGTGTTGCCCTGTCAAATCACAGCTGCCTGCGGTCTGTCGGGTCCTGCTGTAATCAGGCATTGGCATAAGCGGTCAGAAAGGGCTTGCAGCGGCTGGCAGTGGCTGGCAGTGGGTGGGAGTGGGTGGCAGTGGCTGCCTTGTCATGGGCTTGTCATGCCAAGGGTCAAGGTGCACGACGGCAGGCTGGCAAGCTGTTCGGTCTAGTTATGTGTTCCACCCTGCTCTGGTCCAAGCTGCACTGCTCTGGAAGGTGTGCAACTTGAATGCTAGGGAGGACACTGCGTTGCCCTGTCAAATCACAGCTGCCTGCAGTCTGTCGGGTCCTGCTGTAATCAGGCATTGGCACAAGTGGTCAGAAAGGGCTTGCAGCGGCTGGCAGTGGCTGGCATGCTGCCTTGTCATGGTAAGGGTCAACGTGCACGGCGGCAGGCTGGCAAATTGTTTTGTAATTATGTGTTCCGCCCTGCTCTGGTCCAAGCTGCACTGCCCTGGAAGGTGTGCAACTTGAATGCTAGGGTGGACACTGTGTTGCCCTGTCAAATCACAGCTGCCTGCGGTCTGTCGGGTCCTGCTGTAATCAGGCATTGGCATAAGCGGTCAGAAAGGGCTTGCAGCGGCTGGCAGTGGCTGGCAGTGGGTGGGAGTGGGTGGCAGTGGCTGCCTTGTCATGGGCTTGTCATGCCAAGGGTCAAGGTGCACGACGGCAGGCTGGCAAGCTGTTCGGTCTAGTTATGTGTTCCGCCCTGCTCTGGTCCAAGCTGCACTGCCCTGGAAGGTGTGCAACTTGAATGCTAGGGTGGACACTGTGTTGCCCTGTCAAATCACAGCTGCCTGCGGTCTGTCGGGTCCTGCTGTAATCAGGCATTGGCACAAGTGGTCAGAAAGGGCTTGCAGCGGCTGGCAGTGGCTGGCAGTGGCTGGCATGCTGCTTTGTCATGGCAAGTGTCAAGGTGCACGGCGGCAGGCTGGCAAGCTGTTTTGTCTAATTATGTGACTATGTGTTCTGCCCTGCTCTGGTCCAAGCTGCACTGCCCTGGAAGGTGTGCAACTTGAATGCTAGGGTGGACACTGTGTTGCCCTGTCAAATCACAGCTGCCTGCGGTCTGTCGGGTCCTGCTGTAATCAGGCATTGGCACAAGCGGTCAGAAAGGGCTTGCAGCGGCTGGCAGTGGCTGGCAGTGGCTGGCATGCTGCTTTGTCATGGCAAGTGTCAAGGTGCACGGCGGCAGGCTGGCAAGCTGTTTTGTCTAATTATGTGACTATGTGTTCTGCCCTGCTCTGGTCCAAGCTGCCCTGCCCTGGAAGGTGTACAACTTGAATGTTAGGGTGTGCATTGGCATGCTTGTGCTTGGAGCATGTCCTGGCTTGGTTTGCTCGAGATTTGGAGCTGAGTGTATCTTGTATGGGACCGTGTTGTATAGGCGGAGAGTTGGCGGCCGCGTGGTTTAGGGCCGTGTAGGGCCCAGCTTCCGCGCACAAGCCGGAACCAGTGATGGCAGTTTGACCAATTCGTGCCGCTGTCGTTGGGTCGAGTTGCGGAGCCGTGGCCGTGCGAAGTAGATTGACACGAGGTCGAGTTGTACCGTGCATGTTTGCGAGCGCTTGGGTGGCGAATTTATCGTTTGGATTTCAGCTGGCTCTGGCTTTCTTTGCGAGCAAAAGGCTGATGGATGCAAGAAGAAGAACGGTATGTTTCTACTCTTGCTTTTATCATTGTTCTTTTCAGGGTGCAGGCAGCATTGCAGAACCATTTAGACACTTTTATTGTGTCAGTTGCTTTTCTCTTCAGGCCGCGTTGCGTAGCTGGCGCTGTGGGTGACGTCGTACGTGTATGCCGCCAGCAAACGGACCGCTCCGGCTGGGCCAAGGCTTCCGGAGGCGCAGAGCAGACACGTCTAAGAATTCTGCATGCAAAGGCGGGCCGACATTCTTTTGTTCTGCTCAAGCCCATTGTCCCCTGGCACACTGCAAGATGTCCTCTGGCCATGGGGAATATGTCAACAGCCCTCGCCCCTCTCAGTTGGCCATGCAAAAAGACACCAGTAGAAGCGACAAGCTCGAGCACAAGTTCACGGAGATCAGTGTGGTTCAGCATGGATTCTGGCTTCAGTTTGGTTTGATTCAAGGACACCCAATCGACTGAAAGCAACAGGTTGGCTCCGAACGTCGCAGCTCGAAGCATAGTGCAACTTCCGACACGGCTTGCAACGCGTGCAACGGCGCATGGCCGGCCGGCCTTAAGCAGATGTGCGCGGTTGTGCGGCAGCCCAGTTTGTCAGCCGGAGTGGTGGGGGGGGGGGGGTGTATACAATCTAGATTATGCTGGTTTCCCCATTTGGAGAGACATCCGCATTCAGGAAAGTACCAGGCCTCCAGGATGTTTCCAAAGATGGATGCACGGGAGCTCCTTCTAGTCCCAGTACATCAGGCCCTTGAGCATGAAAGTGCACCAAAGATTCAAACAAAAACAAGCATCGACCAATGCGGGTCTTCTGATGCGTGCATCAGTTGGTATGAGCCTAGGGTCCAACGCGCTGCTGGTCAGAAATACTGGGCTTTGGCCTGCAGTGATGCCCTTGCTTCCTTTTTTTGTTGAAGGGGTTCGCTTCAAAATCCAGTGCTTCCCCATTGCCGCCAGGGGTGTGGAATTCGTACGTATATATATAGATATATATATATATATATGTTTGTTTTTGGATTCGCCATGCAGGAGTACCTGCATGTCAGCAAGCTGGGAGCTTTGAAGTTGTTGGTGATTGGTCATGTCAACGTCAAGAAGACTCCAAGGGGCCCCTACAGCCCCTCCAAGGGCGGATTGAAATGCGACATGTCCCCCAGATGTGTGTGTGTGTGACTGTTTGTGATTTTGTTGAGGGCTGTTCACCTTGGTCCATGGGAAGCCCAAGATGGTAAACTCATCATTTGAGGGTCGCTCTATTCACAAACAGGTAAGACTTACGTTAAGGCGAATCCATATGTGGTTGTTGCTAAAACGGTTTGCACCTCAGATTTGTTGGGAAATCTACTTGGAACCCCGTCAGGCCAACTTGCAACGACCCCATGCCGTTGACACCTGCAGGCTTTTCAGCAGCACAAACCCCCAAGAAACCATACTCTACCGAAGGTAGTTACACAAATAGATCAACAAGGTTACGGGGGGGGGGGGGAGGTTCAAAGTTACCCCTTGAAACAAGGTCCCCTTGGATTATTGGATATTTCGCACGTTGCTTTCGTGAAGAGTAATTTAAACATATTAGTTCTGCACCTTGTGCAGGATAATAATTGACACACATCCACACCATCCCCCGCACACCCTTACCTGCTCAGTGTCCATGTTTCTTTCAGACAACAGGTCGCCAGGTCTCTCCGTCAGTTCGGCCCCAAACCAACATGTGTGATACTTAAAGAAAAAATGGAAAAAAAGGGAAGGGGAAAACAAAAAAATCCGCCAGAAGTCACCTCTCCAGCGGTTTTTCCTCGCGCAATGGCTCCTTTGATCTGGGCCCACCGCGGGGCCTCGGCGCGCTGCCCGGAGAACACCCTCAGCGCCTTCCGGGCGGCGCTGGACCTCGGGGCGGACACTCGGCACTTTGGGGAACCCGCCCATCCGCCATCCCCCGTAGATTTTTGGCTTAGTTGGGTTTTGGTGGGTAGCTTCCACTAGGTTCTTAGCCTGGTAGTTGGTTTTTATAGGGTGGTTTCCACCAAAACACTAGGTAGTTTCCACTCAACCACTAGGTAGTTTCCACTCAACCACTAGGTAGTTTCCACTAAACCAGGCAGGTGGGATTTGGGAACACACCAGTGTTGATGGGTGTCCTACCTGCCTGGAGCATCCCGGAGCTTCAAGTGTAGTACCGTACCACTTTGTGTTTTTGCTGATTCGTTAGGCGATTTTCAGCGTTCGCATGAAGCATACCTTGAGATTCAAAAGGCCTCTGAAAAAGGAAAATCGATCAGAGAGACTTTGGCTCTGTATATTTCTGCGACCCCATGGCGACCATGTCATGCCCGGACATGCCCCTAGGGGACTTTGGACACTCATGAAAACTGTATAGGACAACATCGTTCATGCCAAGAAAAGGCCATTCAGGCAAAACGTATTGCACCGCAGTTTTTTAACGCTAGTTTCGCCGTAGTTTCACGGTGCCCCAGCTTCCCGTAGCATTTACCTGGACTACAGCAGCGAAGCTGTTCCCAGGAAAATTCGCACCATGGGACCCCGGGTCAGGAGCCTCAAATTCCAAGAAAAGGGCGTTCAGGGCAAAAGGTCGATCAATGCAAACAAAAAGGTTGACCGAGACCTGAAACCATCCTTTGCTTTATGGGATAGTGACTGCCAGCGTATGCATTTCGACGATTGGTCGTTGAGAAGAGTGCGCAGAAATCAAGGTGCAAAACGAACGCAGTTTCCACAAACGAGCGCGAATGAAAAAAGCGTTGCGGTTGCTGGCCTTGCTTCGAACATATGGAACAACATATTAAGAAGGACCGCACGCTTTTTGTGCATCGATCAGAAACGAATGGCTTTGTGTCGCAATGGGAGCTTCAGGTGGGGATTGCCCGAACCGAAGAAGGAGCAGCGATCAACCCGTAACGGTTTCCAAACATGATGTATTATTCTATGGTGGGTTTACCAGGGAATGTCCCAAACCCGCCTTGTTTAAACAAATCGGTGTCTTGGACCCACGGGAAGCATGATGTTGTACATCAGTGGTCGTTTGTTTCAAAGGGTGGTTAGCAAGGTTTGGCCCCATATTTCATTTGAACGGTTGTTGTCAACATCACCGTTTTGGCCAGTTTAAGGTGAGCTTCCTTTGGGTGGTGTGATCCGTGATGTTTCGCCAACCCCGAAGATGTCCACCTGTGGTGGCGATAGGATAGACGTGTACATTGCACTGGCGACTGCCCCCAGCACCACGCAAACGATATGTATGTGCTTAGCCGTGAATCCCAGCATGGCCCTTCTCTACCGACCTTTGGTAGCCATGCCGCAAAGGTTGACCGTTGCCCATGTTTTTTGTTCTTAACAAAAAAGCCGCTAACTCAAGCTACTGCAAGGATGGTGTGGAGCTGGATGTGCACCCCACAGCGGACGGGAAGGTCGGGTGATGCGACAGAAGGGTGAGAGTGGATAGGTGCTGGGCGCTGCTTTTGAGGTGGGGGGTGGGTTTCAGGGTTAGCCGGTTGGGCGATGGGGGGCTAGGTTGATTGTTGCATTTCTTTCGATAGAGCCTGCATTGGGGCTTCGCTTTTTTGGATACCCCGCCCTTATCTAGCTTGGTTTTCAGTTGTTTTGCTCCGCCGTACTTGTCAGCGTTCTCAGGCTGCGGCCAACAACAAGTGGTCAAGAACCTGACTAAGAAATCCATAGAAATTCCGCAAGTATTAGTTGATAGTTGTCGAAGAATGTTCACATTGACATGGATTTGGGTGGTTGTTGTTTCGGAGGTTTGCCCAAATGTGGTCCGTTCATGTTCTGCAGTCTTCACTTCTGCCAGCATGACAACATATGACAAGGGTTGGACAGAGCTGTCTTTCCGCACCCCGCCTGGTCAGGTAGTGGTCTTGCACGACGCCACCCTTGAGCGCACCACGGACCAACGCGGCCCTGTGAGCGGCACCTCGGCAAGAAGCGCGAGGCGAAGTGGCGAAGGGTGAAGGGGCATACGGCCAGGAGAAGGCCTGGATGACCGGCACAGTCAAGAATCCCAGTGCGTAACTTCATTCATTCGTGGGGTTATTGGATACAACCTACGGGGGGACAGGCTATCCAAGTAGGCATGCTCCGTTTGTTCGGGGAACCGCTTTTTGGGTGTTTGCGGGACACCCTCAAAGTTGGCAGGCAAGACCTGGCCTGAGCTCCAAGCCTGTGACGCGGGCGCCTGGTTTTCCCCACAGTTCAAGGGGGAGAAGCTTCCTCTGCTGGAGGAGGCGTGGAGACAGCAGGAGCCATGGGCTCTCTGTGTTGTGTTGGAGGTTGGCTAAACACAGGACCGAAGTCATGCACATTCACAGTGACATATGTATGAAAATCTCTTCTGATTACACATTGTCTTAGTTTCACTATATGAAGAACATTATGCACTTGTATATTGGTTTCTACTGAAAAACCTTGAGGTAGTACACCGCCAGAGCTGGATTCCCATTGGCCAAATCCTCGATTAGTTGCTATTGCCTCGATTTTGGCGTGTTCTTCCTGCTTGTGAGACATGGGCAAGACTACTTGCTAGAATCTAGAACTTGCTCGCGCTTGCTAGAATTAAGTTTGGCCATGGGTGGCCACTGGGCAACTGCGCATTTCCGAGACTGGCCTGGAGAGAGGTTGGTGTTTTGAGGGCCGAGAGCGCATGCTTTCTCGAGACTAAGTGAGAGTTTTAGTCGTTGTTCAGCCCCATAAACCGCTTCCGGAGTTGATGGTTGTACGCGTCGTATTTGGCCGCGCCCTGGTGCCATCATTGGTTAGCAGTCCGTATGTTTGGTGGGCCGGTCACTAGACCACCGTCAATGCACAAAATATTGGTTCCAATTCTTTTCCTACCAGCCCCCGAAAGGCTGCTAGGTTGGCTATGGGACTAGGCCTCGTTTTTTTTTTTTTTTTGGAAGAAAGGCTACAATTTATCCCGGGAGAGGTGCTGCATCTGACCACCTCCTGTGGCAATCTTGGCCGCATAGGGGGGGCAAAGCTTCACACCCGGAGGGGTAGAGGGAGGCCATCGCGAAGAGTGTCTGGGGCATGCTGTTAAATTCCAGCATGCAAGACTGATGCACCATGAATCCGGGGACTTTGTCGCGCAGAATCACGCTTTTGTGCAGTGAGTTTGGATTCACTTTTTGAAGGTTTGTGCTGTGAGCAGTCATGAAGTGAGCAGTTTGCCCATTTGATCTAATGAAGAGAGCGGATTCCGTCTACAGTCTAACTTATGTTGCCAGCAATGCATAGGATCACTAAAACATACTAAAACCATGGTTGTTGCCCATACAGTTTCTCATTTGAGTGGTACAAAGCGATGCGCAAATGTAGTCTCAGACTGTTCGGTTTGACCTTGCATCCATCCATCCATCCGCTCATGAGCGACAGGGAAAACTGTTGTAGCTCCCTTTAATCCTGAAATGCGTGCTTTGTCATCGGACAAATGCATTGCAGCCCCCTTTCGCTCACGTTGTTTCTTCTGTGGTGGTTGTTTTAAACGTTTTCTTGACTTGCCCGAAACAAGCCCCCCACATGTCCATGCCCTCCTTCTCATTTCCACAGTTTCTGCAACCTCTCACGGGCCGTGCGCTCAAGTCAGATTAGGGGTGTCATGTTTGAGGGTCCTCGTTTTGGTGTCTCAGGGCAATCCAAAGAGATGCCCGCCTGACGTAAATTTATTGACCCCGCGAGCTCATGTGTTTTTGTCAACTGATGTTGTCGAGTCCCAGGCCTCCGGAGCTGCCGTTGCTTCCTTTTTCGCAGGGCCGGAAGCCTTCGCGTAGCCATTGAAAAGCGGGCGGAGTTTCCTCTAACCGGTGGCCTTAGGCAAGAAGCTGCTGATCGAGCTGAAGGGCCCGCCCTCTCTGAGTCGCGCCGTCCTCTTCCTGGCGAATCGGCTGGGGCACCTGCCGCCCGCCTACCCGCAGCTGCCGAAGCTTCTGGCGACTCTGCTGCGCCCCGGCCCACAGAGCGAAGCAGAGAAAACAGTTCTTTGGGGGGCCGTTTTTGTTCTTCTTTTTTTTTGGGGGGGGCAGTTCAGTGTGAGCATCTTTGGGGCACTTTTGGAAAGTTCGTACGCCCAGTCGGGTTCGTCTTACCCCTTTTGGTTTTGTGGGCTCGGGGCCCACTGAAATGGTCAACTCGAGAAGGGGGCTCAATTTCTCGTTCCACTCGAGTCACTGGAGCAAGAAGGAAAAGCGGGCAGAAAAGAAGAGTCACGCTTCCAGCGAGCTCGAGGACGGGTCTGTTGTACATCTGAGGCCAAGGTGAAGCCCCTGCCCAATTTGCCGGGATACTCCCCCTCGTCAGCTCAAAGATCATATTGTAGATTAGTAGATTAGTTTCCTCTGATGGTTTGGTGGACTTAGGGGCAGGTGCGCATTTTGACATGCCTGAGCGCGCAGGTGTCTCTCTGTGTGGTGTGGATATATATATATATATATACATATATAATATACATATATATATATATATATGTATATATATATATATATATGTATTTCTATAATATAGGTACATATGTCGATGTGTGTGTCTTTGTGCCTCTGTCGCCTGTCTTTGTCTCTGCCTCTGCCTCTGCTGCATCTGCATGTGTTTGTGTGTGTCTTTGTCTGTGTCCGTGTGTTTGTGTGTGTTTGTGTGTGTGTGTGCGTTCGTGTGTGCTTGTGTGTGTGTGTGTGTCTGTGGGTGTGGGTGTGGGTGTGGGTGTGGGCGTGGGGTGGGAGTGGGAGTGGGGGTGGGTGGGGGTGGGGTTTTTGTTTGCGCAACTGTCCGCATGTGTATGTGTGCATGCTTCTTGATAGAGGAAGGGGCGTAAACACGATCATACAATAAACTATATATACTTGTAGATATGAAGCAAACCCTGAAGTTTTGGTGTTGAACTACTCGGGCTTCGTTGTGCTTGTTGCTCTGTGAAAGGAACTTAATGTATCTCATGATGCCATGTGTTCCATCAAATGGCAGGATATGTGTCGGGAGGCCCGTATTGTGATGGGGTTCCACTGGGCCACCAAACCCGGCCAGCGAGAGTCCAGCAGGGTGCAATATACCCACTAATGAGAAACACCGCATGGACTGGTGAATCAGGTTGGTGAACCACTTGCCTTGCTGTGGCCCCCAAGTGAGGAACAGCGATGCCACGGCTGAACACACTAGCAAGCGGGGTGCAATGTCGTCTAAGCCCGAGACGCGCAACTGGTGGGTTGACAGCAACTTTTTGTTGTTTGGTTTTGTGCTGTGTAGAATGTCAAAGGTTCCCCTCGTCATAAGAAGCGGCAGGCACTGGCACACCGAATAGGTGATTTTTTTCCTTGACAGCTTATAGGCATTGGCCAAGGGTTGAGCATCGAGCGTGCTTACCGCAAGAAAGGTGCGGCGTTGTTGAGTAGCACCATGAGAACGAGCACGAGTAATTGCCCGCTTAACTAGCAAGAGTGGAAATCGTTTGTGTTTGAATGTGAAGGGCAATCTTGTTGGACACATGCCCGTGACTGGATTGCCCCCGATCCTGCCCGCTGGTCCAGCAAGGAAGCCCTACAACAGCCAGGCGGGCAAAGAGTGTGCAAGCTGTGAAGCCGCATGTGCACGTGTAACTACTGGTGAGTAAAACTCAGAAATTGTGATTGGCCTGTTACTGTTGCCGAGCACTGCAAGTCAGCACTGCTAGTCATTGCTGCTGTCCGCCTCCCCCCGAGTTTATCCCTGTCAGCTTCGGCCAAGTACACTTTAAGACTTTACCGACCACTGGCGCATAAGGTCCCCTTGTCCTGTGAAGCGTGGAATTGGCCACGGTTCCTGAGGGCAGTTTATTTCTTTACATGGGGCCGCAGCAGAAAGCGCCACACATCGCGCACTAGGTGAAGAGTGGCCTCATTTTGGCTCAGTCCTTCTATCAGCCCTACCTGGAGGAGCTTCTCAGTCAGCAAATCGACCTTTTTGGTGCTTGCCTCCGCGAATTTGTACAGGGTTACAGGTCAGGAACTTGTTTGCGTCCTTGGCGTTCCTTTGAGGGCACAAATTTTGCCCTTGGTCAGCAAGGTGCCCAAGGCGAGTCGACCTTTCAACTTGTTGGCTTCCCCCCCTTTTCGTGTGTATGCTGCAAGTGGGCCCCAGTGATACTTATGCTGCAAGGGGGTTGGCAGTTACGGTGGTCATGAATTCATTTGGCCCTTCACTAAGGCTCCGCGTGCTGATGCCCGAGCTACAACTCTTATCTTTGGCCTTCGCTCCCAGCCAAGGTGGGAGCTGCCAGAAGCTGTCAAAGCCAAGCCTCACTCCGCAAGTACGCTTGTTGGGACAATTTTAGAGAGACGCATATCAACTTTGGACACTTTTCTCCCCACGGGAAGTGAGAAGCGTCCGCCTTATCGCGCCAAACTCCGAAAGCACTAGACCACAAAGCACGCTTATTTGTTGTCATCTTTCTTTGGTGGCTGGAGCCAGGACAGCAGTTTTTGGATCAGGGAACGAGATGGGTCTGGATCGTGGGAGAGAGGGGTGGGCACTTGGGTTTGGCCGCAAGAACCAAGCGGAAGATTGCGAACTTATCAGGGGGTCCTGGGGTGCTGCGTGCAGCCTTTCTCCAAACTATCTGAAGCATGTTCCTTGTCCAGATTTCGGGCTGACTCATCCCCCCACCCAGCAATCAAAACTTGAGGACCACTTTCCGCGATTCCAGAACCTTATAAGTTATAAGGGACAAAGTAGTCATAAGGATGGCCCGCTTTGGCATAAAAGAGAAAATCTCTTCCAAGAACCAAAGAATTGGGATTTGTTTTCCTCCGTAGGCCCGGTGTGTTTGACCCTGCTGTCTTTCGAGGATCTCAAGAGATTTATACAGGGATCCACTGAACGCGGTTGACTTGGGCCTCCCCCTCCCAAGCAGAAGTATGATCGGATTGCCCAAAGAGCTTCCAAAGAGACGTTATACGTGGTGCGCACAAGGGTTGCCTTTCGATTTGTGAGAGCCCCCGTTCCCTTTCCACTGGCTCATTTCCCTTCCCAACCGGGAGCCCTCATTCATCCAGAGGGTTTGGTGAATCGGAAGTGGGTTTCTTTGACGGTAGCCACCCACCCACCCCAAAAGTGCCATATCCCGCAAGCCCACATGTTTGCCCGCGCGTTTAAGGGTGGCCGCGCGTAGCAGGTATTTTTATGGGCTTTCAGGCGCTATTCAGTGGGTGGGGGTGCACCTGAGCATGTCCACTTTCGTGATCGTTCATGTCGCATCATCTCGAGGCTCAAACATATGCCACTGGAAAGTAACATTGGACTTCTCAAAGCACGCTTGATTGTTCTATGGGTCTCCTTGTGGGCGGGGGGGTGTCAGCACAACAACTGGAGGCTGGCTGCAGCGGGAGGATTTGGACCTCCGATTCGGCGCCGCGGTGTGGCACCGTGCGCTCCGCTTGGACCTTGTGGCGCGCCTGCGGTCGGGCGGGGCGCTTCCCGTTTTCGCGTGGACGGTGGACTCGGACGTTGGCATCAGCGCTGCTCGGAATCCGATGTGGTCCAGTGGCTGGCTTGTATGGCTGGCGGATTTTTGGGGAGCAAATGAGCAGTGAACCTTCTTAAACACAACGAGCAAGCGAGCAAACATGACGTGTTGGACTCGAGGCGGTTCTCTTTTCTAATATGTCTGTATCCCACTCAAAGCGTACCTTTTAGCAAGGCATCAAGTACTCTCTAAGGCCGTGGCTGGATGGTCATGGACCATGACCCAAGTAAGGAGTGTGAGTAGGCGGAATGGTTTTAGTGGCAGCCTCAGCTCCACCTATCCCTTGTGCTTTCTTGGTGTCTGGTAGGCGTCCCAAGCAAGGAGACGCTCGCTCGAAACGAGTGATTCACTTTCCCTTCACAGGCAGAGGGACACTTGGCAGCCCGGGATGAGGGATGTCCCTTTTGCGGGTTGCCCAGTGGGGCATTTCAGCTTCCAGTGTTCGCTGTCGTTGTGTGCTTTGAAGGTGCGGGCCCAAGTCAAACGGACATGCCTCTATATGAGTCCTTCAGCTGCCCATTCTTCAGGTGACCATCAGAGGGGCTATATAGAGGACCGCTACAACGGGGTGGTTCTCCTGTAATTGCCCACTTTCAATGACACTTGGCGGGTAACCTCGACAACGAACAACAGGCGCCTTCTCCAAAACTCGGCAAGTACCAGAACCCTAGAACCTGAATGCTTTCCCCTGATTAGTAAAGCTGGACAAGCCCCCAAAACTGAGACTTTTTGACTTTTTGCAGGACCCCTTCTGGCCCCTTCCTAGCCAACCTTTTGGGTCCTTGGCTTCTTGGCCCCAACAGGGCTTTCAATATCTTAAAATGGCAACTCCTCTTTTAATTTTTAAACCGAAAAGCGCCCTGATTTCTCACCGGGGGGGGGGGTTCTGTGCCAGGGGGATGGCTGGCCTCCAAGGTGGGGTTCCCTTTGTCAGCCGGAACACCTTATCATGTTAAACAAACTTTTGTAAGAACCATGCATTTTCGGAGGAAGCACATCTGTTGGGACAACTTAATAGCGGCTTGGCATTGGTGGGTTTAGGCGCGAACAAATCGAATACTAAGCAACAAGGAAAGCGGGGTATGGGGTACTATTCGTGCACTGACATAAGGAAGGAAAGCGGGCCACACATAGTTTTGGTTTGGCGATTGTTCCCTCGATTTGTGAGCAGTGCCCTCTTACAGTCAGAGCAACTCGGTTGTTTCCTTTAAGCTACCACTCGGCTGCCTCCTTTTCGGTAAACTTGGTACACCAATTTGGCGCATGAGGCGATGTTGGCTGCCGGTGTGGATGGGATCATCACCAACCGCCCGGACCGCGCCTTGGCGCTGGCGACCGGAGATGTCACCTTGCGGCGCGGGTGCTGCCGGCGGGCGAAGCGCGCCTAGCGGCAGCGCTCGGCCTGTGGCAGGCATTGGCCGCTGGAGCCTGAGCAGCCCAGAAAAAAGTGGCGTGACCTGTTTGTTGGGATCAAAGCCAGTGGATCCCAAAAAGCCACGTCCAGCCATTTTCCTTTCTTGCAGACGTGCCATGTTAGCGCCAGTGTACATACCAAGCGATAATTCCGGGCCGCGCCAACTCAGCCAGCGTGGATTGAGCCATGGGGCAGTGCCAGCGGAGAAAAGGAGCCCGTGGAAGCCCTCCGGGCACTTGTGCAAAACTCCACTCCTACCCAGGAAAGTATGGAAGGGGTACAATAGGATGTATCCCAGAGGAATACTAGTGGTAGGTCAGGGAGAGACGGCAACTTCGACTCGGTTTTCGGAGGGGCAAGAGCCACATTGTTGAGGAGACCGGGCGAAAATGAGCGCCTTCAGCCCGAGTCCTACCCAGCGCCGGAGGAAAAAACGCAAAACATTGGCTTAGATGTGAATCCTTCAGTGGTCGTTGTTTGGCCCCCCAAATATATCCCGGTTTCCTCAACTCAAGCTTAGAATTTCAAGATGCCGTTGTGTTTTTTTTTCTCCCCTAAGGATTTTTGTATTACACCCTAGGAATACACCCACTGGGTATTGACCCAGATTTCTTGCAGGCTGGGTGCTTAGAAGGGGATTGGCAGTTGCATTGCTATGCAAAGAATCTGAGGCTGGCTGCGGCTTCTGCGGCGCGGGGCGCAACGGGCGCTGGTTCCTTTGCGCCCTCTGCGGCCAGGCGCTGGGACAACTTAGAGACCAATTGATCCAACGACCTCACCGAGCAGCCGGCAAAATGGTCAGGTTTTTCGTTGGTGCCTACAGGTATTGTCCAACATTTGCTCGTGGATCCCCATTTGCCCACAGTAGGTAGCCAAGCTTGTTTGTCAATGTTTGAAAAATGCTATTCAGGTAAACCTAAGCAAGCTGGGTGTGAAAAGTGGGATGACAACTGGGTGAGAAGTGGATTTTGCCCATCAGTAGGGCCGTAGGGTGTCCGCACAGTTTTCTCATGGGAAGCCAAGGGAAGATCCACCGCCCGGCGGGGTCCCTTGAGTCTTGTGGAAATCGGTTCGGATTTCGCGTCTGGGACGCGGCCAGGGCTACTGCAGCCCCGCGCACCAGGCGGCGGCGCTGCCGGAGCACCGCAGGCTCAAGCCGAAATTTGATTTGTTGCGCGCGTCGCAGGGCAGGCCAGGGAAGATTTCTGGAAAAGCTTCCCTGCCTCCAATCATTTGAGTTGAGGGCGGTTTGGGAGGACGACTTTTTGCCTTGGGGGGAAGACCCTGTCCAAGTACCTATGATTGTTGGAAAGAGGGTAAATGGCTGGCGACCTACTGCGGTGGCCACTGTCAGGCATGCGTTTGGCTGCCTATTTTGTTCAGTGGTTGAATGAGCTCGGCCACCATGACGAAGGTCCTTCAATTTCAGGCTTTTGGAATCACCGTAGAGTGTGCAGATTCTTTGGGTGTCGCTTTTCAGCGTGACCTTTTAAACCTTGGGCTTACAAGGCTAAGGTGTGCAAGGGGAACCAAGCGACAATCGGGTTGCAGGTTGCGTGTGTCCATGCTAAGCCCGTCCTTCGATCAAAGTAGAGTTCCTCTTTTGGTCAGCAGGAATCTCACGTTTACCAAGTCGGGCCGCTCGTCAGTGTGTCCCCGGAGTACCGAGGACCAAAAGGCGTTTGAACCTTTGGATTCAGGATTGCGTTGCACGAGTCCGCCCGATCCGACTCCCCCCGCAACTGGTCTTCATTATTCACCCACGGGTGGTGGGCCTGGTGGTGGGGCCCGTTTTTGGCAAGAACCGGATCCCAGTCCTGGAAATCACCAGGTCCTGTGGCAAAGCCGCTGCTTCCACCCCGGCGCCACAACAACCCGGAGCTTCTGGCGGCCTTGCGGGCGGCACCTTGGCCCCTGGGCCTGCACTTGGCGCTTGCATGTCTGCGTCAGCGCTAAGCTGTCGGTTCCCTTGGTCACCCTCTTCAACCCCAAAAAGCCCCTTCAAGCCTGCGGCACCCGAAGCCCATCCTGAGCCTAAGAGGACGCCAAGAGTCTAAGAGGCGAGCCAGCGGCTCCTTGAGCGAAAAGAGAGCGAGGCGGAGCCGGCGGAGCTGCAGGCCCGGATCCTGGGCTTCGCTGGCCCGGCGCTGCGGGCCTACCATGGGGCCTCCCAGGCAGCCAGGCGCTTTGCTGGATCGAGCGGGGCCTGGGGAGATGTTTTTTTTTTGGGGGGGGGCGGCCCCTCCCAAAAAGGCAAACTATGAAAACTGTCGCCTTGTTTTGGCCGGACATTTTTTCTGAACTCAGCCAAAGAAGGGTACCATCCCATGGCCCATGGCTGGGCTGAGTCCATGTGAACCGCTTCTGTTTGTGCAGGCAGGCGACGGCGGAGCACGTGGCGCGGCAAAAGGCGCCCTGGTGGCTGCAGCCTGACCGCAGGACTCCGATTCCCTAATCAACATGCAGCCCAAGAAAACTGCGCACCGCGCAGGAGATTCCTCGCTACAAATATTTGATGTTGGATTTTTGAGTTTTTGGGTTTCATGTTATAACACTTGGCCAGTAAGTCATTGCTTGGTTCCACAAAATCTTTTGGCTTCCCGGTAAACCTTCCAAACAGAATTCCCCGATTTGGAAGCAGCCCCGTTGATTAGCATGTCGTTCGATGTCCAAGCTTCGTAGGCCAGGCCCATGCAATGACGGCCAGCGTCGCTTTTGTGTTGGCTTTTCGGGGCTTGTTCAACTCCTTTCCGACTGCATACGACCATGGGTCAGACAAAATCACACATGAAACATGTTTTGCTTATAGGTGCCCCACCCTTTGTTGCTGATATACTTGTATTTGCGACCGACCTATCAAATCGGGTTTGCAGTGTTGATTAATCAAGCAACGTTATCAAACAATGTGACAAACAACTCAGCAACGCAGCGGTTTCGGAGCTCTGAAGGCTGACGTGGGGGCAACCTCTTTGATCATTCGGTGTGGTAGGCGCACTCTTACATGGTCACCCTGCGTCTTTGGGGGCACTGGTTCCCACTTTGCTTCCCTGGTTGGTCGCTCAGTTGCGGTTGCTAGGTTGTGTGCAATTTGTCCAGCATTGCTTTGCGGCGATGGCTTTCGCAGTTGCCGGCTTAGGCTCGACTCCCGCGGTGATGCAGCGCTGGCGCAGGCACTCCGGATGGGATGATTTTGCCGAAAGTTTCGTCCAAAGTGAAGGATTCCGTGGGCATCCTCCAATCAAAATCCATCAGGGGCTAATTGATGCCGGCCGCCTTTTAATAACTACGTGCCCCTGCGGTTCTCTGTAACCAACTCCTATTTAACTGCTGCTATAGGATACAAACCGTTCCTTTGCAACTAGGTCTTCTTCAGGGTGGTTTTGTGACTTGGCACGAGAAGTGTTCTGCATTCTTGCTGTCACGGGACAGGATGCGGAGGAGGCGTTCCTTGGAACATCCTGGAAGAATGTTCTCTTGCAAGGACGGGGGTCGCCTGAACTGGGAAATCACCAAGAGCTGCCGTCTTTCGGAGAGAGAATGGTATCGGAATGAGGCGCCGCTCCCTTTTTCTACAAATCGAACTCCATGTCTCCTCAACTTGCAAAATGGAGGTTCTTGTATCCAACTAGTTATCCAACCAGATATCCCCATGATGGGCTTCCCTGCATGCTGGTTCTCAGTAGTGAGTCACTAGGGGTTTTGGGAATGAACCTAGGTATCACTACCAAGGAAACCACAAGGCATCGATAGCATTCCCTCCCGCAACATCATAGACGTCCTTTTTAGGCTAGCTTGGTTAAACATCACAGGGACGTCTTGTTTTCAAAAGGCCACCTACGCTCAACATGTCTCCTACTTTGGGTCACTGGGCATTCAGACGCGTCAGGTGCTGCAGTACTTGGCCGCCCCGGCGCTGCTGTACAGCGCTTGCGCCTGCAGCGCCTGGCGTCGGAAAGCCTCTAGCCGGGAGGCGGGGCGGGAAGATCGGGAAGCACATTGAGATTCCCAGCCCCCCCCAACCCACAACCAAGGAATGGTTGTTAGAACTTCTGAGGAGGGTTCCCTAATGACTAGCCCCAACTAAACAGGGCCGTCTAAAGGACACATCATGACACAATATGACACATCTCATTATCTCGTTGTGAGACTTAGCTGACCTTACCTTTTTGCCCTGGTTGTCCCATCATGTCCCTTCCAAGCAGGCTTCTAAGTCTGGCCCAGATGTGGGCCAAGGAAAAGGGGGAAAAGGTACCAGCTGATTTGGAGGATCCCATAAAGCAAGTTGGTTTTGGAGGCATCCTTTTCGGAACCCTGTTGAAGTGAACACTTCAAGGGATCTATTCGTCAATCTCGACTGATTCGTCGGGTCAAAGCCAAGGGCTGAGAGAATTAGAATGTGGTCGTGGGGAACTGGTGATGTGAGCATTTGGCTCATGACAGTACCGAAAGCCGAACACTGGCCCAGGTGAATTGAAGATTTTAAGGGGTTCCTTTGCTGATCATTTCAGCCGGGCTGCCTGCCAGGGGATTTCAGAGGGTTTCGGCCCTGAGTCCGAACTCGTGTTTCCAGGGGTCCCACATGATTTGGGCCCTTGCAGCCTTAAAGTGAACATTTTATTTGGGGGGGGGTGTTCTCAAAATGAGTCTCGACGATTCCCTCTTTTGTCTTCTTCTGCCGGGTTAAGAAAGGAAATGGTCATGACTGGCATATATGTTTTTTGCAAGTGAAAAAGCATGTACGGAACAGTCCTTGATCCTCCATGCGTTTGCCGGATATGTCGTTCAGTGGCACCCAATCTCCCATACCAACTTAGAGGTGGCCAGCCAACCCAAAAGACAAGGTTCCACTTCTTTTTCTACCAGGCTCACTGAACAACTGGAATTGACTGAGAAGCGATTCTTTAAACCAATATGAAATGGGGACTCTCAACAAAAAAGCGCACAGACACAGTCATATGAGGTTCGGTCAATTTTAGCAGTAGACTGGTCCATTTGGGTGTGACACGCGGACTCGCTAAATGTCCCATGTCCTGGCAACACATTCCTGATCTCGACTATGGGCCATGCGGGCTGAGTTCTTGATGGAGCCTTACAGGTGGTTCCCCTTTTCCCTCTTACCCCAAATCGGAGGATCGCTTCCAACTCTGAAATGCACCAAAGTCAAACTGGATCCCCTTTTTGTCAAACTGGATTGCTCCATGTCTATCATATGTGGGTCGCTTTTTTGCCGAAGCCTCTGTCCCTTCTACCCCAAAAAAGACGGGCTCTGCCAACGCCAACTCGTCACTCGTCGGAGAGGCCTGGGCCTCGCTGCGCTTGTCCTTCGGCTGGGGCCCGGACCTGGAGATGCAGCGCCTGCTGCGGTTCCTAAGGCGCCTTGCGGAGCGGCTCCAGGTGGATCAGCTCCCGGAGGCGAAGGAGGCGAGGAGGTGTTAGGCTTTTTCAAGGAGATCGCTGAAAAGAATATGTTTTATGCTTGTTTCTTCTTTGGGAACAGGCTTATTTGTCGCTCTTTTTTTTAGTTTTCTGGGGGATCACCACAGCACATATTCTTCATTTGGCCCATTTTGAGTCAAGGCCCCCAAAAGCGCTTGCCTTTCATGGCCCGTGAGGCAGGCGTCCGCAGGGTTTCTTTGGATTTTGGGCTCGGGTTCGATGGGCTGGGTTCCCCCTCTCATCAAAAATCAAAAAGACTTCTTCCCCGATGGAAAAGGAGTAGAAAGCGCGATGCAAAATAAACAGGGTGTTCTGGAACTAGCAGCTCATATTTCCCCAGGTGCAGCCATTGTTCAATCTTACGTTACAAATATATGTATATATCCATTTATATTTCTCCCTATATATATATGGTCACCCCCCCCCCAGGGCCTACCTTTGCCCTCTTCTAGTTGAAGGTGTCAACTCTACTCTGTGTGCCGCTTTCTTGCAGATGCCTGAAAACACTGTAAAATACAGTGTTTTTGTTGTTGTTTTACCTTCTATGTGACAGCAAATGTCTGATTATTTGAGGCTTGAAAGGCAGCAAAGTGAAAACGGATTCCGTTTTCAGATTCGAGCCTGGCTTTGATTGAATCACTGGTTCTTACAGTGGTTTTGAGTACACCAGGGAAAAGCATTGAAAAAATGATGTTTTTGGCAGCTTTGAGCTCTGCAACCTGCACAGACCCAAAAGCACAAAATCTCCTGAAAATGACAGCTCTGAGACCTGCACATGCCAATCTCATCTCCAGACCAAGTTTGGGAGTCTGGGGATATGTGCCCTTTATTTGTTTAGCCACATTTAAGCTAAATCATATTTGGGAATGAGTTACTATTAAAATTTGATTGCAAAGGCCAAGTGATTTCTTTCCAGAATAAGCTATATTCCAATTCAAGCTGTATTTGGGGATGGATTCTTGATTAAATTATTATGTTCAAAAGCGAATTGAATTCTGTCTGCATTAAAGTATATTTGGATTCTACTGCAATCATATTTTCCTTATTTGGAAAGGTATTCCTGTTCAAATTCTGATCTACTATAGACATTATGGTGAATTATGAATGGTGGTGAACTATGTGCTTACTAAATTCTATTCAATATGCAAATTCAATTCGGATCAAAATCGCATTTGGAAAAGCATGTGTACTTGGATATGTTGGACTCCAGGCTCCAAATTATGAGGCTTGGAGAATCCAACATTAGACATCTCAAGGATTCTGATCTCCAGATTCTAGGTTTCAGGTGTTTCAAATTGGACATTTCAAGGGATTAGAGATCCAACAAAATGCTGTAAAACACAGTGTTTTGCAGCAGTTGCTCAGATTGTGGTCCCTTGGGCCGAAGATTGTTTTCCCCAAACAACAGTTTTCCCTTCAACATTCAAATTCAATTTGCAGTACATTTGGAAAGGAATCTATATTTAAAAATGTTGGAGGACTCCCAGCTCCAAAATATCAGGCTTGGAGAATCCAACACTAGACATCTCGAGGATTCTGATCTCCAGATTCTAGGTTTCAGGTGCTTCACCATGCACATTTCAAGGGATTGCAGGTCCAACAAAAAACTGTAAAACAAAGTGTTTTGAAGAAATTGCTCAGATTGTGTTCCCTTGGGCCGAAGATTGTTCATTTCCCAAACAACATTTTGCCCCCTTCAACATTCCAATTCAATTCGTGTTGGAGTACTCCAGGCTCAAATTATGATGGAGAATCATTGTTGGAGTACTCCAGAGCTCCAAATTATGAGGCTTGGAGAATCCAACATTTTCAAGGATTGATCTCCAGATTCTAGGTTTCAGGTGTTTCAAATTGGACATTTGAAGGGATTAGAGATCCAACAAAATGCTGTAAAACACAGTGTTTTGCAGCAGTTGCTCAGATTGTGTTCCCTTGGACCGAATGGACAGCCTTTGATATAACAGTGCAGCAGTGATGATCAACCTTTTAGGACCACATGCCCAAACCACATCAAACAAGGCCTCAAATGAGTGTCCTTTTTTTCCCAAACAACAGTCTCCACTTGCTACGCAATAAGCCTACAGAAGGTTTATAAACTTTCAGAAAAGTTTATAAACCTTATTGAGTGTTTGACGAGTTTCCCGCATCAAGGCAACAACACCCTACGAAGTGTTCATGGTATCGTTGGAAGGAGGGGGGGGGTGGTTGGTTGGAAGTCTTAGCAGTGAGGTGTGACTCAGCCAACTTTGTAAAGACTTCTCAGTACCCCCCCCCTGCCCTTGTTGCAAGGAAACCGTCAAACCCTTGACATGGTTTATAAACTGTCTTGAAAGTTTATAAACTCTTTGCTGTTGTTACTCAACATGACTTGTCACCCACAAAAAATATGCAGCAACAGCACACTTCTTGCGTATATATGCTCACACCCCCTGCCTTTAAAAAATAAGAGGGTTTTGCACATTTTGAAGTGGAAAGGTAGGCCCTGGGGGGGGTGAGCATATATATATATATACACTTAAGCGCGTGTGGAAAACACAAACAGGTGCCAACGGGTGACGGAGGAGTTTGGGGGCTCGTCCACGTCCAATCCAGAAATCGCCTTGTCCCATTCATCCAAACAAAGAATATGGGCACATATCCATGTTTAAGAGGGGGGTGCCATGTAGCAACATCCAGGGCACATGGTTGAACCCGAAAACTTTGGCACTCACAGCGATCCGGTGCCAGGCGAATGCAACTGGAGGCTATCCCAAGCCAGCGAGCCCAAAGCCTGGCGCCTCGCCATCGGCTGTTGCGGATTTGCGTTTTGCTTCGCCGAGTGCTCTATGGAAACCGCCAGGTCCTGTTGACACAACAGAGGTCTGGCTGAAAGCGGCTCGCACTGGCATATGGCCTCCCCGAATGGCAAGCGTACAGAATCGGCGGCGGCAAGGATGGTCCTTCAGCCCAGCCACCAGGACATTTCTATCCAAGTCATTGCATCAATATATAGCCTCCAGAAAAACGGATGGAGTGCCTCCATGCCTGAGAAGACCTACAGATCAGCCGGTAATCTGGGGCTCTCATTGGGGTAGTTCATGGGGTTGCCTCTGCCTGCCCCCCCCCCCCCCCCAGCGTGCCCAGTGTGAGGGGCTGCGTTGTTGGGGGGTCCAGGTTGATTGATTTGTGGCCCCGTGGCCCCCATAGAGTCAACAGACCCTCCTTGCACTTCATTTGCCCGCGCGGGCGCTGGCAACGATGAAGGTTGAGTTGGAGATTCCCCCGACCCTTACTATCGCTTCTCTCTGACCCCGGCCTTTGCGCACGTTCGCACCATTCCCACCACCAAGCGAAAAGCCTTGTTGAGGATTTGTAACCTTGCTCCTCGCATCTCCATCCATTTGTTTCCTTGCTCTATCGCAAAGTTTGCTGGTGCAATCAACACCTGGTTGTTTGAACAACGGTGATTTAAACATGTTGAAGCAAGCGGTCCCACCGCCTTCCCCTTTAAGGGGGCCCCTGGTACCCTCCCAGTGGAACAGGCCGGTTCCAGGCTGGCAATCCACATTAAACCCTTGATTGAATGCAGTTTTGCAGGCCCCAAAAGAAAGTGGCTGGTGCTCGGTACGGAATGACCCAGTTTGTAGGGAATGAACCCTTTCGGGATTCCCTTAAAGCCGCCCATGGCTTTAAAATCGGGGTCATTCCATTTCCCACTCCCTGCCTAACAAGCCAGAAATTCAGCTGACATCCCGCAGCCCAGGCTCCCAGCTGCACCTCCGGCGCCATCGCTCCGTCTGGCTCCTGCAGCGGGCGCCGAGTGACGGATCCGCCGCCGCCGCGTTGGACGCGCGCCGGGAGGCGCTGCAGCAGCGCCTGGAGAAGGAGGAGCTGAGGGGCAAGGTGGTGCTGGAGCTGGACGCAGGCGAACTGCGGGTGAAATGGATGAAATGGCCACGTGGCGTTGTGTGTTTTGCTTTCTTTCTGGGAAGGACTCGGGGAGAAGGGATAGTTGGTGTAACTTGGCTGGATTGTTTTTCCAGCAGGTGAGTAACATGGATGGATGATTTGCAATTTCTGGATGTTTTAAAGTGAACCTTGTGAAGGGATCTCAACATCTTGTGGTCCCGGTGGTTTCGCTTTAAACCGCGATTTGGCTCGCCTTCAATGGACCTGCTTGTCAGGAAGGAGGGTCAGATCCTGTGATGCGGACACAACAAACACATGTGGTTTAGTTGTTGTTTTCCCCCTGTCAATCGCCATGAACGCACCCTCAACAACAACAAAGCCTTAGATTTACTAGGTCCCAAGTAAATGAACTGGTCAGCAAAAGGCCTCAGGAGATTCCCCCCCACTTTTGGGGCCCATGTCCTCAGAACCCTGGCAGGTGCGGGGTTGCTGGGCCTCAGCCTGGCGCCTTACGTGAAATCCATGACCCTCACCAGCCCGGATGAGCTCAGCTGCCGCCTCATACGGCTCAACGCCTCCCTGCAGTCGACTGGAAGGAGCCAGCGGTGGCCAACCCCCAGATGGTTGTTTCCATCCGGATGATTTGGATCCCCACCCCATTCGTTAAGCGGTTTCCCTTGCAGCCGGATGAGGGTGGCTTTCGTTTGAGGGGATCCCGAAAGGCTTCACTCCCCAATTTCCTGGGTGTTTCAAGACTACGAACCAGCAACGTTGGTGGGATCGACCAAACCCACAATCTCGCTTCTTTGAGGCTCACTTCCTTTGATTCCCCTAAAGGAAGCCAAAGGGGATGCACCCAACACGCTGTGCTGCATGTCATACCATAAGGCTCTGAAGAATAGCGGGGGGCATTCGTTGGCTTCCTGGGTCAGGCCGGGGGTTTTGGATGGGCGTCTTTCAGGACCAAGAGGAACACAGTGCAGGGCGTGGATGGGCCAGCAGCCTGGCAATCGCAGTTCGGGGTTTGGATTGGTAGCCGGTGGTTTGGTGATTTGATCACTGGTTCTTTGTAGAAGGTAGATGATATAGGCTTTCAAAAGCACCAGGAACATCCAAACCACCAATCCAAGACACCGAGTAAAGGGAAGCTAAGTATGGTATGCCTGGTGCCAAAGTAGCCCGAAACCTTGAATCCTCGGCAGGAAACACCAGGCCCACCATGTTTTCAGAGCCATTGTTTCGCAGGTCGGCCGGAGGTCAATGTTTATTGTTTGTGCGTGCGTGTGGGTTGTTGGCTGAGTTCGGTCTTGGCGAATGTTCCTTTTGTAGAGGATTTGAATGGATTTGAGTAGGAAGCAAGGAGTCCGGGAGCTAAGGCAACCGCAGGTGATTCGACGTGATTCACTATTGAGGCTTTTAGAGAAAACATGGGACAAAGGTTGGCTTAGTTTGGAAGGAGACCATGAAGCCTGCCATTTGGAGTTGTTCCCGTTTGACACTTAATCCATGGAGTCATTTTTTTTCTGGCTCCACACTGGGTGGCGTTCATCATGGCCCGCACCTCATCCACAGCATGTTCATGCATGCTTCCACGGTATTTTTTTTGTGGAAGCTCGATCAATGGACATGGACTTTCTTCCATGGGAAGACATGGGTTTGGTTCATCTTGGTTCTCCTTATCCCCACCCTGGCCATTGAGGTGCCCGTCTACGTCTACCCGCTTCCCATCTCAGTGGCTGGGGCTAAGACATTGGCGCGTCAGTGGCACTGGGACCGGGGCATGAAGTCCATCCTGCCCAGTCTTGAACAGAGCGGTGTGTACATCCCGGGGAGGTCAGTCGATACAGTCCTGGAATTGTTGAGATTTTTGCATGGGAAATTCGGCCTGGAGAAACTCCCTGACCTCAAGGACTTCTCTTAATGAAATTGGATGGCGACGTCTGGTTCCATTGTAGCCTAACCACGACATACAGTGGGCCTGAATGAACAGGTGTGTTTTTGGCCCGCGCGAAAAAGATGGCCCTCCATGAAAATGCCTGCAGTTTGGCTGTTGAGTTCCAGAGTAAGGAAGGGGGGTCCCCTACCAATCCAAAAAATATGGTTTTTCTGGTGGCTTTCCTTAAAACCCAAAAGGACCGAGTGACAAGACGTTGATTTTGGCGGTTTTCCGGGGGAGGACAGCGGCAGCGCCATGCGTGCGCTGCAGCCGGCGCTTCTGGCGCCCAGCTTCGACCTGGCGCTCTGCGGGTCCTGCGAGACATCGGAGGCCCTGGAGGCGCATGGGTTTGGCTCGAACTTGGGCCCCGCGAAGGTGAATTGTGCCAAATTGCAGGTGGATGAATCAGAAAAAAAGGCGAGCTTCTGAGCAACCTCTATTTTCCCAAGAGGAAGGCTCCAGGACACAGATCTGGCACTCGGGTACGCCGCAAGATGCTTTGGCAAAAGGGCGAGCTGCCGTCCTTTTGCGGTGATGCCTGAGTTTGTGGCTTAACTTAGGAGCCCACCAGCAGCTACGCCTCTCGCCTCGGTGTTGCAAGGTGTTGGAAATGACGAGCACTTTTCAGACTTTGCAACCCTTCCTGCAGCGTGTTGGAACCAATAGGCGAGCAAAGACAGCCAGCAGCAAACCAAGACATAAACCATCGTTAAGGCCCCGAATCACGATCCCAACCTGCGTTTGCTTCCCATGTCCACCCTATGTTCGCCAAAATGGGTTCTGGCACAGAAATAACCCCCTGACGCATTTGAAGGGGATTCTGCTGACTGCGTCTGGCCAGGCGCTTCTGCAAACTTGCAATGAGCTCATGTCCCCGGGTGCCATGCTCCTTGCCACTTGGATGCGCGGCCTGCTGGTTGGCTAGGTGTCCCTTTTTGTTCCCGAGAGTCCGCCGCTGGCCTTGAAAGAGCGGGGCAAGACAGGGCCAGAGTGGTCAGGGCTACTAGTGGTCATCAGCCTTAGTAGGGTATGGCTCCGAATTGGCCGGAACCCTTTGGGGTCTCTTTCTCGGGATCAGGGCTATAGGCTTGGAGCAAGCAGATAATTGGAGCCTTTGAGCGCCTGGCACTTGGAGAGCTTCAACCCTTCACACGAGCCACAATAAAACTTGAGGTGGGGACAGTCCCAGCCAGAAGCCAGGGGTGTGGATGCTTGGCCTTTTGACTCTTTAGCATGTTTTTGGTATAGATCCTTTGGTAGGTGCTGATCAGGGTTCCCAAAAGATGATCTCCAAAATCACCCATTGTTTTAGTGTTTTTCAACATGGCCAGCATGCATGCTATGAGCAACCCCTTTGATTGTGACACGGGGCCCTGGCCCTCTCAGGTAGGCAGCAGCCACGCGGTGCTCCCGCAGCAGGCGTTCTTTTCTCTTTTTTTTGGGGGGGGGGGTGTGCAGCCGGACTCAGTCAATCCAAACCAAGTTGTACCTTCAAAGAGTTGCCGCCTTCACACCTTGAGATTTGAACCAGAGTGTTTTGGGTTACAAAGCGCGGGGGCGATTGGTTTGGCGACATGTTTCGTGCTGAGGCTAGTTCGTGCTGACAAGGGGGCAGGATCGCGCAAAAGTAGAGAATCACCCAGGATCCTTGTCATCATATGACTTCCCGTAAACAGGCCCCCAAAATGACCCTTATATAGTTTTGAATAATCCCCTCACACGTGTCCTGACTATACTTCCTAGTTCGCCCCCAATGCTTTTCGAAGTCCATAGCAAGGAGAATGCATGCAGCATCTGAAAGTGCGGCTGAACTGTCTTGGCCAATCCTGCAAAACGTGATAAAGAGGTCAAAGGTATTAGAAATACCCGACATCCATTCGATTTCCTCGCTTTGCCGGCACTGGGAAAATTGACGGTCGCGGAGTCCAACTTGGAAGGAATAAGCTGATGGTCGCCAGGCCCGCTTTGCTGTCGTGAGGGAGGAGGCTGGGGGCGTGCTGGCACGTGAGCACTGGCAAGGTGCGTCATCACCGGCAAGTTACCCTCCTGCGGATAAGCCCCTTTTTGGGATTTCCATGATAGTTTACAGGGGAGCAATTTCCCAGCCAAGTAGCAACACTCGACAGTATGAACCACAATCAATACAACCTGGGTGGATGATTGCTAATCCTCCACATGGTTTTGGGTTAGCTATGTTTACACGGGGCTTTGATAATGGTGCATATGTGCGTTGCTCTATACCCATTTGTGTATGTATAAAGATATGCATTTGATTGCGGGGTTGTGGGTCTGGACATTTGCAAGGCCATTGTCTCCGTCGCCAAAGTGGCTGATTTCCCAGCAAATCGTGACGAGTGCGTGGCTCGCCTGGGAGAATATCTAAATGTCTAACTGCAGCTTTTCTTCGCAGGAAAAGGACCCAACTTCCCTCACACTACCCACAATCACCAGTTGTCCTTGTTTTACGTGGCAATGCTCCTCCGCACGATGCCAAATACAATCCGCAAGATGCTCGCCCGACCACCCCTTTGCCGTGTCCAACCCGTTCAAACGGCAGTCTTTTGACAGGTATATGACAGGTGTCCTTAACATTTGGGCCCGACACGGCACTTCCCCTTTGGTTGCAAATAGCAATGCGCTTTGATTGCTTGCTACAACCGGCTCCTTAAATCAAAGTGTAGGGTAGTGTGGTGGACAGCCAAACTATTTCACTGCAGTGAGAATACAAGACACGGACCCCTGCTTGGATGACCCCACGTGGTAAGTGGTCAACAACCGTACTGAGTAGGTTTCTTAAGTAGGGCTTACACTACATACTGTATAAACCAGGGAAGCACTGGCCCTAGCCAGTAAGTCCACTAGTAGGGCTTACCTGGACTTACTGACTGGAGTTGTCCAAGCCCCACCCCCCACATTTACCTGCCTCGCGGCCAGGTGCTACACAGTCCCCTGGAGGGAATCTTCCGCTTGATGCACCTCCGGAAAGCTCGCTGACAACTGGCAGCCCGAAGAGGGCTTCCTCCCCAAACAAGGCGACAACCCCAATCCCAATAGATCCCAATCAGTCTTCTGGGTGCAGAGCAGCCCAGCCCTATCCGCACCGAGTCACAACGACCATTGTAACCAGCAGGAACACGACTGACCACGTGGATCACTTGCCCGGTGGACTGGGTGATTTCAAGAGCAACTTTAGCAGCAAGCTTCGGAGGTTCCTTTCAGGCACCCAGAAGCGTAGGACGTAGGATGCCGGGCCGGGACTGATGGACAAAGTGTATTTGGCGGTGGGTAAGAAGACGGCACCGTCTCCCCCAAGATTCGTCTATATATATATATATGCACACACAAAGGGCATCCCCAGAGAGATTCTTCCAAACCTGATGTTGTGTTTGGCATGTCCATCGGCTGGAACGGTTCGTAGGATATGGATCTGGGAAGTGTCAGGAGCATGTCTCTTAGGGTTGTGCCGCCTGCTACCATGGAACCCGGCACAAGACCCCTTGGGTTGAGAATGTTCTGCTACGGGCTTCAGCCAGGCCCCATGTTGATACAGGCGCCTGACCATTTCCCGGGCGTTTGAATTGCCGATTCTAGCTGCCCAGCTTGTAAGCCTTGGGCCATAGTTTGAAGAGAGGCATTTGCCAAGCTCAGTCGTCAGAGCCTGCGGCAGAAAAGCGCACGCTCTCCGTGGAGATGGCAGTAAGGGGTGCTGCCGAGATAGCGGGTGTGGTTATTGTATCATCACTTGATGGGCGCTTCCACATGTGAATGCTAGAGCTGTGGCGCAATGGCAGCGCGCTGCCCTTCAACTAGGGGCGGTGGAGGTTGGACAAATCCTCCCAGCTCTATTCTAATGACAATGTTCAAAGTTCGTTGATACGCGGCTTTTGCATCAACGTCGAACACAAACCAACAAAAGTTTCCCATTTGCTGCTGTTCCGGACGCATGCTTTGCCGTCTGCTTGTATTGCCATTTTAACGTTCCTGGCTCACACGCAGCTAGCAACAAGGCAGTGTTGGCAAGTCTGGCAAACAATGCCATCTTCCGGTCTGTCCTCTCTTTCCAAAATTAGCACTTATATAAACTTGGCGGTTCCCAGTCGTCCCCTTAGGTCGCTAGCTGTTTCAAGTTTCGGGGGGGTTCCCTCAACCCAACGAAGCTACACTTTTAGCAGGGGATCTGAGGACAGCCCAGTAAAATTTTGTTATGATGCAAATGTTTGGGAGTCAAAGTCGTAGAGGTAGAACCTGGGCCAAAAAGGTTCAACTCACCCCCATCTTTGTAAACCAGGCCCGCCCCATTGGACACGCGCCATCTTTCGCGGCAATTTGCACTCCGGGCTCGCACTGTGCGCTGGACAGAGGCCAGGTGGGTAGGGAGGGGCAGGGTGGACGATGGTAGGCATCCAGGGTCAGTGGGGTCTGCTTTGCACATTTTCCAACTTCAGGATACTTCAGGGAAGTTTGTCCGGGTCTTTGGCTCTCTGGGTGCCCTGGAGAAACGCACTGACACTTGCCGTGCAACCAACTCCTTTCGCGTTCTTAGTTCGCGAAATCACAGTCGCTAGGGCATCCTTGCCCCCAGGACGTTGGATATTTGATATTCGGGGTCCATATGTGTGTCTCCATGTGCTTTTTAAGGGAGCGGGCCCTACAACTACAAACGTGTGTGTTTTTGTTGCGGCGGCCTGGCTCCAGAAACGGGTTTGGGGATGAGTGCAATCAGGAGTTTGCAAGGGAGAGGTGGTTGGTGTTTGCCTCTTGCTGGCAGAGAGGTTGACTTGTGGTAATGCCATTTTGACAATCTTGAGTTTCTTGAATTCAACGATTCTCTGTGTGCAAGTTGTCCAGGCAACGGCATGTTGCATCCAGTCTCCCTTCAACCATTGCATCCACCCCATTAAGTCACCGCGAGCAGGCAATCTGCGATTCAGCAGGGAAGTCCGAGCACCCCTCGATCGCCAATGCAAAGTTGCACCAGCAAGCTTTGGCCAGAAGGTGTTTCAGAATGATGCGTTCAATCGAATGCCAGCGACTCCTCAGCACCACTACGTACCTTCTGGCTGACTAAGTGGACCCGAGTCATTGTCCAGTCTGTTCGGTCATGTCCAATGAGTTCCACAGGATGGTGTTCCACCTCCCGGCCAAAACAGCAAGGGGTTCGTTTGACAAACATGTGCTATCCCCGCTGCTTCAATCCAGAAAACATGAAATGGGATCAGTTCTCGGATTGATTTATCACCTTAGCGGATTGTTTTATAAGTGGTGTTCCCCCAACAAGGCCAGGGAATCCTGGCCAAGCGAACTTGTGACGGCTCCGCGACATGCGTTTGAGGTCCCCTTCCCCAGCTTTGTCAGTGGCAACCTTGTTCCCTGGGCTGGCAACCGAGCTACCTTCCGAAGGCACCTGGATACCTCAACTCGCCGAGCCAAGTGGCCTGCCAGATGGATCAGGTTCCGCTAAAGACAAATTCAGGTGCCATAGCGGGAGGCAGGGTAGCCTTGTAGTTCTCCCCTTTTTTTCGGTGACTAGTCAACCTCCCAGAAGGTTAACCTTTCATATCCAGGTTTTTTGGGCAGGTGAGTGCGAATTGGGCGAGGGAAAGTGCGACAGGCAACTCCATTCATGGTGATTGGGTGGCAAGAAATTCTGCTTGGCCTGGGAGGTGACGCCAGTGACTGCACGATGCATACTCACGCGTGCGTGAACAACCCAAACCTGGGTGCCCCTGTGTTCGCTGGAAAGGGTCTGAGGTCATGGTCGAAGCTTCTCACGGAGGAACAGGAACGTGTCTGCCGTGCTTGCTTGCTTTTGTCGGCCCAAGCTTGGCTGGGTTTCTTGCACCACACGCCGACGAAGCATGACCACCCCCTGTGATCAGCACCGCAAGCAAAAGCCAAGCCCTGGTGGATGGCGTTGAATGCGTCAGATGTTCCTTGAGAGCCGTTTAATTCTGAGCCTCATAGGAGCTTTTGCCTAAGGTTTCAGGCAGCCCTGAGGCGGGCTGAAGTGCAAACAACTTGCCGGAATTCCCGACTAATTCTCGACTTTTCGAACACACGGTTCCCGTTTATTGGTACGAACAAGTATACGCTTTCACCCTTAAGCCTCAACAACATCAGCAGCTCACGCTTTTGGAACTTGTGAGTTTTCCACTTCCCGCAGCTTCGTTTCCGCCGCTCACCATGGGATGAGCGAGGCGTCTGCAGCGGTCGAGCCGACCGCCCGGCCCTTCGGGAGCGTCGCGCGGGCGGTGCTGCTGGCGGCGGTGTTCTCAGCCGGCTTCGCATGCGGTGCCTCGGCCGAAAACTCGCTTCGTCGGTTATTGGTGTTAGTGGCCTGAACACTTGTTTTTTTGGGAACCATCAGAGAAGTAAGCCAAAGGCTAGGAGCTTTATGGCCACTGGAAGTGAGAAAGCGTCGGATCCAGACGGGGTGAAATCTGGAAGAAACACTCCATAGCCCAGGCTTCTCCGCTGCCAGCCCCAAGCTGAGCACGCCGGCGTCTTCCCTGCTGCTGCCCTTGTCTTGCAACTGCCCAGGGGCACCAGGCGTGGTTGGGGTGGGTTCCTTTTCAAAAAAGATGGGTGTAGGGTTGATCCTGGCTTAAACACGTTGAAACAAGAGTTGTTCAATCAACATCCAGTTGGTATCTCTCTCAAGGAGACCAGTTGCTGGTTGTCCAAAAATATTGTTGCCCAACCCCACCAGCAGGCCCCACACCAGCTGCAATCACGGAGCCTTGCTCGGCACCGCCCGCATCGCCGGCAGCGCCCACATCACCCACTTCAACACCCCATCCGTCCACATCCACATCACCAACCCCGACATTTCTGGCCACCAGCACCGCACAGGGTGCAGAACTTTGCTGAAATGGTGAACTTCAATCCTTTCGGGACCTTTTTGTATGCCCCTTCTTTTTTGACAACAAGGGGCCAGCGGCAAACTTTGGCCAGTTGCTCTCTTCATTTTTTGTTTTCTGGAGCCCCAACAGAAAACTCATTCGCTGAGGAATCTCCTGTCGATTCCTCACCATTTTGGGGGTTTAGTTGCTGGTTCCACCCCCCTTGCCGGGTTTTTCAGCTTGCAACTCAGGAGCTTTCCAGCCCCATGCTGGTGAAGGTCTTCGCTGGCGGCAACGGGCGGCTGGGCAACAACATCGGCCAGCTGCTTCATGGCCTCGCCTTCGCGGTCCGCAGTCACGCCGACAAGGTGCAGCTCGTGGCATCCGGTGGGCAGCTGCCGCAGATCTTTCAGTTCAAGACGCTCGGATTGGCCGAAGAAACCGGGGTTTCTGGTGATTTTGAAGGGTACCCTTTTAGGTTGGCTGGAAGGGAAGTCGAAAGGAAACCCACCAAGGGGGTCCCTCCTGTTTGACACAGACCCACATGCCTGATTCTTTTTCCCTTGGAGTGCTCCAGGCCGTTTAGTGGTGTTCCACCACACCCTCAGGAACCTGACCGTAGACCTGCCGGACGCCGGCAGCGAGCGCGGCAAGATACCCAAGGAGTGCACTGACACGGCCAATGGTGCCAGAATGAAGAAGGAGCCGGGGGAGAATGTTCAGATGCCCAGTCCAAAGCCGACCTTGAAGCCTTTCGGTTGGTGCAAGAGAAAGTGACCAAGCAGTCATGGCTGGAAAGGTGGCAACCATTTGCCCGGCGTGTCGCCAGAGTCGGTTCGGGTACCATCTGGGTTAAGCATAGCCCAGGCCTTGGGGTGAAGCATAGCCCAGACATGCAGCTCGGGCTACCCACCTGCACTTGAACATGCGCTGCTCGTTCTTGAAGAAAACGGCCAATTTGGATCTGAATGATAAGCATTCGGTCAGGCTGAAGGCACTGTCAGCATCTGTCAGTGCATTGAGGAGCAGTCATCGCAATGAGCGCAACGTCAGCACTTCTCAGTGGAATGAGAAGCACTCGGTCAGTTTTGTAGTGAGCGCTCCGCACGCAGCTGTCAGCGCTTCTCAGCCGACCTGAAAGAGTTAATTTGTCGCTTTAACCATCCCAGCAACTCAAGAAGAAAACGAAGCTCTAATGAGCGAGGCTGCTGAAGCATCATGCTGCAAACCTGAACTCCACTGGGATTTCATGCGGGTGTCAAATTTGCCCATGGCCACTGGAGGTTGGGCTCAGAGCATATGTCACTGCCGGGCACCAACACAAGAAACATCCACAATTGGCCACGCCTGGTGTGGCCAAAAGGGGCACGGACCCTTTTGGATGGCGTCTTGCTGTGGTGCAGGTGTTTCTTGTGTTGGGGTAACTCATTTAAGGTTTGTTTTAAGGGCAGCCAGGGGCCAGAGGAAAACCACCCATGGTCGGGCTTCCCTGTTGGAGAAAAACCATCTTGTATAATCAATACAGGAACCATCAGGAACCCATGCACAATTACTACATCCACAGTTGATTAACACCGGGGAGTTCCATTTCATTTGGGGCGCTACCGGGCCCTAAAGCACAGGAGCCGAATACTTACGCCAGCGGGTTTTGGACCACCCGGTGCTTGGGGGTGCCTGCGAAGGAGTATCACAACTTGGCCCCTTGGCCGAAGCCCGCCACGCGTTTCCCAGAACCCTCTCGAAGATGGCGATCCACTTCCCCCAAACCGCATGTCCGGGCCACGGCAAACAGAGAGAGGGCTCAATGAATATCCCACTAGAAGTCATCAAAACCTTCACGTGGCCTTCGCACCCCGAATCGTGCTTTTCATGTTGGAGGCAACCCTTTTGTTGGGTTTCCCTCTGAAGGGGTAAACCTGTTGTGCTCGGCAAGTCTCGCCCAACCCTGCTGGCAGTGAGGCTTTGCAGTATATTTGGCCACTTCTCAAGCAAGAGGTGCAGAGCTGCTTGCAGCAAGATGAGCCTAGCAAGCGCCTGGTGGTACATTTGCGGGGGCAGGACCATGCGAGAAGCAGCACACATTGTTTGACGTCATGCGAGGTTCAGTCAAAAACCCAGGTAGATGAATGATGAAGGGTAGTAAGGGACTCTCCGCCGCCGTCGGTGCGGCCGCCCTTTGCGTTCTTTACATAATTTCGGGTAGGCCAATTCAATGCCAGATTTGCCCATGACTCATGTTCTGTTGGTTCAAACAACCTCAGTTGAAAGCTTGCAGCTTTGGTTCGAATCAGCCGCGCGTGATTGTTCAATTTGCCAAAAAGGACTTAACACCAGGACGGGTAGTAGGGTTGTTGTTCTTTTCTTTCCTGCCTGGCCGCCTATGCGAGACCTTTCTTTATGCGAGCTCGCAGGATTTATGGAACATGAACGAGTTTGAGCAGACGCCCAAGGGGCCGATCAAGATGGAGGCCGGTGCGCACCATTGGCTTTGGGCCAACCCTCCGTGTACCATGCAGCCCGGCGATCCTGGGGCTGCCAGCTCTGGCTTCGCTCACGCTGGAGGGTCTCAAAATGTCTTTTGATTAAAAGCCATCATTTTCGTGCGCGCGCTCTGGCCAAGGTCCCCAGAAGCAAACCTTTTACTCCGTGTTCCTTTGGGCAAGCAGCACTGCAAAATGGCAACCTCACAAACAAACTCCAGCGTATATATGTGCTGTGCGTTGTGAACAACATTCACTGGATGTGTTAATGAATTTGCCCTGATGAGGTTATGTTGCGTTTGTCTTTTGCTTGTTCCGCCACTCGCCAAAGGTTGAACTGGCAAGGCAAGGATCAGGCACGGAGGCGCATCAGTTCGGTTGGTGAGCCTTAGGGCTCCTCTTGGCTTGATTGGGCATAAGTGGAAATCCAGAGTGCCTGTGTGCCTGCATTGCTTCCCAGACCAACTGGAAGCCAGGCAATCCCCCCCCACCACAGCAGTTGGTTGCTCTTGCGTTCGTTCAACTTGTGACCGAGAACACGCACGGAGCCTATAAACGGTGTTTATTTTGTCGAACTCCTGTGCATGTTTCCGACTTTGACCTAACCCATCCTTGGCCCCATGTTTGTACCAGGTTTTTGTTGGACCTCGCGGATCGCGAGTCGCACCTTCCCGCCATACAGATCCCGTACGTTGCGATTCTGATCATGTCCACTTCTCCACGCTCTTTTCTTTCCCCGCTCTTCAGCCAAGGTACGAGAAGATCATCCGGGAGGAAAACTTCCAGGAGGTCCTGGTGGTCACCTCACCCGACATGCGCCACGCCTGCGTGGCCTGGTTCCAGAATTTGAACGCCTCTCTGGACGTCAAAGTTACGGTCCAGGCGGAGCGAAGGGACGCAGGGACGGCGGCCTTTTGCGTTGCGCGGCGGCTGCGTTTAAGCATCAGCAGGGCGCGTTTCGGGGTGGAGGGAAGCGAACATGACACCATAGGCACATAGGGCTTCTCGGAATACATGAACAACAAATCGACATATACGTTTACACATTATACACATGATAGTCGTGCATTGTCAACCCGCCTTCATTTGTAGAGGCACCTCCTTTGTGGCAAGGATCCATACTATTTGCAGGGGCGTGGATCCCTGTATAAAATTCCCATCTGGTGTTCCCACAACCTGATCTTTGTGCTGAAATACCCCTCCCCCCCAAAAGGAAACAAGTGTGGTTTCCCTGTGGTTTTCCTTTAGCATGAGCCCCAAAAACGGGTATACCCTCCAAAGAGAACATCCCATGGCGCCCGGGTTGACCCAACCCCCCGGTCGCATGGCCGCCCTTGAGGCCAAGTCCCTGGCAGAGGATTTCTGTACCCTGGCGCAGGCCTTCTCCGGCTGATCTCGACACCCGGGGTGTTCCACGTGCGTTTTGGAGCTTCCCTTTCCGTCGGTGGAAAGGGACGCCAAGAAAGCAAACCATTTACCCCCCACCCACCCACCCTTTGACACAGGTGGTCAAAAGCCATTCCACCGGTGGAAAGGGAAGAAGCCAAGAATGCAAAGCCATTTCGGGGGTTTGGGTTCTGGGTCTTGAAAAGATAGCCTGGATAGACAAAACTGTCAACAGGCGGTTTTGCACGCGAGTTCGCAGGGCGTCCATCCGCAGAACGGTTGGGCCAGTCAACAAACCATCTTTGACATATTTGGAGGATTCCCTTGTAAAGCAGATGGTTTTTGGATTCTACCTTCTTAAGGGGTACCCTGTTCTGTGACAAGTTCTGCGGTTGCTGCGTGTGAGCCCATTTCAGCATTGCATTTGTTTAAAAATTCATTCGAATGCCCAGCTCTTCAGCACCCATTCTCCATATGAACAAGAAACACGTTCCTTGCAGGGAATGAGAAATGGAATGACCCCCATAAACCATCCCTTCTGGTTTTCTTTCAGGGGACCCCCTGGGTCCATTTCCCCATTCCCTCCCTATCGCGCCGATCACAAGTGCTTCTGCCTGGGTCGCTCGTACGAAGGCCAAGCACCTGGTCCTCTCCTTCTCCACGCTGTCCAACGCGGCGGCGGCGTTGAGCAAACGCCTGGAGAAGGTCTGGGCGCCCAGGGGGCATAGCCACCAGTGGAAACCTGGTGCACCAATGTGGAAGCCAGTGGACGCCAGTGGCAACCTGATATCTTCAATAGCCGCAAAGTCCAATGGACTTGGATACCGGGCTGCCCAGGGAGGGTAAGTTAGTTTCTACTTTACCCAAAGGGAAGCCAAAAGGGTTTCTCCCGCACCCCCGCCATTCAGCACCCAAAGGTCTATGTGCGGCAGTTCGCCCACAACTCCCTGCTGAACTGCCAGGTGCGACTCAAAGCTCACCTTGGGACATGCGCCCTTTCTCCCTTGTGATTTTCTGCCAGTTGACATAATTTGCTGTTGCTCAGTAGGGAATGAGGGAATGAACCTGGGGATTCCCTGAAAGGAAACCATAGGGGATGGTTCAGAGGGGTCATTCCCTGCTGAGCACCAGCAAGCATAGTCGGCCTCAAAAATGGCTACTTGTTGTTTCCGAAACAGTCACGGGACACCTCGTTGCAGGCTTTATTTGATTTATTACTTTTAAGAGGGCCCACGGGTTGAAGGCGACACATGTAGCAACTTGCAGGTGTGGCCCGGGGTTTCAGTGGTGCAGTACGCCATGCCGATTACGGAGCAGCACCATGAACCCTACAACAACACCTACGCGGGCGTGATCGAATGGTTCACCACCTACAACATGAGCAGCATCACACGCCAGGATAATTGCAAGTGAGCGACAAACAGCAGCCACATCCGAAAACCCACAGCCTGTCAAAGTTCTTGGCCCCAGGCGCCTCCCTGTAGTGACATAGGCCAAGAGCGACATGAGCTTTATTATGGCAAACCGAGGCTCGGGTTTTTGGGCGCTGGCCTGTTGGGCCCCAGCATGCCAAAGAGGTACAAGCAGCACGGGCCGCGCATCAAAAAGCAGGGGGCGCGCATGTGTGTGTGTGTGTGTGGGTGTGTGGGTCTGTGTGTGTGTGTGTGCACTTGTTGCTTTGCACATCGACCTCCTTTAGCTGCTACCTTTGAATGTGTTTGGATTTAGCTGGCAGGTGAAGGATTGGGCTCTCGGGTGACAAGAAGTGAGGAAGAGGATCCGAACTCTCGCAGAAAGGTGGAAGCGTTTGAGCGCAGCTTGCTGGAGTTCAACCCATTGGACTGCATGTGTTAGATGCAAGCTTCAACGTTTGTGCATTGGGCTTGTTGCGCTTGTGCTTCCTCCACGCAACAACCGTGCTTGGTGCTACCCGCCCTCAGCATGTGAACCCTTGCTGTGCAACCCTGCACGCTGGGTCAGCTTATTTTCAAGAACTCAGCATGCTTTGGGATGAACATTTCAGCTCACCCGCCAACGTGCACGATTGCACGTCAGCAAGGTGGAACGCAGAAAGTGACATGCCCCTTTAGCCCATTGTTTCCCTATTATTTCCTGGGTGAGTGTTTGTTTCATATGTGCACATCAGACCCTTCCATGAGGCTCCCCACATCCTTTGAAGCCTCAAGGTGGAATCGTTTTTAAAGCATGCCAACGCCCCATCCATTTCTTTCACGCCGCGATGCTGCCGGCCTCGTGGCCCGCCGGCGTTCCGCCGGCGCGTTTCGGGGCCGCGGCCTTTGCCGCCGCCCCGAGAACCGACGGCCTTCGCCGAAGCGGGATGTGCGGCCTGGCGGTGCTGGCCCCGCTGGCTGCGACACTCGTGCTGGGTCTAAGCTTCTCGTAGATTCTTGGGTATGTAGATGCGAGTCATGCACTCATATGTATATATACATATATACATATATTTGTATATACTTTTCGGAAATTTACATGTTTGTTCAGATAAACCGTTGTATATATATGTGTGTTCGTCTCAGTTTTGACATGCATATAGATATGTGTTTTAGAGTTGTTTTAGAGTTGTTTTAGTATTGTTTTTGTGTAGGCATGCGTGTGTGTGTTGTTCTGCTCTCATGTGGTTGCCATGACGTGCACACAACCGATTTGTTTCCATAATGAAGATCTGTTTCTATCATGAAGCCCTTGCAAGTAGAGCACAGGGGCGCGTCCCATTTCGAGTGCTAATGCTTAGTTGATGCACAGAAAGGGGAGTCCACACCCCTCGGGGCCTTTCGATGCAACTCCCATGGTTTCTTTTGGCGGGTGCACGGAAAGTCATGCACAACCGGGAGGGAGCCGGGATGCGCCTGGTAGCTGCACAACTCTGACCTGCCGGCCATTTGATTCGGTTTTCTACTGCCACAACCTCGAGTGATCGTAGCTGGCCGAGCTGTATGTTTTGAACTGGTTTCACTGCAGCCGGCCCCCAATTTTAATGCATCGAAGTTGGATGTTGCCTCCCAGCTACGTCTCCTGCTCCTTGCATTGTTCTTGTCCGTGAAAGGGACAATGTAAGGAGAGATGGGGATGCAGCCAAGGACAAGTTCCCTGATCCGTCGCCGTGCTGTGCGGACAGATGAGCACAGCAAGGCCGTGCAACTTGGCGAAAAGCTGCTGGATATACTACTCGGCTGCTGCATCCCCATCATTCTCCAGGGGTTCCTATAGTTTATATTTCCCAGCATTTGTTGGCCAAGGGTTTCGGCCAAAACCGTGGTTGTTTGACCAAGAACAGGCGATGATTTTCGCACGCGGGCATGTTTGACTCATTGGTGTGAATCGAACGCGTAACATTTCGGGAAACGGCGACAATTTTACATGTCGGAAGGTCTAGATATGGACAGCCCTGCCCAGAGTTGCCCCCGACATTTATGACGATATTGATTGGGGCTTGCGCGCTGGACAAAAAGTTGAAGAACCAATTCCTGCCCAGATCTTTTCAAACCGCCCACTTGCCCAGACCCTAAACATCTAGGCCCAGGCACTTGGCCCATTGGCATTGGGGCCACTTTTTGCCGAAGGCGACCTTCACCTTCCAGTTGAGCTGAGGCTCTTGTAGCAGTTTGGTCGTTGCCCTAATCTTCTCCTTTCATTTCCAGCGTCAAACCAGATCCTGTTATTTCCACTAGCTTTACACATCCCATTGACTTGAGTCCCCCTTCCGGGCTACAGGTCAGCCTGGTTGGACCGCTTCGTCTTGCAGGGCAACTACTGCCCCTGGGCCAAGCCTGCTCAGAAGCGGCGAGGCATACGCATCTTGAATGCCAGTTCGTTGGACCTTTGATCATTCGATCATTGTCTTGGATACGACTCTTTAAAGTTGGATCTGTAGCCGTTAGTTTTTTAGCGGAGCTGCCTATCTATCTCAGACACCCGGTGGTACCTTGCTTGCTCCTTTTCAGGGAAGGGTTCCCTTGAAAAAAAAGAAGAAAGAACAAACAAAAGCTTTTCGTAGCCCAAAAACGGCGCCTCGTTTCATGCCACCCGGCTTCTGTTTCACGCAGCTCACCGGCAAAGAGAGGCATCGTGTCCTCCACGGAGACGGAGCCGGAGGAGCCCAAGGGAAGATGATGCCTTCGTTGAAACCGGGGCTCTCTGTCTAACGGTCCTTGGGCCATGTGAGTCAAACATCAAGTAGGTTCTTTTGAAGTGAGCTTCAGTTTTGTTTATGGCGATTTGAAATTTGAGAGGTGGTCTCTGAGGGGGGCCGGGCATCTCGTAAACTTGGCACCTGCTTTTACCCGGGAGCCACCCAAGAGTTGACGGAATCCAACAAGACACCCCCTCAATTTAAACATGCGTGGTTTGCAGGAGCTGCCCCGTTTTCCTATGAGGAACCCTTTTGACATTGCGCTAGCAGCAGGTACTGGTTTGCCCATGAACCTGGGAAACCTATCTAAATGAGTTGACGGATCCTACTCGCATTGACTAGCAGCGCTGCGATTTGACAACCCAGTTTGGTCAGAGCTGCTTCCAACTTCAAAGAAAAGCTGGTAGTTGGTCCTTGTATTTCCCTTTGCCATAGAACGAACTTCGCCCCTTCAAAGTAACCGCCCACTAGTGTTTGACCTACGTTTTCTGATCTGCTAGTCGGTGGGGGTCTGGAGCATGTGTTGAGTGGCTGCAGCCCGCCCTCCAACCAAACTTACACCCAAACGCACGAGGCACCACACCACTCAACAGGAAAACCAGCAACCCTTCGACACAGAAGATCTGCTTTTGGAGCCTACGAGGACATGTGAGCACCTCCAGCCAGGTTGGAGGGCGTTACCCCATCAGCAAGACGGCGTTTGCCCCACGAAAGCGCAACCAGCTGTTTCTTTGACTTGCACAGTTTCCAAACTGCAAACTGTTAGTTGGTGGGTGGATTTCTTCTTTTATAATAGAGGCCCCAAAAAGTTCGAACTTCTCTGGCCGGGTAATTTGAGCGGGCTGGGCCTCCCTCGTGTGTCTAACTTGGCGCGTCCGTTGCTAACAGTATTTGGGACCGTGCAGCCAGAAAGGCGCTTTCTAGTGAACAGCCGTTCCACTCCTTTGTGACTCTGGTTGTTTTATACGTTTCCCGTAGCTGGTAATTTTGGAGGCCTAAATTTATGAAACCATATGGGAACCCCTGGAATCTGTATGATGTTTTAAATACAGGGCGCCTGCCACCAACAAGGCCCAACATTGATTCCCATGGGTTCACAAAACCATAGACCTGATAAGACATTTCGGAAAAAGGATAGCCTTGCAAGGGGGGGCGGGGGGAGGCCCCCATGAATTCACATTCGGATTCAGATCCATGGCAACTGTGTAGTGCCTGTTTGGGGCCGTGAAGGACCATTAAGGGCCATGACCCATGGCTTCCCATTTCAATCGCTTTGGACCAGTTGAAGATTTTCAGTTTGAATCAGGTGCCACTATATAAGGTGCATGCAAACTTTCCACGGGCGGAGGAGGGGGGGTAATTTGGGGCGCGAGCGTCAGGAGGTCTTCGAGGATCTCCTGGATGAGGCAGAGGGCTTGCCCATGGGCCCTGCTGATGAGGGTGAGCCCAGCACCACCCTGCTGGTGTGCCCCTATGCTGCTCGGCTTGGTTCCACTCTTTGAGGTGCCACCAAGAAAAGGTTGCCTGTTCACTAGCTTGATTGTTCAAAATCATTCCTTTTCCTCGCCCCGCAGTTTCCCATGGACCAAGTTTGAACACTTGGGCAGCTGATGTGTGGATGGCAAGATGTTATACACATCATCATCCTGATCACCATGGTCATTCCGCTTTAGAGGTTTGTTTCTTTGATAAGGTCCTGCTGAGTTCCCTCTTTTTTGATCGAACATTGCCGTTTCGTGGGCATTAAATCGGTCGTCGGTTCACTGCCTTCAAAAGAGAGAATGGGCCACTTGAAGGAGGTATGGCCAGCATGGGATGAGCTAGAGCTGCCAAAAACACCACGCTTCGCATTCAGACACCGTTTGTGAAGGTATCGGCCCATCGCAGCCCTCCAGACGCTTGTTGTTTTGTGGTCTTGCTGGTTCTCATTGAATACAGAGCGGTTTTGGGAACGAATGCAGGGTTCCCAAAAACATTGCAGGGGATGATTCAAAGGTGTCATTACTCTGAGAAGCAGAAACCTTTAGCTAAACCAAACTGGTGGGCTATCATATCAAGGATTGGGAAGGGTTCCCGCCCGCTTTTGTGAGAAGCACCCGGCCGCACGCAATCAGGAAATACCTTAGGCCATTTGCGGGGTTCAAGTTTACACGAACCGCAAGAAACCCCCAGCAGATAGGACTTTGCATCTTGAGACCGCTCTACCTGTGGGTTCCACTGGCTGCTCAATCAAATATTTGATTTTGAAGCGGCACTCCCAATCATTTTTTTCCGGGGGAGAGCACTCCCGAATACAATCCACCGATCGGTTGACTATGCGGTCAACAGGATCCTTAAGGAACACCGAGGAAGCCAAAGGAATCCCAGGAGCCCCCGCGCGAGGCGGAAGCCCGTGTATGCTTTTCAGGGTTCCTTAAAGGATACATCCAAAAGTCTACCGTGTTTTCTTTCTCTTTTTTTAAGTCTAAGGCTGGACTTGATTTTTTGAATTAGCCAAAGCGCATGCTTGGCACCAGTTTCGCCAAGGTGGAAGAGTGGAAGAGCTATGGGCCCTTTCGAGACTTCTATGAGGAAGACTTGCTGGGGGGCAGTGTCCTTTTGGACGCTTGGCACTGATGGTGCTAGCCAAGAGCCCATCCCTGTTAAAACATCTTGTTGTTCAGGGTTTGGATGTTCTTAAACATCTTGAAACATGTTGTTGCCCAACCCTGTATGGTGCTTCGTTTGGGCACCCAATGCGTAAGCCCAACTCGGCTAGGGCATTTAGGGATAGCACGGCATGGAATTTGCGTGCTAGGCTTGTCCCGTCTGTGTTTGTCTTTTGAGAAGGACGACTTCGACATGAAGGTCATAGCATTCCACCCGGAATACCTCAAGTATGGTTTCTCCGTGGAAGCTGGCGACCGGATCGCGATTGCCAACATGGATGGCTCAGCCAGTCACGCAACAGTTCTGGATGAGGAGGGTTGCTGGGATCGGGCTACACATTGGCTAAGTAGTATCGGGGGAATCTGCGATGTTGCAGGCTTCAGAGGCTATGATTATTTGGGCATTCGTGGTTCTTTCTCGGGAACCTTGTGTCCTCCGAGCCCAACTTCAAGGGCGCTGCTTCAACAACTCGGGTTTCTTTGCCGTGCTTTCGGCCCAAGGTGGGAGCTGAATTCCAGGTGAAAATGGTTTCCCTTGCAGCGCCCCACCACAGATTACGGAGTAGAATTGGGGATGCTCCCCTATTTTGAACAACCCAGTTTAGAAAGACACCCGTTGCTGGGGCAGCACACCTTTGTTCGATCCACTGGTTCCATGACTTTCCGTCCTGCTTTTTGTGGGGGGGGCAGCCCAACTGAGTAACTGGGTTTCTGCGTTGCAGCATTTGGGGAAGCCCAGGTGCTTTGAGCTCTTCTTTGTACAGGTCTGTCTTTGTTGCAAGGGAACTCACTCGTTTTGTTGGGCTTGCTTATTCGAGGCCCAGTTTCTAATGACTATTAACTTGGCCCCGAGTTTCGACTCATAGCCCGTTCGAGAAAGGCCCAAGCCTTTATTGGCTGGTTTCGGGGGAACAGGCCATCTTGGTACCAAACTTCAAGGCGAGAGACTGCCTCCGCCCTCCCCTTGGAACCTTTCCTGGGTTTGGGCCTTTGGTTTTTGGTGCCTGGTGTGCGCGCTTGGGGCGGGCATCCCCTGGAGGAAGGAGGCCTCCACCCGGAGGATGGGGAGGAGCTGCTGGACGTACGCCTCGACGAGGGCGAGGAGTGCTTGGTGCGCGGGGGCCCCAGCCAGCCGCCGGCCGCCGGCCGCGGGCCATCAGCCCAAAAGGCTCGGAGCTCCCGAAGGGCAGCGACAAGCCGCAACCTGCAAAATTTGGTTAAGGTGACCAGCCCCTTCTCTGCCGTTCTTTGTTGAAACCAGTTTTCTGGGGTTGCAAGGGGCGGAAAGCCAGGAGGTTCTCTACATAAACTGGCGGGATAAACATGTTTAAGCAAGGGGTTGTTGCACAACTGCAACCTCCGGCGTGACGTGTTTACTTTCAGGGCCTTGCCAACAGGTAGCAACACTTGGGAAAGTTGATCATTGGGAGCATGAGGGCCTTTTAGGCGGCAACCAACTAAGCTTTGTTGGTTGTATTTTGGAGCATTGACTTAAAGGGACAGTACTTTTTTTGACTAACCTGTAGGTTCATGTTTTTCAATGTTGGAGGCTGTAGCAGTCATGACGAAGGTTAAACCTTTCACAGGTTGATGTTGTTTGAAGGTGCTCCTGGTTGGGAGAAAGCAACTGTGGATGAATCCCAGGCACCTAACTCAGACGTGGGAGTCAGCTCTCTCGGCCAATTGGTTTTGGAACGGCGGCTGCTTTGCCAAAGGGAACCCCCAAGTGGATGATTCTTGTTGATTTTTTCGAGACTCCCTGGAGCCCAGCCACTGCAGTAAAGCGACTTGATGACTCGTCCCCCAAGGCTACAGCAGCATCATCACCAAGCTCGCCACCAAGCAGGGGGCGGAGGTGCCCAGCGACGACCGCAGCGGCGAGGCGGCGAACTTGCTGTCGCGGGCACCGCGGCCGGTGCTCCACCTGCGGCCCAGCTGCGAAGTTCCGGTGCTTTCCGACCGATCCGGTCGCTTGCTGAAGTCGGGTCCTGATATCTCAATTATTGACCGGATTGGTCTTGACATTCTTGAACCCCCAAAGCATCCAAGTATCCGAACCACCTCGGAATCATGATGGCTCCCTTGGTGTACATCCTTCTTCAGCAGCCCGCCAGGGCAAAGCATGACGTAACGAGCAGGTTAGTTTTCTGCTGTTCCAAAGGGCGTACTTCATTGAAGCAGTTTTCCCCAGTTCGGACAATAGGACCCGCTTTTGCAAAGTTGGTTGTATAGCACCTAGACCTTGATACCCCTTCGATCCAAAGGTTTGTTGTTCAAACAGGGTTTCAGCACGACCTTGGCCCGAACCTAGTTCAAACCATCGAACTTTCAGGCTGCGGATGGAGGATTTGGATGCCGCTGGCTTGGCGTCCCGGGCAGCTACTGGGCCCAACATTCAAGGCGTTCTGGAGGCGAGCCTTGCGGGCTTGGATTGTATGTTTGAAGGCTTGAAGGGAAGGGGGAGTATCTTTTGCATGTGGCCTAAACAAGAACCAGCTGCTCCAATTTGCAATCCCCAAGCCACCTGGGCGTGTCTTTCTTCAGGTAACCCCGTTTTGGTGTTGGATTCTAAGGGAACACTCCAACAGAAGTCACCCATGTGAAAGAGGGTCCCCTGGTGTCAGACAAACTGCTGTGCTTCCAGTGAACGTGCCGGCTGCAGTTCCCACAACATTGTCTAAGAGGGCTTATTGCCCAGGAGCAAACGCATCCGCCAAACAACCGCTCTGGTTAAAGGGCCACGCGCCCATATCACACCCCAGGTTCCCTGGTCGTGGAGCCCCTCTTCCAATTTGAGCACGCTGCCGCGAGCACCCCATGTATGTGTTTATTTGTTTTTAAGCGTGTTCCCAAAATTGTGTCAGCGGGCACACCCCAGCGCAAAAACGGGCCCTAGTGCCTAACTCATAACAGAGCGGGTATAAACAAGGGCTATGTAGGTGTCAAAAATTGGGGACGCCCCCCAAATTGGTGGTTGTTTCCCTGATTTCAGGATATGCACGCCCATGTACTTCCCTATACTTCCATTCAATTCCCTTACCCGTAGGAGAACGCGGTGAGGGCCGGCAAGCTGGGACTGCAGGGCATGGCAGCGCTGTTGCGACAATGCGGCTGACCTTTGGGCGTTTGCGAGGCCAATGGCAGTGAGAGGTGGTGCTGTGGTCATCTTCGAAAGAGAGAGGGACGTTGTACCCTGGAGATGGGTCGCCAAAGATGGTGCGACCGAAGGAAGGGGAAATTGGAAAAAGTATGGAGAGGGAAAGGAGCGGCGAACATGGCGATGGGCCCATCGACGGCCATGCCCGACGCATCAAACACCACGTTGAGATGGCCAATTTTAGCTCATTTGATGGGTTGATGCCTCGTCTGAATCAGCGAGATGGTGACCCCTCAAGCAGCGAGAGGTGCTCGGGCCGCATTTGCCCCGGGCGCTGCGATTTGGCATTTACGTTTTAGAGAGTGAGACTGCAGCCCGCCCGCACAGAAGCTGGCACTCGCAAGAGCACATGGGGTGATTCATACCGGGTAGCGATTAGGAAACTGGGAGGCAAGAAGCACGATTTTGTTCCCCACCTACTGAGCCAGTCCTGAGCCAACACCAACTGAGGCACCAACTTTGTGACATCCATTGCTACAACAGCCGCCCAAACATATTTTCAAGGGTGGTGCCGAAAGTTAAAACAAGTGCAGATACATGTTTAAAGGGAGGACATAGAGACTGGGCCAGCATGGAGGAAAGGACAAAGGAAGTACAAAGGAATGCAAACCAATACTAAAATACTGGGCCAGCCCAAAGGAATAGACATGTAAGCTAGATGATATCCCTAACAGCATACCTTTGCTAATCACCCCTCGCCACACTACGTCTAATCATAGTTAATCTAAAGCCCCTGTCAACCCCTGTGCGACGAGCGCAGCACGCACTACAGAGAGCTCGTGGGAGTTACTAGCTCAGCTTGACCGAGCTCGAACTGCAATGCCAAGGCTCAAAGAGCTTGTACAGACTGAGTTGTCTTGAATAGACTCGCCCATTACCTCTTTTCCGTGGGCCATTTCCTTGCAGTCACGGCCGAAATTGTCAAGAAGCTGCTTTGGCCAGTCAACTTAGTCAAAAGGTAAGCCCTGCCCACCTTCACCCGACCAGATGTTTCCAGTGAACCAATGGGCTGTCTGGGGGCTTCAGCTTGCAGTTTGGACATGGCCTGAGCCATGGGCGACGAGGTGCGTCTCGAGCTTCAGTGGCCTTGGCTCAAAGGGCGTGGCTTGTTTTGTTTGACGTAAGCCCAAGTGGCATGGCCAGCAACCGTTAGCTTCCTTTAAGGGGATCCCTAGGTTCATTTCCAAAACCCTTGAATTTCCCCTAGTTTTCCTCTCCAAGACATGCCTTTGGTGCAAGTACAACGGGGTGCACGGCACAACTTGACCGGGAACATCGAAAGTTCCCTATTGCAGTTTGACATGCTACCAGCTTTCGTAAAAAACTGCACATTGGCCTTCCAGCGGCTCGAGGGGCAGCTTCAGATTGGCTCGAGGGTACGCTTCGCATCGCCCAAGATGAATCAAATCAAACAAGTTGGATTGCGAATGTCCAATGGTCCAAGTGCCGAGCTCTGCCAGCTGTACCCTTTCCATTATTTTGAGACCTTCTTCAAAGCGGTTCAACGGCTCGTTGCTCCAAAGGGCAGTGTGCGGGGGGGAAAATGCCCAAACAAAAAAACATGTTGAGAATCCTGTCTTGGAAGAATGGTTGCGAAACGACCCAAAGTTTTCTATTTTCCCCAAAGCAGCCGCAAAAGAATGGGAAGAGTCAACAGTTTCTTCAGATCCCCTATTTGCCATTTGTGAATGGGATGGCGTTTGGGAATGCTGATTTTGAGGATGTTCAACGCCCAGTCAGAATCGGGGCTGATGATGTTCGGGGCGGCATTCCCTTGAAAAATGGCAAGTGGTCCAGAATTTTCCCAGTGGGCCAGCTAGGAAAACTATCTTCATTTTGGACATTTTGGTAGTGGGAGGGTGGGACAAACAGAAAACAACTTGGACACTCTAGCCGACCTTGCAACTTTTTCCATGAACAACAGGGAAGCCGTTCATTTCCAGTTCCTTTGTTCTCGCGCACGGGTGAGACACGGGCTGCGTCCTGAGGCATGCCTTCGGATCCTTGTGCGGCTCTTCTTTGCGCGAGCCCTGTGTTTTTGCCGACAGCTGCTCGGCTCAGATGACTTCGGCGCGTGCTTCCCTGCGGATCGATCAAAATCGATGGCACTGACATCCGAAACATCTCATGTTGAGAATGACTGCTTGAAGGCTTGTGGTTCCTCCGAACTGAGAGTGTGTGTGTGTGTGTTTTGTCTGAAATCACGTTAGCCGTTTCTTTGGATATCCTCATTTTGACTATCCACCAAGCAAGTGAGTGAACGAGTAGTGATTCCAAGCCCAAAAAAGAAGTCCCAATTCCAATTCGGCGCCCTTTTCAATTCACGCCTTCGAAAATCACATTCTCGAAGCCTGGTGATTTTGGATCCTCGCCCGGCCACAAGCTTTCTCGAGAAGAACCACCAAGGAAAACGCCCAACACCCCCAGCGGCCCTCCGCTGCGAGAGGCGCCGGCCAGCAGATCGCCTTCATCGTGGGCCGGCAGCTGGCGCTTCGCCATGTGGAGAGCAACGAGACCACCTTCCGCACCGTTGGAGAGCTGCTTGTCGCAAATCGCAAGCTGGGGACACTGGTGACATCTTCCGGCTGCGAACGCGTATTTTTTTGCCACGGGTTGGTTGTTCCGCTGTAAAGTGGTTGAATTGCAATAAGCTGCGCGGTGCGGCGTTACGTCAGTCTACATGAATGGCCCCTGTTGCAGCCGTATTGACTTCGGCCAAGTCGAATAAGACCGGCTTGTGGTCTTGGAGCCGTGTTGGCACACAATTGCAAGTGGGATATGTTTTTTTCATGTCTTGTAGAGTCAGGGCAAAACCCTTTGCGCGCAGCAGCAGGGCGAGAGAGAGAGAGAGATACAGAGATCGAGACACACGGAAAGAAATGCATCAGGCGGGTGGACCTGCTGACGGCGTGCTGCGCCTCAAGGGACCGCAGCTTTTTGGCGCTGGCGGAGAAGAGCGGCGAGGCCAAGGTGGCCATCTTCGACCTGAAGCGACTCGCAAACACCTGGGGTTTGGGCTTGGACACCTGAAATTGTGCTTCTCCGTGTGGTTTTCTTGGACACGGAAACCAAGAAAAAAACGGCACATTGCGCCACATCCTTCAGGGAAGCAAGTAACTGTAAGTAACTTGCACCGTGGCTCACATGAACCGAGGCGACCAATTTTAATGCAACACACGCACAGCTGACATAGCAGTTTGGCTTTGCGTCCCTGGAACGAATCGGAAGGATGGACACAGGTTTTGAACATGAACCACGACTCTTCCAGTTAACCAGACGCCGCGACCTTCAGCGACCCTAAGCTGGTTCCATTCAGCTTTCCAGCGGATTATGGGGTGAACGAATACCCATGCTCCAACATACGGTGTTGACCCAAAGCTTGCAGCGCGGATTAGAGATTCAGCAGGTTACCAAACCAAACAATAGCGATTGATTGGCTCCCATGTGTTTTTCTTCTGTTGTTTCACATGTTGATGAGATGTATGTTGTGTTTGTCTCAGAGTAGGGAACTCCTTTTGAGGTAATACCAAATTGAAACAATCCATTTGGGGAAATTCTTATTTGCACACTCAACCATGTGTAGCACCTTTGCATCCATCGCTGGTTTTTGAAACCTCAGCCCTTCAGGTCCCTTATGCAGTGGATAACTTACCCTCAATCAGCACGGAAGTGCACAGGCCTCCTTTCCAAGAGGAAACCCGTCTTGCACAAGGGGTCTGTGCACTCCTATCGGAGGTTAGTTGCTCTCTTGAACCTTCACAAGCTTGGGATTGGTCTCTTTCATCTGGGGCGGTCTCGCAAGAAATTCCTTTCAATCAGTGCCTGCAATGCGTACTTGTTGAAATTGGGGCATAAAAGCTTATGGAGGATTGGACTCTCTTGACCCCCAGAGGTACAGCTGAGAAACGGGTCACCCAAAGATTGAGAGCGACGAGCCTTATGATTTGGGACTCGACTCTTGCGCTGAACCTTACTTTATCCCACTCGGGTGACGAGAACCGGTGGTTTGCTTACTCACAATGGCAGATGTTCTCTGTCTTAGATTTGCTTAGTTTGGACTTCGCGTCGACAAGGCCAGCACCCAAGCAAGTGGTTTCGTCGAGGTCGGGCAACTCGGGGCCCGTGAAGATGGTGCGGCCCTTCGGGGGCGCGGCCCGGGTCTTGTCCCTGGCCTTCAGCGGGTCCCACGAAGGCCCATGGCGGGGGGGAGCGGGGATGGACGGGGGGGGTGGGCTTCGAACATTTTCGCCGCGCAATTTGGCGTTTCGGGCCCCTGGAAACTTGGGTGAAGGTGGAGGGTGGCGTTGGCGATGGTTCTGTCGCTAAGTTGAGTTGCGATGAGAAGCCTTGCAGAGCTTTTTGCGTTTCTCCGCCAGCCTTCTTGAATGATGCTCGAAGGGAAGCCAAGAGGAAGCCTGGCATTGGTTTGCAGAGCGACCTACCTGATAGTTGCATCCAGACGTTCGTTTGTTGGAAGGGTCAACCATTGCTTTTTCATGGGCGTTTGAAGGGTTAAAACTCGGAACTGGGGCCAACAAACTTAAACGTATCTAAACTAGAAATCTAAAGGTAAGGTAAGCCACCAGGGGTGAGACGGGGTTCATTTATTATGGGCAAAAAGGGGACCCAAAGGGGTCAGCTCAGAAATGGGTCAGAAGGCTGTGAGGGTGACCAGGCAACGGTGCTCCTATTCTTGGACCTGCGGTTTAGCACTAGAAAGAGAGGCGGCGAGAGATAAGGACAAACACCATGGTTTCAGCCTGGTCCCATCTATTTTGTAAGAAGGACATCCAGGACAACTCACTCCCGGAGTTTCCGGCTTACTTTTTTGGCAAGACCTCAGTGGCGCAGAAAAAGTTCGGACCAGTTTCGCCAATCTACCCATGTCCTCGTACAATGCGCCCTTTTTCAGGCCACGTTGGAAAACACATTCTCCAGACTTCCCCTGATGGTCTTGAACATCACCCGTGCCTTTTCAAAGCGCCGCGGGTCTGGTCCCAGGCGGCGCCGGCGCCGGCTCTGCCCCGAAGTATCTGCTGGCGGCCTCTCAGGGGCCGGAGCCCACCTTGGCGCTCATGAACTGGGCGCACCCGGCGTGGTTTGATTGGTTGCAGCCTGCGACAGCTTTTGTTTTTTTGTTTTTTTTTTTTTTTTGGGGGGGGGGATAGCCCTTCCAAGAATCCATTTAGGGCCCTTTGGTGGAATCCCGAAATCCGGTGCGGCTCGACGTCTTGGATTTGATCGGGGCGCAGGGGTCTTTATATTTTTCCCTTTGCGAACGTCCAGGACGCGGAGAAGGTCCTCTGCAAGGTGAAGCTCTCCTTCCAGGTGGATCGGATTTGCTTCCCCCAGCAGCCTGACATCTTGCAGGCGCGGAGCCTTGGGCTTTTGGATCGAGGGTCCTTGGGGACGACCAGGAAATAGCCACGGTCAGCTTGTTTGCAACAGGACAAGCCCCCCCACTAGACGGCAAAGCATCGGCAAATGCCGTGCCCCCTTCGTCAGATGCTCACTCAACATGGGGATGCTTGTAAATGAAAGCCAACCAAGAGTGTGGGCAACGTACGGCAATCTCACTCATGAGGAAGGCTGCGCTTGTGAGGGAGCATGTATTTCTATTTTGTGAGTTTGAGTCATTTGCCCAGCAAAGTGGCTTTCAAGTAATTCTCCAAGAGTTGTCCACCCCCTGATGTATGATTGTCATACCCATGCTGACCGGTGGCCACTCTTTACATTCATCCCTTCCATCCCTTGAAGAGCATCCAGAGAAAAAGTAAAATATTGATTGCCCTTGTGCATACTTTTTGGGAAGACCATTTGAGTGGCAAATGCAGAGTTTGGCCAATCCATGCAGCAGGTGAAAACTTGTTGGTTTTTATGACCAACATATCCGCCAATTTGGGGGTTCTCGACGCTCAGGTTACTGCCAGTGGGCCCCAGGGCCTGCGGCTTCTGCAGATTCGGCACGCCAAGGGGGAGGTGTCCTTGAAGCACCCCGATCCGCAAAAGGGGAAGGGGGGAGGGAGGGGGGGTTCTGCTCAACGCGGAACCCAAAAACACCCCCTTTTTGGAGGGAGCTCCATGTCCAAGATTGGACTCCACATTTTTGGGGGGTCCTGCATGGTGCTTCTTTTTGCGGAAGCACTGCTCCTCCATGTTGCATGCTGTTTTTGCGTTGCAGCGTTTAGTGTGCTCCCGCGTTGTGGTTGTATTTTTGCTCTGGCCTGATGGAAATGAGCCCTCGAGTCATTGATCAGGGGTCCAAGGCTTTTGGCATTGCAGAAGGCAAGCCTGGGGGTCTAACACTGTTGGATCAGGCCAGCTTCTAAGGTCCCCTCTTACTTGCGCCAATGAACCAAAAGCGCCGCCCCAAGATGGGATGCCTGCAGAGCACTGCTTCTTTGGGAGCCATGTAGAACTGTTCCGCGCTCCTGGGAGCGAAGCCAAGATGAATGGCGGCTGAGCCAAGCATATTGCTCGCTCGCATGGCTGTGTCTTTTCCTTTCTTGGTGGCTCCCAGCCATCCCCTTAGCTTTTGAGCCTTTTAGTGTTTAGTGGTAGAGTCCATTCAAGCCACTAAAAGTTAAACTTTTAGCGGGGGATCTGAGGGCAGCCCAGTTTTGTTAGGTTTGATTGAAGCAGCCAATGGCAAGCGCGGCACAGCGCAGCCCGTTTTGGAAGAAGCAGTTTGAGACAATGGGCCAAGCTCCGAGGCTGATGCCACCTTTTTCCAATCTTCCAGATGATCAAAGGACCGGCGCCGTGGACCCCGCCCTTTGCCTCGCAGGTGTTGCTAGTGTTCAATGGCTATTTCCCCCCACTAGGAAAGCACGCACGATGTTATTGCAATCATGGGGAGGTGTGTCAGAGCATTACCAATGGAGTCAGACCTCTTGAGAGGCCCTGCGCCATTCTTAGAACTGGCTTTCGTCTCAACAGAATCATTTCCACTGGCTGCGCAGAAGGTTTGTTTTGCCTCTAAGAGCCCTTTAAGAGGCAATGCCTGCTTCCAAGCAGGCGACCTACCGATGCCACCTTGCGGCGACTCCCTTGGTTCTAACCTCAGTGTGGGGTGGCAGAAAGGCAGCTGTTGTTGGCTTCTGGTTTCAGCTACAGACCTTGATGACTGGAGTGTATGGAAGGAAACTGAGCATGACAGGACCTAGTATTACAGATAGGCAAACCCGAGGAATGACATTGGCCGGGCAGCTCCCTTTGTCAATGCAAGCCCCAATTTGACAAGAACTGATGTGGTAATGATGCCCCTTTATTCCATGTGTCAGTGCCAGATCAGTTGTGCAGTGGCCCCACTTGTTCTCCCCTTTGCAGGAAGTCCCTGACGACCAACAGATATTTCTCGCGAATATGCCACTCGCACGGCGAGATCTGGGCCATGACAGGATTCTGGATCACACCTGGTTGGGAACCACTGTGGCTCTTTGCGTGCAAGAGGGCTTCGTACACCTCCTCAACACTGAGGCCGGGCCGGCCGGGTTCGCAGCTGGGATTTGTCTCTAAACAGAGGAACCCCCGGTTTCCCTTCAAGACGCTCAAGCAAAGACACGCGAACAAGCTGCCAAGCTGCCGTCAGAAGAAGGGTGTTCGACGTGATGAGGCTTTGGCTCCAACTCCTCTGAGACAAGCCAAAGACGGCTTGTGTACACTAGATGCATGGTCCTGGCAGGGGGCAGCCAGCTGTGCAGCCATGGCAATTGCCATAAAGAACTGGTCAAGTTGTTCAACATTGACATTCAGTGAGGGCAGTTTCTTCTGCAACATGCCCATGATCCCAGACAAGAGCAGTGCAACTGCCAACGTGATGTGGCTTTTGTCGGCCACGTTGGAAGACGCCCTCCCCAACGCATAAGGCAAACCAAGCCAGACAGGGAACCACTAGGAGGGAAGCCAATGTACACACATATGTGTAGGTTTTCTTGAATTCATGCTTGGTACCCGGTGAAGACATGGCTGCTAATCAGTAAAGTTGCCACATCTTTTCGGGAGAATGAGACTGGACAAATTGCGAAATAAACGTAAGATTTTGGTTGGCCAGTTGCCTCGATCAGTTGCAACATAAGGAGACACCGAATTGGTGGCATCATTATGGTGGCTTTTGCCCCTGCAGCAACCAAGTCAGTGTCGGCTCTGGTCAGCTCGGCTGCTGGCATTTGTTCCCCGAAGGCAGGCATGAAAAGATTGCTTGGACCTTGATCTAGAACACAACAAGTTGACATTTTTTGGCCCCATGCAGCCGGGCGCCATATGTTTCGATGGCAGGAGCTGATCTTGCTGCAGAGTATCGAGTTTCCTTTTGGCCAAAACGCGGAGATTGAAGACCTCACGCCGCTCTGCACCCTGGTATGCCAGGTGAATGACTGGAGTACACAGTCCTTTCGATGCGCACAGTGGTGTGGGTCTCGCTTGTTTTCAGCATGTGCCAGTATTGTTATCCAGTCTTTAATTGTTTATGACCGTGAGCCACGTGCCCCTACAATGTTACAAGTGGGCAGGTGTCCTGCAGTCACAGGGGCGACCTAAGACATATTCGATACCCGGATCGTTGGTCCCTCAAGTGGGTCAAATGTTGGGGAAAGTTGTCTTGGGGACCATGCAAAGTAGGATTATGCAACCGCCCACTGAGCGGGCTTTTCATGCGCACATGGGAAAACTCAGATCTGGCGGCCATCCACTCATTTCCATGGTTCTGAAACAGGCGGCTTTCTTCTGTGATGCCAAGGTTGGATGGGAGTGAACCACTTGGGTATGGCACAAAGGTGGACTTTCCACAAGCAACAAGCCGTACCCTCAGCCACACTACCCATCAAAAACTAGTCCCGAAAATGGTCCCTACAAAAAAGGCGGGTCCGCCATGTTGAGAGACCCTGACGGCACCTTGGCACGTGGGCCCTACTGCGGATGGACAAAATCCTGCACCACCTGGTGGCTGGCTTAGCCAGGTTTATCCCGCAATTCACAAGGGCTTCTCATGTTTCATCCATCCCAACTGGTGCAGGATGTCATCCATCCACTGTATGTCTTGCCTTAGGCATCCGCGCCTTGACGGGGGGCTTCGTGGTCGGCGGCTCCAGCGGTTACATCGCCATGTGGGAGCTGGCGGAGGAGGAGGAACCCTTTTGGGGTGGGTGGCCTTTTTTTGGCGGCTCGGCACTCTTTTCGGGGAGCAGGACAACCAAGCGTAGGACCACCAACACCAATCAATCGTTTCCTCCTTGTTGGTTGGCAGAACCATCGCCACCAAACTGGGGCGAATCCTGGGCGCATTTTTTAAAATGGGACTTGAACCTCTGAACTTCTCCCTTTCAAAATTCAAGAATCGGGTAGCAAGACAATGGTTTCCATGTCCTTCTCCTACCCCCCACACCTCCCAAGTTCTATGAGTTGCCAGCGGTCCGACTGACGTAGCGGTTGGCGCCCAGAAAGCCAGCGTTAAGGTGCCAAAGTGAAGGAATCGGAAACCACATGGGGTATCATTGGCTTGTTCAGTGCCCCTTCTCCTGCTTTTTTTGGGGGGGTGGGGTTGGCTTTCCCACCAAACATGGTCAACTCACAGAAACGGGACGCTTTTCAATCAGAACACCTCCGCCAGGACGGCAGCGATGCTTCCGCGCTGGCCGAGGAGTACAAACTCGCCACCGCCGCTAAGGTCAGGGGGATCTCTTCGGTTCGTGCGGGGCGTTTCAGTCTGGGTGAGTTGGGACCCCCCCCAATTTTTGATACATACACCAAAAATAAAGTGCCGATTTCTCCAAAAGGTAACCAAGACCAAGGGGGAAGACGACTGTTTGTTGTGACCGGGGGGCTGTGACCTTCGATGTTGATGGGAGAAAGGTGGCGTCGCAAGACTTTTGGCTAAACATAAGGACCTCTCAAAATGGTGGTTTCTTTCCACTTGTTGGTGGTTTCTTTCCACTTGTTAAATGTTGCTTTCCCCCGCGATGTTGGACACTCCTTTCCCCAAAATCAGGTTTCTTTCGCGATTTTGGAGGTGTGAAGCTGATATACCACTTTTGCAAAACGGCTGACTTCCAAGCTTGGCATTCTAAACACCCCCCGGACATTCCTTATGGTAAAGGAAAGCCAGAAGGAACCCCGGACCAATTTGGAATTCACAGTCCCATATATGTTTTGTCTGGAAATCCGAGCGGATCCGAGCGGATCACCCGTGAGGTGCGGCCTGAGTCGGACGCAGTCAGCTCCCTGGACATCTCCCCAGGAGAGGAGTCCTTGCTGCTGGGCTTCGCAGATGCGGCCCGGGCCCTGGCGGTTGGGGGAGGGGGGGGGCTCCTGGCCACATCGCGCTACGGTCCAAAGATCCGTTTTGTTGCAGGGTTGTTACGGATGGCTATGACCCGTTCGTGGGAGTTAACCATGAAGGCTGCCTTGAGCAGGTTCTTCGGGTGAAACCCTGCGGCCACCGTAAAGATTGTGGCTGTCACATGCGGAGCGTGAAAGGAGTGAAAGGAGTTTGGCCATGGCATATAGGTTTGTCTCAAATGATGGGAACCCTCAAATGGATGCCCTTTGGTTTTTCATGAGCCCCTCAAAGAAAAAGCCACTCAGCTCTCCAATCCAGTTTGGCAGTTTTGGTTACTGTAGCCCCCGAATGCACCACTCAAAAAAGGAGAGCACGCAGTGTTATTTCAAGTTTTTGCGGCCAGCACTGCAAACGGAGGGGGGGAGACAACAGAGTCCAAACGGCGCCGGCCAGGGAAAGCTGGGTGAGTGGGAGGTGGTTTCTGCAGTGCAAGGCGACAAATCAAGCAGAGTTTGCGGCTGTGTGTGTGTGTGTTTTGGTTGCTTTGGTTCTCGATCCCTTCCATGGCAACGGCTCTGCCTGAAGCACTGCAGATTTCCACGCACGGCCAAGGGGGAAGCCAGCCAACCACCAACAGCCCCGGGATCGGCAGCCGCAAAGCCGCACCCCGACAAACACGCGGCACCGCCAAGAGCCGCAAGAGGAAGATCAAGGGAAGCAAAGTGCTTGCTCTTTAGGTAAAGGTACATCTTAACCTAACCCCCTTAACCTTTCTAAGAAGGCGGGCAAACAGACATGAGAACACGGGGGGTCAGGGTAGGAGAAGCGGCGCACACTGAGCATGAAGTTGATTGAACCGTTGCGGGCCTTCGGCATTCGCGATCGCGGACATATCATTGCCGACAGCCGGTAAGGAGCTGATGTCCAGGTGGGACGCAGGTTCAAGCAGTTAGGATCCTGCTAGATAGCCTTTAGCCCACTAAGTGCGGCGGAATAGCAACACGTTTGGGATGCTAGCTCGTGAGACGTATACACAGTGCTTGCCAAGCAAGTTGGTGGGAGCATGCAAAGGCTGATAGGAAAAGTAAGGTAGCAGCACTTAGGCACTTCTGAACTCATCCGAGTCACTTCCATTTGCCGCCTTCGTCGTTCGAAATTAGTTTAGAGGGTAATGAAGGTTTTGATTTCCAGTTTCACTCCGTCAGGATATTGGGATCGTCTCTATCAGCACGCTCTACAGTAGCGAGGCGCGAAAAACTGTTTGTCATCCTTTGCCGATGTTGGTGTTTGCATTGATCTTGTTTATTTGAATGGTTGGGGGCGGGGAGGATTTCGGGCAATGCTTAGAACAAGATCAACGCTCAGAACAGAGTTGATCGGGACCTTTCTTGGAATCGTTCCCCCCCCGCCTGACAGCAAACAACTCTTGTCCGCAGCCTACAGCGAGTTTCTGCGGGACAGGAGCCCACCCAAATTTTCCACGGGAGCCATCCCAATGTTCCCATGCCCCCTGAACAAAACAGAATATGTTTTGTTTCTGGGTCATCTCATGCTTTAAGTATATCTCTTTGTCCGTCGCTGTTTTCCCCAATGGACTTCCAGAGGTGCCAAGTTTGAAAGGAACCGCCTCCAAGCAAATCAGAAGTGAGTGTTTGAACATCTTTCCACTTTTAGGGATCCAGTGCAAGAAACAACGAAACCAAATCCATTTGGAGGAAGCCCTTTAGACACGGCCGTTTTTGCTTCCATTGAACCTTAAACGGGCTCCAGCCACCAAGTCACAATCATTTGTGACTCAAATTGGTTTGGCATGGCAGGCATTTGACGCCCATACGGCTCACATGGCTTACCCAAAACTTCGATGGGAGTCGATCGAAAATCGATGGCGTTAGGAGGTGACCTGCCACGTGATCGGCAACCACTCGGCAGCCATCACGGGCATGGACCTGGCGGTGCATCGCCCACTGCTTCTCACCGCCTCGAAGGCCGCCGGGAACGGGAGCGAGCCCCGGTTTAGGGAAGGAGCCATGGGTTGACTGGGCGGTTCCCAGCGAATCCTCCGGTTGAATTTAGGTTTTTGGTGGTTTTTAGTTGGCTTAGTCCACCAAAAGTTAAGCTGTTCGAAGGGGATTTGAGGACAGCCCAGTTTTAACAAGTCCTCCTTGTGGTTTAAATGGACGTGGCTGGAGCACATGTGCCTCAGGCCGAAAATTAGTATACAGTATACTGCTATGATCATGGCCCCAGGCCGATGCTATTTAGTTGTTGAGGCCCCTTGTAGCAATCCACTGCAGAGATACCTGCACCTTGAAGAAAAATGTTTCGGAAAAATCTTCGTTTTGGGAGGCCCCTGCTTCATTTGATCCGGTGATGTTGCCGAGTTCAAGTCGTCTCCCAAGTGGTATGTTTGTGGTATTCATTCGAATTTCAAGGAGCTAATGGGCTGGCATTCAAAGCTTCTTTTGGTGTGCCTCCCTGACCACGTCTCCTTGATGTTTCCTGGAAGAATGTACTTTTGGTGGGGAGACTGCGTATAAATTGGGCGGTTTGCCTTCTGGAGAAGAAGGTGCAGCTGCATCACCTGTTGAGAAAACACTGTTCGTCGATCATCCCGCGAACGCTAACTGCCACGTGCTAATTCGCTTATTGAAGCTCGCCCAGTCTGAGTGGCCTTGTGGGACGCACTTCATCAGCGCTTGGGCACTTTAAGATGCCGTTGGGATTTGGCCACGGGGGTTCACACCTTGTGGTCGCTTCTACGGTTTATCGCCCTCCTTCACTCCCCCATGCACTTCATATACTTTTCAGGGCCGTCTAAGTGACAACAACACCATGTGTCTCACAATGGGATTTCATGTGTTGCCAATTTTTCACGTTTCTCTGTCCCAGGGTTCGGCTTTTGGGATGACATGTCGCCCCTTGGTTTGCACGTGTTTCATTTTTTTGGTTGGGTTGGGCTTTTGGGCACAGCCGCACTGCGTGCCGTAAATCCGCCAGGGGGACGGCACGGTGCGGGTTTGGAACTGCACTTCTCGGACCTGCGAGATCCGGGCCGCCTTCGGCGACTCGCATGGCATCCGTTTGGAGAGGTTCTGATGGGTATGGAGTGATGGGTTTCTTGGAAGTGGTTTTGGTTTGTTGGGTGATGAAAAGGGGGTTGTTGAGTGAGGATGGGTTCAATTGTTGAGTCTTTGTTGGGTTCTTTCAGGGTGGATGTTGAGAATGGAGTCGTTTTGTTGTTTGAAGTTGGGTTCTGAAAAGGGGAGTGTTGTGTGAGGACGGGTTTAATTACTGTGTGTGTGTGTTTGTTGGGTTCTTTCAGGGAGGTCGGCAGTGCCTTTCTTGTGACTCGGTTTCAGCAAAAAAGGCCGAACCACCGTGCCCATCGGGGATTTGTCCATGGCCAACGGGACTGTAAAGCGTCTGATTTAGAGTAGCGAAGCCCGCGAGCCTACACCAGCAATGGCTCCGGAGGACGGGACTGAAAAGCAAGCAAAGTTGGTTTTAGCGGGTGTTATTTCATCATTATTTGATATGAAAATGAAGGAAGTAAATAAACACAATGAAGAAAGATGAATTAAAAGCAAATAACTTTAAAACAAACATGAATCAGTTGAATTTGATCCAGAGCAGCGCTTCCAAAACACGGTTGTTCTTTTTGGTCAAGGAGTGGGCACGTGGAAGTCCAGGTCGCCACTGTTGCGTGGCTTTGGGGCCAAGGCATGCTGATGCAAACCGCTCAATTGGCCGGGGTCACACTTTGTCCCCTCAAAGCTGGTCTATCACGGGGCTTCTAATTTTAACTGGGTTGTCAAATGACTCCTGGATGCTATGCCGGGGTGTGTTTTCCCTTGTTTTAGTGTCCCAGTATTTCTGGAGTTCGTATTAGGATTAGCGATCCCCCACCCCTGCTCCTTCACACAACCCAGGGCTTTACCGTAGGTGAAGATCCTCACGCTGTTGCCGTCCATCCTTTTGGGTACTATGCCGCTGTGGCTTTTGCCGAGAAACTGCGGCTGTACCATATCCTGGCGCGGGCCTTGGGGCATCTGGCACAAAGTCTGAGTTGGTCAAGAATCCTCCTTCATCCTTATGCCAGATGGTGGTAGTTTCCCCTGTTGTGCAGTTTCCCAGCACCAGCCCAGCTTGATCCTAGATTTTTCAGCCGTTCATGGGCGCTTGATTGAGCCGGGGTGGGCACGCTGTACTCCCGTGGATCTGCGGCATTCCCATACCGCGGAATCTCCTGGGGGCTGAATGTCGCGTGCCGAATGCGACCCCAAGAGAAATGGAAGAATGCAGAGAGTGAATGCTTCGTGAATGCTTCGATGCGATCCACAGAAGTTCAGAAGTTCAGAAGTTCAGGTGAAGGACTTGAAGCAGCACACGGAGATCCACATGAGGGGCATCCAGCTCTTGAAGTTCAGCCCCTCTGGACACCTACTGGCAGTCTGCCAGGCCTCAGCTTCCGGGCCCCCTGGCCCCTGGAATCCAGGAAACTCGTTTGTTAGGGTACCCCTGGGCTTCTGGGCTGTGGTCGCTTTTTGGGAAGACCATTTTAGCGGAAACAAAGGCCGATTGTCTGGCAAGTCCACAGAGGGCGTGAGGAAAGGATCTGAAAAACGAATTCGAACAAGCATTTGGCCAAGCTGGCAAGCCTCTTTTTGTGGCACCTTCCCAAACCACGAGAGCTTTTTGTCACCCGGTCAGCCTTCCCCATACCTTCCGCAACATCTCAGACGAAGGATGTGTGTTTTTTTGGGGGTAGCGGGCCGCTCCGGAAACTACCCATTGGCCCATGGTGGGGTTTCCCTACTCAGAAGCAAATCCAGCTGTTTATCGGCACCCGACACTTCTTGTCTGGTGGGTTCCGCACTTGAAAGCGATCAGCCCTCAAGCAGGATGCCTTTCTGTTTCAGGGCCAGTGGGCAATTCGAAGCTCGTTTTCTTGTGACGGCCAATGCTCAGTACAATGTACCATGCTCAGACGACTCCTTTCACTGGGCAAACCTTTCTTTTTTTCTCGGTTCCTGGGGGACAATCATCGCGCAGGGCAAGGTGATCCACATCTACAGCGTTCGAAACTTGGCCAAGGCGCCGCCCCGATGCTATGCTCGCGCGCGCTGGGACAGGGGGTTCAGGAGGCAAAGTCGGACCCGCATTCTTACCCCTTGTTCCTGGAAATGGGGGAGCACAAAATGGGGTCCTCCAAGAGGAGTTCCCCCCATGTTGATGGAGTACCCCCCGCCGAAACAAACAAGAACAACAAACAACACAAAGCGGACACTTCCAAGTTCGGGCGGCCTGCTTTTCCGATGCAGGCCGCTCGGAATTGGGTATGTTTGGCGGCGGGGTCATAGACTAGACGGTCAGTTGTTCTTTGCGTGTTGCGTGAACTGGATCTGTTGAAACCAAGACATGGCCCCTTATCACTTCTTCAGGGTAGAACTCTCTCTCACCCCACAGACCATGAATGACAGAGGCATGTCTGTCTGTCTGTCTGTCTGTCTCACCATTGCAAAGTTTATAGGTTGGGGAATTCTCAGGCCTTGCAGCTACCTCAAAATAGTGGCGCTTGGTTTGCAAGCCTCGATTCAAAAGCTGGAGAAGCCATTAAGGTATTTGTTTCAGCTGGCGGTACTTAAATACTTGGATACCGGAAGGTTCCCATGGGAACGGAAGGGAACCCATCAACTACTGTCAGGGGGTGTGTCCTACCACGGGGATCCTTCACTTCATGCGTGGGATGTGTTTTGGAGGCCACCCTTTGGGTTGGCATGGTTCAAGCCAACCCAAAAAGGGCAATGAAACCAGCCGCAAAATGGGTGCCCTCCCAAAAGAAGCATGCAGCCGCTCTTGTTTTTTGGGTGTAAGACCCCTGAAATTTCGCGGTCAGGTGGTCACCTTGCAGGGCCACAGCCAGGATGTCACGGGCCTCAGCTTTGACCCGGAGGAGCCGGGCACATGTGTTCTTCGGCTCAGTTTTCTCTAGATGTTATTTGATAACTGTGCCCCACCTCCTTCGAAACCAGGAAAACACCTGCTTTGCATGGTTTACGCGGCCAGCCCCGTTGGGCGTCCATAGCGGTTTTACTGCAATGCTGTATGGCTGAGCGGAATATAAGCACATGCATAGGCAGGCGCACAAGTCCCTTCTTGGATATCACAACTGCATTAACGACACGTGCAGTGTCCGTGTTGCGCCCCTTCGGCATTTTGTTTGGGACTGATGAGGAATGCAAGCTCTACAGGTGTACAGTTCCTTTTTTGGGGATTCCTGAGTGACCGCTGTCAACATCACGGATACTGGGAAAGCAAAACACAAAGAGCACCGGCTTATCCCAATCAGAAACAAACCAGATATTGTTGTACATGCTTGCGCCTGTTGTCTGACATCCTCTGTGTTATGACCCAATACCAAGTGGCTGAACGGATCTGAACGGACAAATGGGTTGATGCTTCAGATTGTGAGGGGAGTGCATTATAGTCGCTCTCTTGTTTGGCATGCTGGGCGCCAATAAGGCATATGCTTGTCTTTTCCGAAAGGAAGCCGAGAGGTTGGCAAACTACTTTCCCAGGTCACCTCGCCACGCAGGTTCCCGCGCGGCTGGCCGAATGCTTGGCTTCCAGAACTCTGGCGGGCTAAACGCGATTGCCGCCTCATTTTAGTTCAACCTTTGAGCTTTTGAGTTTGGAGAAGCAGGAGAGGTGCTAGCGCAACATGAACCGCTGTTTGGAGTTCTTAACTTTAACAGGGCTCTAGTTGGGTATGATTCTCGCAAATGGACATCAAAAGTGGATCGGTGAGTTTGTGGTCATTTGTACAAGGCCCTCCCCGAACGCCCGGGCGGTTGTGACCAGCGCCTTTCTGGCGCCTGCGCCAGGACCGGTCCCTCTGGAGCATCGAAGATGGGCGGCTCATCGAGTGGAGTTTGGCGACTTGGGGCATCGAGGCCAACGTCTCCGAGCCCCGGTGTGGGCGGACACCGGAAACACCTGCAAATTGAGCTAGCTCGGTGGATTCCACTGTTTGCCGTTTGTTTTAGCCACAAAGCCATGAGACCCAGCGGTACTGCAGCCGGATTCTAAACAGGGAGTGATGCGAAACTTGACGAGAGACACGTGCTGGAACATGTTCTCGTAGGCTTCAGATCCCCCAATTGCCACGGGTGTTTGCCCTTGAGTGAATTCCCATGAAATGCTCCATCCCAAACGGGGGTTCCCTTTTTCAGCCGGATCTTTCCATGCTGCAACCAAAGAAGCGAACAAGATTGATAAGCGGTGGCAGCAACCGGTTGACGCTGTTCTTTTCGCAGCTCAGAAGTGGCCGTTGAGCTCCACCCGCGAAATCTGAGCGGCGCTTCGCTTAGGAGCCCGGTGTTCATCGCCTGGCTGTCAGCGCCATCGCGCAGGAGCCTTCGAAGGGGCGGAGCGCATGGAGCGCGCGGAGCGCGTTTGTGTTTTTGTAGGGTGCACTGCGTTTGGAAGCCAAAGGCGAAGCCACCTTTTTTTGGTCTTGATGGAAAGCAAGTTGTGCTGTCAAACTTGACTTTGAGTGGATGTTGATGATGTTTTCTAACTTTGGGCTTCGCAATGGTTTGCGCGAGCTTGGGGACGAACGGCATGGAGCCAGCGACTCGGCGATGGCAAGTACCCTGGAGGAACCCATGGACCCCCTCATATTTGGCCTTGGCTCATGCATAGGTTTGATCCGATTCGTACATTCCACTGTGGGATGCATGCACTGAAGCCTCCCGGGTGGGGTTGAGGGACGCCTTCCATTTGAGCTGGTTTTCCTACGAATCCGGGCCAGAAGCAGAGCCCAAAGCCGACCTTTGACTTTCTGGTATCACAATGTTGGCAACGGCTTGTAGGTAAGGTTTCAATTGCCTTACATTGTTTGTGCAACTGATCAACCCTTCGTGTCCAATTCGAGAGCCAGCACAGGACCAGGCCACCTGCAGTGTGCTCCGCAAGGGCAAGCAGGCGCAAAGGGAGCCGAGACTGCCGCTGCTTGGAGACAGCCCGAAGATATCGTAAACGGTTTGGATCCTGCAAGTGCATCTACATCTTCGGGAAGCACTGCATATACACAACTAAGGCCAACAGGTGATGTCCCAAAGGGCAAAATACCGGAACCCCTACAGGGAGGCCCTCTTTAATCGGGCGGTTCTACCATGGAAAGATGTATGGCCCCGGAAAAGCGAAGGATTGGTTGGTTGTGTTTGCACCAAATATTGCGAGCTGCTCCGCCGGCACCAGGCTACCCAAAATAAAGGTCCGTCAAAAAGAGTCCTGTTGCTCAGAAAGGTAATTATGTGACAGAATCAAATGAATAATAAGGGACTTGGGAGCTTCTGAATTACAACATCCAGTGCGGGACTGCATTGCTCGTCGGCGAATTGCTGGCGGAATCCTTCACGCAAACCCAGGACTTCCACAGCCTGCCGCCAGGTCCTGCAGCGTTTCTCGCAGCACAGCTTCGAGCTCCTCGAAAGACACGGCAGCTTCTTTCTTCCTTTTTTTTCCGGACCCTTCTGGGCCTCGGCGGTCCAATGCCAAGCTTTCAAACTTGCATTGTCTATCTCTCCCAATTGCAAGTTCAGGCGCGCTCCCGGTCATCCTGCTTTTTTGTTGTTGCGCCCTGGCGCTTAACGACCACAAGCCCGTGCCATAAATGCTGCGATGATAACACACATATAAACTTAGAGGGGGGAGGGAAGGTTCCTGTCATCGAAGATCATATTTGATGTAGGTAAAAATCATACTATCAGGACTTTGAGCGGCGCTTGAAAACCATGCTAAGTCATGATCATAGTGGTCAAACATTTGTATTTATTTAGTCCCTGCAATGAGCATGACGCGGCACCTTTGTTTCAACAAACCCCCCCTCCCCCAGTCCCATTTACCGCCGAAAGGCGGTCATTGAAGCCATGGGATTTAAACAAGGGGCGGAATCCCCGCTCATGAATTCAGGTTTGAAACGGAGCTGGAGATGTCGAAGATCACGGCTTTGTGCCACTTTCCGGGCAGCGGGGCCTTCTTCGCCGCCACGGCGAAGGGCTCTTTGCAGGCGCCTGGACTCGAGCTGACAGCCAAGCGCTTGGGTTGGGTCTGTGAGGCCAATCGGAAGCCATTGGACAGCGAAGAGGAAATCAACCACTTCGGGAGGACGGAAAGTGGTACCTGATTTTTTTCCACGGCCCTGGTGGGTTCCACTAACCCACGCCTCGTGCAGGCAAAATGCCTACTCTGTAAGTACCCCATGACCGCATAACCACTACTCCAAGGATCCTATGGTTGAATATTGCTCATGCGGACCAGCCAAGCCCTCACTGTGACATCAAGAGACGTCTCCCAAAAGGTTGTCAAAACAAAAACAGCTTCAGGGTTCGGAATACATCGGGATCCTCAGAGTATACAACATAAGGGTTATGTACCCGATGTTTTTGTGCTTGTCCCGGTTGGGGGCGGGGAGGTTGGTTTCCGCTCAGGATGTTGGCATGGCTGTTCAGGAGACTTGGGAAGACATTTACCAATTTCCGGTCAGCAAAGGGGTTCCTAGGTTTGCTTTCTCGGTACGTGCAGTTTTTAATCAATTCACACATATGCCATGTGGACCCAAGCCTCGTCACAACACAGGGGCTTTAAACCTCCTCATTCAGTCTGGTTTCTCTTCCAATGTCATCTAGAACCGGATACGCTTGTTTGCGTTTCCTCTAGAAGTTCCACTGTGCTGTGCTTTTTTCTGGCACTCGTTGATTTCCTGGTTTGCCCACGTTTTAGTCGTCACCTTTTGCCAACTGAAAATGCTAGTTTGGATGTTCAACCAGGAAATCTCAGGAGTCGCCTGAATTACAACCTACAATCGGGGGTTGAACATCCGTGAGCGCTGGAGTCTTAGATCGATTTCCCTGCTTGATTTCTGTCTGGCCCGGACCAGGGTGAGTCTTTTGCGCTGGACTGGGCCAGGTCTTCCTGTCGCTGCCGGCCTTGGGGCCTCCAAAGAGCTACGAGCTGCAGCTCCACGGCATGGCGTGCACGGCCTTGTGCTTGTCCATCGATGGCCGAAGTTTGGTGACGGCCGGGGAGGCCGCGGGGGGCTGTGGTCTTTGGCTTTTTGGGGCAGACGGATGGGGCAAAGGCCAAGGCCAACGACCCGCCAACATGAGAAACAAATCGAACACCTAATGGAAAGACCTCCAGGAACACAGGGCCAGCTCCCCCACTCAACCAAGATGGCCGCAAATAGCAGTTTGTCATTTCCCCAGCAGGAAATCACCAGGAGAAGCATTTTTGTTCAGACCCTTCAATTTCATTTAGGTAGCTCTTCCTGTTGGCGATTGGTGGCAGGTGTAAACCAGCCCCTGACCTCCCCAACCGACGGGGAGTTCGATATGTCGCGTGCCTGGCGCATTTCTGCAGGATGGAGTGATCTTCATGCTCCAGGTGCACGGCCTCAGCTCCCAGGAGGAGCTCCCTGGCCAAATCGCGTCCTTCACGGGAATTGCGCCAGCTGCGAGAGATGCAGGGAACGAGAAATGGAATGACCCCAATAGAAGCCATCCAACTGGTGGTTTCCTTTAAGGGGACTCTTGGGTTTGGCTTCCCACATTCCCTACTGAGCACCAGCAAGTTGTGAGAAGCTAATGACCCACATCAAATATTGATGACTGTGTCGTTTCCAGACTCTTGACAAAGGGCAAAATGTTTTAAGCAACCAGGTCCTTGCCAGCAAAGGACAATCGACACGAGGTTGAAACAATGTGCTGAACCGCCCGACCCCGGTTTTTGTCCCAGACCTCAGGCCCTGGCTGATCTTTGGAAAACCCTTTGGGTCTTGGTCCTGTGCCTGGTTCAACGGTAGAGACTGTTGGAAGCTGTGTTGGCTGTTTCATTTCACCTTCAATCGGTTGAGCTTTCCTGTCTCCTTCGGGGGAAAACAGCATGTTGATTGTTTGGTCTTAGATGTCTTGGGGGGTGCTCCTAATCTGTGTAGGCAAACATTCGTTTAGTACAGTATTTCGGAAGTGGGGCTTCTGTCTAGACTCTCTAGACAGCCGTTTGGACGTCCCACCTGTTGAGTTTTACACAACACGTCCTTCTCTTCGCAACTCTAAAGGGGGACCAGAAAAGGGGATCCTAGGATTCGCCAAAAGCATGCCTTTCAGGCTGACGCTGCTGCCTTTGCCGCTGCATACCACCGACATGGATAAGTACTCGCCCGAGCTGGAGAGCGTACTGGCGTCCAAGGAGCGATGGACTTTTTAGACAGTTTCGACAGGAGCCCGTCAAAGTGTTCGCCCTTTTCTTCTTAAAATGGTCGCCTTTTTGATTGGTTGTTTTTGAAGCCAAAAGGAAGCCATGTTTGGGTTTTCCTGTTGGAGAGCTCAAATGAGGCACCCGTTAAAGTGATTTCTGTTGGGTCCGGTTGCTATTCCGTGAGCCGCAATTTAGTTGAGGATGTCACTTAGACCCGGTCAAAGAAGAAGGAACTGACAATATCTTTGGTAGTCTATTGTTGGCTTAGGCAATCTTTTTTATTTCCTGAGGACGCATTTGTTTCTTCCGCGATCCCATCTCATCAATCTAATCTAGGCATCGTAGTCGCAGAAGGTTGGCGCATGCCACGAAAGCGGGGCTTTGGTCAATGTGTTGAGGGTGCGCTGTGGTTGGGGAAGCCCCGCCTGCAGAATTGGAGATGGCGAAAAACCACTTCGGCAGTTTCTGAGGCACCAGGTTCCACTACCTTTGCAAATTCTTTGGCATCTCCGAGCAATCATCACTAAGCTGGCCAGGAGGAAATCCTGAAGCTGGAGAAGAAATGCCAAAGCCTGATGGCGGAGTGCCGCAACATGAAGGCACGAGTTGCGTCTTCGCGATGGGCATATTTGGTCCAGCCCGAGGATTTTCGAAACAAATTCGACTTCAGGCAGCCACATCCGCATGTTGTGAATGCAAACATGGAGAGGGGATGAGAGTTTTGATGCGCATAAGAACCGGCTTCTCAGGGAGGTGATTGGGAAGATGAAGTTTTGTAGCTAGCAAAAAGTTCAGTCTTGTTTTGG